ATTTTTATTATTTCATTCTGGGCGCCCCCTCTCACGTTCTCTTCCCTCCCCATAGTTTTCCGGCTGAGAGAGAGAGAGAGAGAGAGAGAGAGAGATGAAGGCGGCTTTTGGGAGAGAGCGCAAGCCGTTGGTAAGCGCAGCTTATGCGCATGCGCCCACTCTCGCTCGCTCTCCATTTCCTACCACGGTGCAACGAACAAGCAGAAGAAGAAGAGGCTGAAAAAAGACAGTAAGAGAGCAGCAGCATATACTGCAGTTGGCAAATGCAATGCCAAATATGGTTATACGCATCAGACATAGCACCAAAAAAAGCCGTTCCCCACTCAAGCTCTCTCTCTCTCTCTCTTTGTGGGGCCGCTCTCTGCGGCTTATGCTGTTGTGTGTAAGCCTCTCTCTGTCCCCCCACCCAAAACCACTGTCTCATTTGCACGCATTGATTTATAATGCAAAGTGATCGATTGCAAGCATTCGATGGCTCATTGGAAAATACGGGAAGTGGAAATGGGAGGTTAAAGTGTGTGGCAAATATGAGTGTGCGTGTGTGTTGCCATGTGATTTATGTTTCGGCGGTTAAGGTAGTAATTCAATCAAATAATCATCAACTGATTTATCCCTATCTTTTTGCATTAGGATTTCATGTAATGAAGAATTTAATTATTCTAAAAATGGTTAAGCCACTTTCGGCATTTTCTATGCCTGGTTTTCGGTGATCATTAAAGATGCTATATAGGAGATTATATATAGTATGTACATAGCCATTTATGTAGATTTCCAACTGCTGCATCAGCTGTGTATTTCGATGCGTACATAATGTGCATTACACGAATACATATGTATATGTACATATATGTATATGTACATTTGCTTCTGCGCTATAAGTTTTTTCCGCAGTTCTATGCTTTTTTTGGCCCGACGAATTTTCATGCCCTTTTTTAGACACAAAACATTGAGCCACAAATGGGTTTTCACTTTTTTCACTCGAAACGAGACCAAAACAACAAAATAAATAGAACTAGTGAGGCGATCAATATAGAATGTACATTCGGGATTTTAGATTTACATTTTTTAATGAAATTTATGAAAACAAAAGCAAGTTTAAATAGATGAATTATATAACTACAGAAATAGTCAAAGGGGAAATGTATATACATTGAAGTAGAATTCTTAGATCAAATTATTAAACAAAGTAACTTTCTTATTTATCTTAAGAAAGGTAATAAAGATAGTAGTAAGAGTATAATACAAAATTTTCGATAAAGATCTGTTATTATATAAATCGATATAAGAAATCTTGACGCTGCAATATAGATATTCTCTATTTTAACCCAAAAATACCCCAATGTCAGAGTTCAAAAGGTTAATTCAGACAGTTACACGCGTATAACGGCTTAATATCCTTATCAATAACATCAACTGCAGCTGTTTTCGTTTGCCAATTACTCCTGGCCCGGCTTGTTCAGTCTCTCTCCATTTCGTACCTTTCTTTCTCTTTCACTCGCTGACTCTCTCTTCTCTCGTTTAGTGCATCTGTTTTTTTTTTTTTTGTTGTGGAAAACAGAGGTGTGGTACAGGGCCGGATAGGTGTGGTGTATTAGATTAGCGGTGGTGGTTTTCACATTTTCATTTAACGGGAATTCGCCGCATTAAGGGGAAAACTTACACCGAAAGTAGAGAGAGAGGAGAGAAAGAGCAGGAGGATGGCATAACGGTTATACGCATGCGCTGCTCTTCTCACCCGCAGCACGTGCAAATATTCACATGTGTTCCTTTCGCCGGCCGCTCTCACTCCTTCGTCCTCTTTCACCCCTCTCTCGTTTTCTTTGCTCTCAAAAAAGATATATATATACATATGTATATATATCTATAACGGTAACCCCGCTTGACCCGACCCGAGCCTCCCATTGCCACCCATCTTGAAGGTTAAAGCGCTTAAAGAAACGCTTCTAGCACAATCCTAAGACACACATACAGTATGCTCTCTCTATAATATTATTATTTCTCGAGTATTTGGAATATTCATATTTACTGGTTTCTCGAAGATTCCTAAAACACTTTTTAAGTGTTTTATTGTTTTTTTTTTTAATTTCCTTTTCGATAGTTTACCTTCTCCACAACAACAAGGTCTATACTTTTGATAATCTCTAATAATTTTCATTCGTAAGGTTAGCTCACTTATCGGGGCTAGTTTTCAAGGTTTCGTTTGTATTTCAAAATATGGAGCTTCTTTTGCTCCTTCTTCCTCTTTTCATTTCCAATTTCATGTAATTCTCGTGTACAACTATCATTGTTTCATATCGACAATGGATCTTTCAAGGCCCCTGAGGTTCTATTTGGCAGTCAATCAGCGTTGACATTTATGTATGGCATGGCTCCTAATTGATCGATAGGTGGAAATGTTTGACGATAAGAAAACTATCTACTCGGAACTATTTTGCCTAATGTCTGGTGATACAATTTTCCTTACAGATTCTAAATGGAATATTTTGCTAATCGTGTCTTCCCTGATATTACCTAGTTTTACGATACTACATGAGTGACATGGAGGCGTGCATACATTTTTATTTATCTTATCCACCTGCGTCAAAAGCTGCGATAATTCCCATTGTTAAATGACGTAGGCCCACCTGACGCACAATAGTGATTTTTAGTACTTTAAAAATGAACAAAATTTAACAAGTAAAAAATACGAAATAATTTGGAAGGAAGATATTCAATGTCTTAGTTTGTTAACTTACTGAAAAACAACCCAAGAAAATTATGGGTTAAAAACCATTACTTTTAAAGTAAAGTTTTTTTAAAGTTTAAACCATTGAAATATTTGATTATAATAGAATCTCTTTTTCCTGCTTTGCCTGTAATGTACAAGTAATAGAACACAAGAAAGTTACTTTAAAGTTGCAGTTTTTGGTAAAAAGTTACATCACATTATGATTTTATGAAGTAAGAACTCTAGATATTATGGCAACCCACCAATATAATCACAAAAAAATAACCATTCAACGATCAAATGATAGTGGGCTATATAAGACGAATAGTTGTTGGAGAGAATGGAACCATTGGGCACAGAAAAAATACAGAACACACCGGTTGTTAATCTAATCTGGCTAACGGTAATGATAATAATAGCGATTCCGTTTCATTTCGTTCCCGAGTTTCTCGATAAGATTGTCAACGTGATTACGTAATATATATATATATATATATTGGGTTCGGTTAAAAAGAAAAAGGAAATGAGCTTAATAACGGTAATGATGATAAATATAATTTTGAAAATGATAAGGTGATCAGATGGCTTTATATAGAGGGGGATTTTGTGCATGTGCTTAGACCCTGAGAATACTGCAAAATATATACCGATTTTGAATCGAAAACCATTATACTTGAATTGGGCTTTATTTTTATTTGCACATGCTCCAATAGTCAGTTTGTGATCGTTACAGACTCACGTACATTTGAATTTAGTGAATTACCCGATTGCCTTTTTTATGACACTTGTTTCGAATAGATAATGCCGCAGACATACATATATATGGTGTATATACATATATATGTATACCAAATAAGGGCAAAAAGCCAGTTAAAAATGAAAGCAAAGCGTACGAAAATGTAAGTCAAAAAAGAAAATAGGAATAATAGAATCAAGGCGAGGCCGTAAGCTCGAATGTCATGCCCAGTGGGTCAGAGTTGATATCGGGACAAGGCCAATCGAATGATATATATTCTGAACTAATTGTGCTAGGTATTCCTTCAGTAAATATATTCAAATTACAAGAATAACAGAAATCTAGTTGGACTCATTGCACAGCAACCTTGAAGATTGTTTACATTTGTCATCTTGGAATTTATAATAGTAATATTAATGTAACAATATAATATAATAATATATTTAATAATATTCATAGCTTTTCAAAATTATTAAATTCAGTGCATGTAAAAAATTTATTTATATTAATACAGAAACATATATTAAAGGTGAATTTTTATACCCTTGCAGGGTATTATCATTTCAGTCAGAAGCTTGCAACGCAGTGAAGGAGTCATTTTCGACCCTATAAACCATATATATTCTTGATCAGCATGAACAGCCAAATCGATCAAGACATGTCCGACAAGGAAAAAAATTTTCGATTTTTTTTAAATTTTTTAAGGGGTTACATCATTAAAATTGTCAAAAATTTTGGAAAAAATGGAAATTTTTAATTTAAAAAACTGATTATGCAGAGTTGTTAACCTTATAAATTCTAACACAGAACAGTTTTCCGATTGAATATTATTGCATTTTTGACTGAGTTATGATACATTTTCACTGCAAGGGTATACAAATTTTGGCCTTCCTGAAGTTTGCATCGTTTTTTTTTTTTTTTTAATTTAAAATCATTTAAATTTCATCACACAGAATTATTTGGGTATATCCAAGATTGTTAAGATTTATAATTTGTGTGCTTTAATTATTAATTTAAATATAAAAAGAATGATTATTTTCCTTAAAATGTACATTTGAATTTGAACAAAAAGAAATATAAGAAATAAATTCAGGTGGCGCCATCTAGCGGAACTTTGCCAAGTCTTCCCAATCTGGCTACTCTAAAATCGATTCATGAATTAAGCAGAACCATCGATATGTCTGACAATCGATAATGTTGTCCAATTGGATTTGAAAAATGTGCAACTTTTTTTTACTATTTGTTAACTGAACTAAATATATACATATACATTTCCAGAAATGTTGCGTTTATTTATGTAATGTAATGGGTAATACAAAAAAGATTCGAAACAAAAAATAAGGGAATTACAAAAATTCTTTTACATATTCAAGAAATTGTTAAATTGTTGAAAAAAAAATCTCCATTGGGCATCCAAAAAGTTGTAATCCACTGATTCTTCATCCAGGGCCTTTAGATTAATGCTCCACCTCGTTTGGTCCGTCATCTGACGCACTGCATCATCATGGAATAGTTTGTAAGGGTCCACAAAAAGCAGCAAGTCCTCCATCAGTCATCCTAAAAGTCGTAGTCCTCTGATTTTGCGTCCAGGGCCCCCTGATGAATGGTCCACTTCATTTGGGCCTTAATGTGACGCACTGCATCATCATGGGATAACTTGTAAGTGTCCACAAAGAGCAGCACAATCCAAAGCGGCAACAGTCCGTTGATAATCAGGCTCGCATTGGTGTGTCTGGTTTTAAAGTACTCCGCCAGTTTCAACATCATTTCGTGATGTATGGTCGGATTTAGGATGTCCAGGACTTCAATGTGAGAAACACCCTTATAGCTGTGTATGTGCCCTTTGTCCTTTTGCTCGTTGAACAGCTTAGCGATGTCGTCTTTATAGCGGTCGAATGAGGCCATAACATCGTCTAGAGTCATAGATTCCAAGAGTAGTACCTCAACTTGGGGCGGTGGGACTTCCTCATTCAATTTCATCAGCAATGCCTCGAGAGCCGTTAGGGAGTTCCCCTCCAGGTTCCTCTCTAGAGGCTCCTTCTCAGATTTGCCACGGGATTCCTCCTTTTCCATATTAGTTTCACGGCAGGAAAGAGCCCAATTGATGATAGAGTTAGCTTTGGATGGGCTCATGAATCCAGTGGTTGACTCGCTCTCCAGTCCAGTTGTTTTGAGTTCACCTTCGTTCTGGGTCGACGATGGTGGGGTTTTGTTGCGCGTTGCGAAGATCCAGCTAAAATCGTCTTCGGCTTCGTCATCGGAGTCTAGTATAAGTATCGGCTCCGTGTTTGTCGAATTCTCTGGAAAAAGAGATTTCGGCTGAAGTTCAGAGTCGGCGCGTTTGGCCTTGGAGCCACTGGTTGTGGCGATCTCGTTCTTGGTCTCTCCGGCCGTGGCAAGACTGTTAAAGATGACGGCGTCCTCGCCCGTAATGTACTCCAGCTGGATGGTGAGGCAGAGATCCGCTGCCGGCACCAGCTTGTCTCCGGCCAAAAGGCTTTCGGTCGCAGCGTGCGATATTTCATCGGCCCGGATACATACATTTATGTGGTCGATCTTCAAAACCACTTGCATCTTCTTGGCGTCCTCCCAGCGATCAAGTTTTTCGAATTCACGCCACAAAGCTGCCTCAACTGCGCGCCAGCGGGCGGCGTCCATCCAGTAGTAGTCATTGGTGGCCTTGCTGCCAAACAGGGTCACTCGTGTCGGGAGCACTTGGAAGGTGCAGTCGATGCGATGTTCATTATAATTATATGTTTGCGATAATAATTGGAAATTTCCAATAGCGGAAAGAGCCATTTTAACAACTTAACTTTGAAGCGGAATGCGAAAAGAGTGAAGCTGCCAGATAAAGTGAGCGGTTTTGATCTGGTAACACTGTGATATGATATCGATATCGATAACATTTCACACAGTCAGTGTTGCCAGATCATGACCACCCGTATAAGCTAGATTCTGTAAAAAAAAGCTAAAAAGAAATACCAGCAACAGAAAATCAGTCTTTAGACATTAATATACGATAAGACCTTTATCCCTCTGTCTGCAGGTAAAAGCTTTTGTAAATGGTAATAAAGATGTAAATACATTTTGCATGCGACATGATCTGTAAACGTGTAAAATGCTTTTATAGACGTGTAAGATGTAAAATGTTAAATATGTTCAGAGTGACCAAAAAACATATAATATACCAAAAAAAGTATCGATATATTGGTATTTTAAAATATTTTTAACAACCGACACCCGACAGCCAACGAGAGAGAATTCTGTTAATTTTCATCCATCCGACAGCCAACGGGAGAGAATTCTGTTAACTTACATCCATCCGACAGCTGTTAATTTACGCTCTTCTCTCTGGATGAGAGCAGGTCTGTTAATTAATGTAACATAATACATTCTACTTCCTACATGAGAATTCCATCCCATGCATCTGTAAACGTGTAAAATGGTTATCTAGACATGCACGATGTAAAATTTTAAATAACAGCTTCTGAATTCAGAGTGACCAAAAAGAATATCAAAAAATATCCAGAAACAGAAAAAATACGCAGTATCGAACACTAAACGAAACAAAACAATATATCTGGAAAATTGAAAAACTTGAACAAAAAAGGTGTTTACATTTGTTTTGGCTGCACATAATGTCAGAACTCGTTGTTGTGCCGCTTGCGTTTCTTTAGTATTCGTTCGATAATTCAAAATTGGTATTTTGATATTTCTACAACCCTGCAACAAACGCTGCGATAAAGAGGCGCTATAATTAGCCGGCATTACTCACAAGATAATACCTTCCTCGACTCCACAATCCCCCAAAGGTGTGTGTGCCATGCGGCGGCAGGTCCTTTTGCTGCTCCAACTGGGCATCGTTGTAATGGCGGCCCAGGCGTACGACAAGGAGATGACCGTCTATGTGGACGCCGGTCGGCAGGAGTGCCTGTACCACACGGTGCGCGATGGCGAAACCATTGACTTTGAGTACCAGGTGATCGATGGCGGACACGGCGACCTGGACATTAGCTTCACGCTGCTGGATCCCATCGGTCTGGTGGTGGTGAAGGATTTCAAGAAGCCGGAGAACATCCATCGCCACGAGGTGACCAAAGAGGGTGACTATCGTTTCTGTTTCGACAACAGCTTCAGTATGTTTAACCGGAAGACCGTCTTCTTCGAGCTGATTGTGGAACGCGAGGGCGAGGAGCTGCAGGGGGACACCCAGTGGCATGGAGTGGACGACCTGGCGGGGTTGTCGCGGGACGAGTACTACGACATGAAGGTGCAGGACATCATGGACTTTATCGGTCGCATCCGTTTGCAGCTGAACAAGGCGCGACAACTGCAGGATGTGCTGCGTTCGCACGAGGCGCGAGATCGCAATTTGGCCGAATCGAACTTCCAAAAGGTCAATCAATGGTCTATGCTGCAAATCAGTGCCATGATCGGTGTGGGCCTCATCCAGGTCTTTATGCTGCGCAGCATCTTTGCCACCACCGGAAGAATGCATCATATCTGGCGAAAGCTGGGCATTTGATGGATTCCGGGAGCAGAAGGAGTAGCAGCCTCTACCAAAGATGTGCATTTATGTTGCCAGGAAGCTAGCTAGTTAGACTGTAATTTCATTCAGCTTGCCATTATCATTTGTAGCTCATTAGGTTCTATATGTATTAATGAAGTATATAATGTATATCTCTATATATTATATATGCGGGTGTGTGTGCCTGAGTGTATGAGAGGACTGTGTGTGCGCGTGTGTGGGAGGCATTGTTAAACGAAAGCAATTGTATTTATTAAGCCAAAAGTTGAGTTTGATATTAAATTTAACGTTGAGGTATCACTGATATACGCGTGTTTTATCTATTTCTTGATGTTTAACTGGTTCTAAAGGTTTCTTGTTGGGATTTTTAGTTAATGCTTTGAAATTTGGTGTTCTTAATCGGATATCTCAGTTTTAACCAGCTTTACAGCTTCTAAATTAATTAATTTGATCCATAGTGTGTAGTTTTATCTTATTTCTCAGTTGACCTACCTTGAGTTTTCTTTTATCTATCGGTAAATAAACACTTGAGACTGCCTTGGTTCCATTTTCTTAATAGGAAACCCTAGCTTTAAGTAATTATTCATGTTAAACACAAAATGAGTTTCAGAAAAGCACTACACTCAAGTGATTTTCATACTTTTTTAACAAGCGTTTGCTCTGATAGCTAATTAACTTGAACAAATAATATTTAACATATTATTTACCAACTCCTAGAGCTTACTTCTTACTTTCATTTTATGAAAAACAAGAAGTTTAAATCTTCTAGGGAGAACATTTTCCTCTTTTGTGAACTTCTTCAGCTAGTTTTTGATGTATAATATGGTTTCTTTTTAACAGAATTTGTTTTTATAGTGCACTTGCTCTCCTTCATGGTTTTCCTTAACAATTCAGACAGTTTTGTATCAGTTTCAATAGTTTAATTTGTATGTTTCCATTGGAAACATGTTTCTTTTGTCTAAAAACTAATATAAACGCCTCCAGTCCGCGCTCCTCGAGGATTCACACGTTTGTTTTTGTTTCAATCGTTTAATTTGCACTAATTAGACAAAAAAAAAAAAAGAGGGTAACCAGATCCGCATAATTACTAGCTTGTTGTTTATTTCCAACGGAAAGAAAGCTTGCAACAGGCGGCGGCAGCGGTGACGACAGTGGCTTCTGCTGCCAGTTGTTGGTGTGTGTGAGGAAGAGGAGCTGGAGCTGGAGCAGCAGCGGCAGGCGAAGCTGGTCCCAGCCTAGGCGGCCTTGTTGAGGCGCTTCTGGCGCTCCAGCAGACGACGCTCCCGCTCGAACTCCTTCATGCGCAGCACATAGTCCTCGTACTCGCAGGTGAGGTACTCGTGCTTCTGGTGGGCGCACTGGTACACAAAGGGGAACTTGTCGGTGCGGCACGCCTGGTATGCGATGGCCAAATGCGCACAGTAGTCGCGGGCATCCAGCGGCAGCTTGGCGGACTCCATCTCCTCCTTGGTAGCTATCATCACACGCTCCTTGCGCGACTCGAAGCCGAGCATGGGATCGAAGGTGGGCACCACATCGGGGCCGGGCACCACGTCCGGCTTCATGTAGTGGTCCAGAGCGTTGCCCATCCTGCGGGAGGGGCGAAACAGAGCAGTTAGTGGGCTGGCAAGGACCAGGGAATTCGCAAAGTTTAAGTTAAATTACGTAAAATGTTTCTTTGATTTCTGCTGCTGCGGCACAGCTGTTGGTATCGATAGGTGTCAATGTTGTAAAAATGCGATACATCGATAAAAGTTTCCACCATCGATATTGTTGATAAACAAATAGATTTTGTATTTACTATGACTGAATAATAAATATTTAATTAATGTCTTTTTAAGCTCTAAAAAAGTGTTTGGGCCTTTCGTCTTCTCTTTTTTCTTAATTTTTTTTTTCACTTTCCAGCTCCTCCATGGAGCTGCCAACTGGGGCAGACTTTGAGGGCTGTGTAACACTGGGCAGGTCAGCTGGTTGGCGGAATTATTTAATTTTTATTTTATATTCAAGGTTTTTATATATTTATGGTAAACTGTTTCCTAATTTATTTATTCACATAACTGTTGTTTAAAAATAGAGCTGCAGCTTTTAACTTGGAACATATTTATATAGAAATACAATATGAAATATAAGTTTTAATTTAATTATTCTTTATAAAGTTGAAACTATAAATATTTTTAATAATATTTAAAGTTTCTGAGCTTAGAAAAACTAAGTTTCAAAGTTTTTTTGCTTAAAACCAATTAATGCAATCCAAAAATCAGCACTATTGTTTATTTAATTATTAAATTATAATCTCAAGAGTGTATCTTATGAGCAATTAATTTCGGCTTACGTTTTCTAACTTATTTTTAATGAAAAACCCTTTCCAATTGTCCAAAATTCTTATTTCCCACAACAAAAGGATTTATAACTCTCCGTTTAACAACACTGGCCGACGTTAGGAGACAGCTGTGCCGCTCGCAGGAAGCGGCAAGAAGCAGAGCCTCTCGCTCTCTCATTGTGCCGTTGGCTTGCCGTTCCGTTTTCGTTTTCGTTGGTTCGTTCGGTACGTTTTTTTTTTGTGTCGCGAGTGGAGACAAGACAAAAAGGCAAATGGCGCTGCAAATTGGCAAAAAACCAAAGACGAAGTCGGGAAAAACATGTGCAGTGCAATGCAGTCAATGCAAATAGTTAATTTCTAGTTAGTAATTCAGTTCGCAACTGCTGTGCAATAAATTTAGCCAAAGCAAACGTTATAACGGTAAAAGTTCGCACCGAGTAGAGGAGCGTAGAGAGTAGAGAGCGCGTGTGGAAGGAAGAGTGAGAGCGTTAGTGTGTGTAAAAATATATAGAAAATATTGATTGGAGCACTGGATTCGCGAGGAGATCGCCCCAAAATGGTGGGACTGCTAAATCCGCTGAAGTATGGCGACCACTTCTACGAGCTGTACACGAACAACACGCGCAGGTAATCCCCGCTAGCGGAGCATCCCGCTCACCGCTGCCGCACATCCCACATCCTTCACCTCCTCCCCCCTCCCATATTCCACATCCCCGCCGCAGTCGCAGCCGCTGCGCAGTCGACACAGGGTGGAAAAATCGATCGCTGCACTCGGCTTCCAATCTGGGTCTTCAACCCCCAAGCCACACATACACACACATACATAGGCACGCTCGCTTGACTTGGATGGCAAAGCAGTCGAATTTGGGGGTTGTAACGGGCGGAAGTGGACAGCCCTTAGCGGGACGAACAGCTGAGCGCATCAGCTGATTGGACTGCCGACCGCCACGACCTGCATTAACCCACTAACGGCCAGTGGAGGTGGGGGCGTCAGTGGGTTAATGGGGGTAGCCCTAATTTATTAAATCGAAAAAGTACATTCTTTTGTGCAGTTTTTTGTGAAGAAATGTATTGATTGAGCTTAAACATATTTGATTTTGGGTTTCGTTGTTTATCTTCAGTAAATTATATTTTATCCTATCCTTTTTTAATTCTTCGGAGTAATTTTTAAAATTATTATACTTATTAATTTTTAAGAATTATTTTCATTTATTTTGAGTATTGGACCATGACATAATTTGTAAATATATTAATACCTTTAGATACTTTACCACTAACTTAAAGAAAAGCAAAAATCGATTGACTCACTATTTAACTTTGTGGCGAAAAAGTTTTAAAGAGTTTTTGGGCCACGTCATAAACAAATTAAACCCAAAAAAATGGCTTGGCCTCCCATTTGCAATTGACGTACGTTTAAAGTTTAAAACTGCAATTACTCCAAAATAATTGCAAAAACTTTCAAGTTGATCCATCAAATAGGTTTTTAGGTTTTTTAGGCTCTAAGGGTTATACAAAAGCCAAGAGAAGTACCTTAAGGAAATTGAATTAATGCACTTTCTATCTTTTTAAATATTTAATATATGTGTAAAAATGTACTAATATTTTCTAGTTTCTCAGTTTTCTGTTAATTATTTAAGGATTATTTTTGAATACAACTTTTTGTATATTTTCAAGGACATTGACGCAGGATATACAATTGATTTGGCAATGACATGCCACCATGAACTAAGGTCATAACAATTGCTATATGCATGTACACGATTTTGACGCTATTTTATTAATTATAAAGTTTGTATTTCACTGTTGGCAATTAAGTATACAAAACTATATCCATTTTTCCTCTATATCTTAATGATTATGATTTTTCTAATAATTCACTATGTATTTAACTTATTATTTTACTAAACAAACTGCTCAAAAAGGATTTTAATATTAAAAAGTATGACGCACTTTCTGAAACCACCTGTCAGATATCTGCAAGAGTCAAACTTTGAGTTATTTCGTTGGTCATTAGAGGTACATACACCTCAAAGCTTGCACCTTATTGGCCAATATATGCAACTGTTTACGGTCAAAATAGCTGCAGTCTCCGTTGTAGTTGTTATTTTTGCGGCCCAAAGCTTCGGGCCGCGTTGATAAGAGCCCTCCAAAGAGGGAAAAAAGCTTTACATATGCAGAAAAAACGAAAATATTTGGCCAGGAGGTCCTTGACGCATTAAGCTTGTTTTCTTTTTCAGTTAGCTCAGATAAGTTTTTGATTTATAACCTATAGTTTAAGTAGTAGTGTCTTTTTTAATTAGTGTTCTACAGTTGGTAATATGTAAGCCTTTGAATCGAACTGTTATCCATTATAACTTGCCTTTTGTGTTTTTGTAGAGGTTTATTAAAAGGTTTTACAATATTTAAAAGTTATAGTGAAGTATCTGTTAATTAGTATGTATAAAATTAACCAGAATTGATTTCGGTTTATGAAATACTTGAGATCAACAAGTTTAAGACCTTTATTCGAGTGTTTTTCAGTTAAAAGGTACACATTTTTATTTTAAAACGTGGGTGTAATTAACATCGCCTTTATTATTGGTAACTTTAGATCAATAAAAGTCACACTGGTTAGAAAAAAGTCAAACTAATATTAATCTTGACATATTTTTCTTTTCTCAGAAAAATGCAACACGAACGCAAGGTGCTTACGAAGCGTAAAAGTCGAAAGGACAAGTCAGCGGCTGCTATGGCCGCCGCGGCTGCCGCAGCGGTGCTCGAGGGAAACGTGGGGGCGGGCGGATTGGTGAATCCCCTCGATCCACCCTTGGTCAAGGAGCAACTATTAATCCTGCCCTCATTCCCAGTGGCGCACATTGAACTCGATCCAAATGCGTCCAAATTCGCCGTCTTCTCGGCCATCCGGTCAACGGTTCTCGAGGCGGAGACCCGTTACGCTCTGTTCCAAGAGGGAGGACCGTCCGGAGGACATGTTGGCTCGAAGAAATGGAACACACCGCTGAGTACATCCTGCTGCATGATGTGCGCCCACAGCTGTATGATTAGCAACATCCTCGACTGCTCCTGTCACGCTCAGCTGGCCATGGCCGGTGCAGCTGGTCAGGTGCCAGGTGGTGGTGGCGGTGCCGGTGGTGATAGAGTAATGATGGCCGGCGGCGCTGGCGGTGGTGGTGGCGGCGGCGGAGGACCCGCTCCCGTACCCGTTGTTGTCGGTGGACCTGGTCTGCCGGCCGAGAAGCGTCCGCGACGGGATAGCGCCAACAGTGATGCCGATTCGGACACCGAGGAGCCCACCGAACGGGAGCCTGTGTATGCCACCGTGCCCCTTATAGTGGGCGCTGGTCTAAGGAGTCTGTTTGAACTGATTGCCGATGCCCGTCATGTCCATCCCCTGCTATGCACCAAGGCGTTGAAGGCCCTGCTGGATGTGATCCAAGGCCAGCAGCCGGAGAGTTTTAAGTTTGAGCCAGAGGAGCTAATCAATCCCTTGTACGATCTGCTCTTGGATCTGGCCACAATGCCGGCAGCTCTTAATTCCGCCACCGGAGCGGAGGCCAACTGGTCAGCCATGGCCTGTGCCGCCCTTTTGGGTTTGTGTATTGCCCGCGGTGACACTGGCAAGATGCTGAAGGCCATTGCGGCCATGCTGATGACGCCGCGCCAGCTCTCGGCTCAGATTGTACAGCTGCCGGTGGTTTTGGCCACGCTGCAGCATACGGTGGTAAGTGCGGCTCTCAATAAGCCCACAAGGCCGGATTTTCACAGCCACGGTGTGCCGCACAATTCCCTGATTGATGAGGTGAGTTAATATGGTCTTTTTGCATTGGAGAGAAATATTAATTAAATTCCTTTCTCTTTATAGTTTTCCCTGAAGCTGCCGCCCTTGAGCACTGCGGGACCGGTCACATCTCCGGCCATGGCCTGTGATGGTGTCTTTGTTTATCTGCTGTACGGTGGCACACTGTTAAAGATCGGCACTGGCTTTGGTGGCTCCTACAAGGGACATGTTTACGCCCAGAACGAGGACTTTAGTCACGAGAGGAGCGCCTGGCTGGGCTATAGTGCTGGACAGCTGTACTTTCGTCGCACTTGTCGGCGGAGTGCCGGCGATCAATTGCAAATGGTTGGCCTGGATACGCTGGCCATTAAGGCAATGAGTCCACTGAGCATGCTACATATCCGTGAGGGCCTTAACTATGTTCTCTTTACCGATGACGACTCACTGCATGCCATATGCAGCAATCGGGATGTGAGTTGGAAGTTTAATTATTTTTATGGTTTAGCTTTTAATCTGAGTTTCTTCTATTTTCTTTCTTTTAAAGGACACCCTGGTGGTGAAGAAACTGAATCTGTATCACAATAGCTACAACATTGATCCACCGCCCTTCGAGCTGCCCCTTCAGCTAGCTCGCAAGAAGTTCCGCACCCTGGGCTATGCCGCCTTCGAGGATGAGCTGCTCAATCAGTACCAGATTCAACGTATTCAGTCGGCGCACAATAGCTTCGAGCCTAAACTTCCGGCTCCATGTCGCGACGCCGATGTGGATGTGCTGGGCATGGCGTGTGGGAAGGAATTCGGCTTGGTCAGAGCCAGCAATGGAAGGGTCTACTACTATGGCAAGTCGGTGGCCTTGGGACTCAAGTGCGTGGGCAGGACACCCACATTGAAGCTCACCGAACTGATCATCTCCAAGGCGGCCAACATAGTCCATGTGGCGGTGGGACATGATGGCATCCATGCCCTGCTAGTCAACGACGATGGCACCGTTTATTTTGCTGGAACCGCTCGACGCGGTGAAGATGGAGATAGCAGCAAGAATCGCAGGCAACCGAAGGCTGTTAAACCCAAAAAGATGACCAAAATCGATGGCCATGTGGTGGTCCATGCTGCCTGTAACAATGGAACCTCTGCCTTTGTCACCAAGACGGGCAAACTGATCATGTACGGCAAGGATACGGCCCACTGTGATGCCATGGGCTTTGTCAGCGAACTGCTCGACCAGCATGTGACCAAGGTGGCGCTGGGCAAGGCCCATTGTGTGGCCCTCAATGCCAAGGGCCAGTTGTTCTCCTTCGGGCTGAATAACAAGGGACAGTGCGGAAGGATATTCAACAAGCTGCAGCCGGTGAAGGATGTGGCACCGTTCGCCTCATCCTCCACTGCCGCCGCCTGTTTTGCATCCCTTCTGCCGCTGGACAAGCGTCTCAAGCTGGACTTTTCCACGCTCTGCGACTACGACGATCATAATTTGGTGCAAGGTCAGTGCCGGGTCTGTGTCATCTGTCGCGAGTGCACCGGCTACAATGTAAGCTGTGTTTCGGCTTTGAATGTGCCGCTGGAGCAGCGTTTGGCCGGTAGTGTCTGTCCGTGTGGCCACGGCGATGCCGGGTGTGCCAAGTGTGGTCTTTGTGCTGCCTGCATTGCTCTCCAGGATAGTGATGGTAAGTTAAGGAAATGGATTTTCCTCTAACTATGACGTGTAATTACTATTCTCTCTTTTGCAGAAGCCAAAACGGAACTGAAGCCACCGCCCAGCGACGTGCAACAGCGCCAGCAACGCTCCAAGACCCTCATCATGCGCCGTAAGGAGCGCAAGGGTGAACTGGAGACAGGAGCTGCTGGTGGTGGTGCCGCCACGCCCACCGACCTTGACAAGGATCCACCACGCGTGGCCCCACTGGCACCGCAACTGCTGCAGCTCACAAGCTCAGCACCGGTGGTTCAGGTGGCCTGTGGCCTTCACCATACAGTTGTACTGACCCTGGCCGGCGAGGTCTACACCTTTGGCAGCAATCAGTATGGTCAGCTAGGCAGCGGTGATCTCCAGCCCGTGAGTGGTCCAGTGCGCGTCCAGGTATCCGGTGCCATTAGCCAAGTGGCAGCCGGCAGCAATCACACTGTACTGCTCACCTCCAAGGGCATGGTCTATACCTTTGGCAACTATCAGAAGGGACAGCTGGGACGCTTGCCGAGTGATTTCATCCAGAAACCAGCGAACCAGGATGATGAGTCGCCGGTGGGCTTGGGTTCCGATGGAGGAGGAGTAGCAGCTGGTTCGCCTGCTGGCGGAGCTGCTGCGCCTGTGGGCATGCCTGGACCGGATCGATGTCAGTCCCCGGCGAATGTTCAGCCAAGTGGGTCAAAGGAAACGCCGCCGTTAATACCGAATTTCAATGCTCCAATTCTGACGCAGCGACAAAAGTTTCTGTGGAACTGTTCACCTGGCGCTGTCTTGTAAGTTGAGAAAAATTGTACATACTATAACTTATTGTACTATACTTCTTGTTTTTGCTATCGTTTCAGTGGCCTGGGTCCCAGCTATGGCAAGAAGGTGACCTGGATTGGTGCCAACGGCGATCAGACCTTTATTAAAATCGACGAATCCCTGATCACAGCCCAAATGTTGCCCAAAATGCATGTGGTAGCCAACAAGAAGACGATATGTAAGTGGATCCTTAGATTAATCCTTGCTTATCCCTGCTAATCTTTGAAACATGCAAACAGTGCTCATTCCCAGCATACCGCTGTCCTTTCACACGCTCTCCATCAATCGGCGAGACGGCAGTTGCACGGCCCATTATCGTGGTCAGACCAACTTTGTCCAACTGATGCAGCAGCATCAGCAACAGCAACAACACCAACAACAACAGCAGCAACAGCAGCATCATCATCCGCAGCAAACAGAACAGTTGCAACCGGAAATCAACCGAAATGTGGATATGCTAGGGACTCCAGTGGCTGCTGAATCCCCGGCCCATGCCGGCTCTTCCTCCGCCACCTCGTCGCTACTCACAGCCTTGGCCGGATCAGCAGCCACTGCTGGTGTGCCCATTAATGAGCAAATGTCACGGAGCATGCACGAGGCTAGGAATCAGATATTTGAAGACCAGCCACCGGAGGCAGGTTCCCCAGCGGCAGCAGGAATAGGAGCAGTAGCAGCGATAGTGGGAACACCTGGTGGTGGCACAGTAGCCAGCTCTGCATCGCGACAACGTCGTGGTATTCGGCAGGCTGCTGCAGTTGCTGGCTCCCCAGAACCCGTACCAATTCCACCACAACTGGCCTTTGCCATGGATCCCACCTACAATGTACTGTGGGTATTCGATGGAGCTGCCCGAAAGCTGCGCTGCCACAATGTGGTCGCTAGCGATATCAATGAGAGCGATCCAGTGAGTTTAAGCTACACTTTAATATACCTTAGCTTTATCTTTATCAATATCTTTATTCTCCTTTCCAGAACTCGGCCAACTATCGATCCCTGCTCTCGCCAGAGCTATCTCTGCCTGATCGCGTGGACTCCCGTGTGGCCCGTTCGCAGGCCTCGCTGAATCTGCTGGCCTGCCTGGATATTCTCACCTCGGCGCAGGACAACATACCCGGCTGCTTCGACCAGCCACTGCTCAAGCAGACCCAACAGACAGCCGAGACGCTGAGCGGCGAGTACCAAGTGGTGAGTCGCTTCGATAACTTTGGTGGCGGCTGGGGTTACTCAGGACATAGTGTGGAGGCCATACGCTTCTCCGCCGACACGGATATTGTGATCTGCGGTTTCGGAATGTTCGGCGGCCGCGGGGAGTACAGCTGCAAGCTGAAGCTCTTCGATTTGGGCGGAGATGGTGGCGGCTACGAGAAGGAAGGTGTTCTCATTAGCGAAACCAAAGAGGTGCCCTACGAATGCGGCGCAAGGAGCAAGCATCATATACTGCTACCCAAGCCGGTTAGTGCAGTGGCCGGTAGATGGTATCTGGTGTGGGCAAGGATTGCTGGACCCTCCTCCGATTGTGGATCGTGTGGCCAGGTATCGGTTACCACCGAGGATCAGGTGGTCTTCTCCTTCAAGTCCAGCAAGAAGGCAAACAATGGCACCGATGTCAATTCTGGCCAAATACCGGCCATCCTCTATAGGCTGGTAACGCAGGACTGCAAGCAGACGCCGGCCCAGATGGATGCCGATCCTGTGCAGCGAATATCTCGTGCCTTTGCCAACAGTGTGAGCCGGGAGTGCTTCGAGAGTCTGGTGGTGCTGCTCAGCTGGGCCTGGGACTGCTTCAAACTGCAGCTGCGTGAGGAACGCGATCGGTCGAGGCCACTGCAGCTTCAGCAGTCGCTGCAGTACCTTGGCTATGTGATTAAGTCCTGTCTACGCCTGCTACGCAAGTATACCAATGAGATATATCCACAGCGTAGCTCCTCGGGTGCCGCTTCTCATGGAGGAGCTAGTGGTGGTGGTGGCGTAGTGGCCGCTGCCCTGGCCAAGATGCAGGCCAAGGCTAGCAGAGACAAGAGCTCTGCTCCTCGAGCCGCAGTAATGGCCAAATACTTTGGTGATCCATCGCCAGCGGCGGCAGCACCGGCCATGATCAGTAGTGGTGGGAGCGGTGGAGCACCATCTACATCCGCTTCGGCAGCAGCAGCGGCAGCATCATCATCATCAGCCGGCGGAGGAGCAACGCCACAGACACGTAAAACCAATATGGAGAACATCCAGCTGGCGGAGTGCATTGGCAATGTTCGAGCCCTGCTTATAGTCATCTTTTGCGATGACATCTTCAAGGATATAGCCACCGATGAGGGTGAGTAGCAGCACTATACTTTTGACTAGGAGAAATCTAACTCAATGACTTCCTTTACAGGTTATGAACTGGTCTTGGAGATCCTTGATGAATGCCATTTAAGCTTTGTGGCCTGCTTTGATGCCTTCTATCCCACGTCCTCACTGAAATGGAATTGCCTGTGCGATTTACTTGGTCAAATGGATCGCGGTGCTCTGCATTCCCGCCTGCTAAGTGCAATCCTTGCGGGCCTCTGCTCACCCAGTGTAAAGCTAAGGGCCACCTTCTCCCTGCTAAGTGCAACGGGCAATGAACGGCAGTCGATCATCAGTCCCAGCGATAACTCTGGCCTGCCCATGCTCTCCTCCACGGATGCCCATCAGTATCCCATTCTGGTCGAACAGATGATCTATCGAACGCAGCAAGAGAAGAGTGATTTCCTGAGTAACTCGTGGACCTTTAAAGATGTGCTTGTGCGTCTGCTGGACATCATTGCCACGCCCATACGCTCAAGGATCGAGGCGATATACAGCCGGAATCTAGGGAATAGCAGCAGCAATAACAGCAAGGAGAGTGTCAACCAGGGCCTGATCGACAACTGTTGCCATCTGTTGGCCAGAGTTCTGGCCGAGATTGTCTACCAGACGGCAATGGGTGAGTACGACAAGTTGTTTCTGCCACCGCGAACATTACACTCCACCGGAGCCCGTTTTGCCCGCTGCGATGTGAGTCGAACGTGGAATACGGGTAACTTTGGACCCGATGCCATTGCCTTTGCCGTGGATCGTCCAGGTGTGGCCATTGCCGGAGCCATGGTGTACTCCGGGTCGGGTAGCTATGACTATCAGCTGGAGTTGCTCTACGATAATACGGCCGATCTGCAGCCACAGCACAAATGGGAGACCCTAGAGTCCGTCTCGGGGACATACGATCAGGAGGCGGTGCACAATGATCTTGCCGAGATCAAGTTCGATCATCCGGTTCACATTAAGGAGAATGCACGTTACGCATTGAGGTTGTGCTCCCAAGGAGCACGTACCTGTTCTGGAGATGCCGGAATGCCAGTGCTACGAGGACCCTGTGGCGCCCAATTTCATTTCTATGCCTGCGATCTGAGCTTTAATGGCACTACGCCTGCGCGGGGACAATTACCTTGCATCCTGTACTACAGCACACCGATGAAGCAGGACGGAAATGGTGGTCAGACCAACACCAATGCCACTACCACAACCACAGGAGGTGGTGTATCCATACTGGAGGAGCGACCCTTGCTCCTGGGGCCGCACGAAGTCTCCACCAGAGATACAGCCTTGCAAATTGCAGCCGATATAACCAAGAAATGTACGGAACTTTTGATTTTGGCTAGGAATGCCATGGCTGCCTCGTGTTCGCCCTCGGATAATAGTTCCAATCACACCCAGACCATCGATTCCGAGCACAATATCACCCCCATCGAGGAGCACATGGACATTAACTGGGCCAACAATTCAAGGACAGCAGCATTGCCCACTGTGGTGGCCGCTTCAGCGGCAGATCCGCAGTTATCCGCTGCTCGGGATTTGGGCAAACGCATCGAGTCCTTCTCCAAGGGCATCATGGAGACCCTGAAGTTCGACAAGCGATCCACGAATCCCTTCGAGATGGAGATCGAAATGGGAGCCACCGAAATTGGAGTCGAAGAGACAGCCGCCGATCTGAGGAATGGCCAGAGTCAAAGTCAAAACCAAAGTCAGAGTCAGAGCCAAAGTCAAAGTCAGAGCCAGAGTCAGAGTCAGTGCCAGAGTGTGCCCATCAATGGGAATGAGAGGACCACCGACTACGAGCTGGCCGAGCAGCCGGCAACGATGCAGCAGCAACAGCTAGCCCAGTCCCAGGTGCACTCTGACTCGGAGGAGGCTCCCCTGGAGGCGGGTAACATGGCCGCAAGTGGCGGCGGAATAAGCGGAGCTGGTGGTGTAACCAGTCATGTGGCCGCTGTCCAACTGCTGGAGGTCTTCAATCTGGCTGCCTCCAATATGTTTCATACGCTTCTGCCGCTGGTCTATGCCCACATTGCCAATCTGGCTTGCAGTGATCCGAAGAGCTCCGTCCAGATTCTCGGCTTAATCAAGGAGATCCTGCCGCATATCGCTGCCCTGAATCAGTTGCATGTGTCCAAGGATCAGCGTCCGCCAGAGCCGGCTCTCTTTGCCCCCCAGAGTGGTCCGGGTGGTTCAAACGGTGCCAATAGCACCACCAGCAATCACTATTGTGTGGTGGAGAGCGAGCATCCGTACAAGAGTGCCAGCATCAGTTGCTATCGCGTCGAGTTCCCGCCATGCGTCCAATGGCTGACTATTGAGTTTGATCCGCAGTGTGGCACTGCTCAGCTGGAGGACTACCTTCTCCTGTCCATACCGATGCGACCGCCTACGGCTCAGCATCAGACGACGCCAGTGCCGCATGCCGATGATTATCTGGAGCAGGCGGACAACAATGTGCATAGCGGTGATAGAAGACGAACCACTGGTGGCGGGATAGCCGGAAGCGGAGCAGCACCAAGCAATCATATGCGTTCCGCCAGCGTTCAACTGACCATGGCCAGTTGTTGTCGCAGTCCGGGAGCAGCAAGTGCTCCTGGCTCGGCCACCGCTCCGAGTGCAACGCCGCTGCGCATGCAGGATGCCACCGAACGGGAATGGATTGTGGTGAAGAAATTCAATACGTGAGTTGGTTAATTGAAATTTATATCTTAATGATTAATTTTAATTGATTTTAATGTTAACTCTTGTAGAGCCTCCACCTGGCTTCAGAATGTGCTTATTCTGCCTGGTAATTGTGTGGAGTTCTCCTTGGAAACTGCGTCCCTTTATGCTCAGGATCCGCACAATAATCGCTATGGCTTCAAGTGTCTAGTGGTGGGCTATGACAATCCCACTTCGGTGAGTAAAGATTAATAAAAACCAAAGATTATGTACCAAATAAGGTAGAAAATATATAAGTAATATAAAGAATAAGATGCGTAATGCCAAGGAGAGCTTGAATTTAGACAGTCTTTGGACTAAAGTCAAAAAGAGATCATGATTTTTATCATTAACAACAGAATTCCAGGCGCCTTAAGCATTTTATTCTCTATATTGTCTTTCTTAGGGCCTCTTTCTCTTATTTGCCTCTCATTCTAAACCATGTATCTCTCTCCCGCTCAGATCAATGCCAGCAACTCGTGCCTCATAAGACTGGAGCAGGAATTGGCCTATTTGGGCGGCATGTGCAGTGCCAATCTAATGAAGAAGGAGCTCAATCTGCCAGGTAATATATCCCCTGTGTTCACACATTTCTAAACAACGAAATATATAATAAACCTCCTTTGCAGACGACAAGGATGTTGAGGATATGAGTGGCATAGAGGAGACCATCAGTGCCCATCATGCTCTGCTATCAAAAGGCTTTGCCTTATCCGAACCACAGTTGACAGTGCATCAGGCCTTGGAATCGTATCTGCCCATAGGGTGAGTCCTCCTTTCACTTATTTCCTATACAGAATATTGATATTCCATTTAATATTGTGGCTATTTACAAGGGAAATTCTTACATTGCTTAGGCATAATTAAGATACAATATCTATGGACTAAACTTGTAGGCTATGATTTTGGTACAGCGAAAGGTCACGCATTGGTGGTGGTGGTTCCATCTCTAGCTTCCTCCTCTAGCTTCTCTCAGCTCTATGTGTGTGTGTATCTCTGCTTTGTGTCTTTCCTTGGCGTCATGTCTATAAATCAGTCTTGAGCAGGCCAGCATTCTCGATTTGGTATACGATCTGAGTCTCTTTGTATGTCCGCGGCTCCGGCTGGACAACATCCAATTTACGTCGTCGCCGTTTCTGCACTATCCGCCACCAGAGCAATAGGCTCAGCAGGAGCAGCAGCAGGCCAAGGATCACACTACCAGCCACTATGTATGCCGTGTAGCTCTGTTGGCGACACTGATCGCTGATGAGCAGACGCAGTGGCAGTAAAGGTGGTGCCTGCTGCTGCTGGACTAGCCGCTGTCCCGGTGGCTGGAACATTAGCTGATCGCTGTGAAGGCGAAAGAACTCGGCCTTGGGCAGTGGTGGCTCTACATTCCTGTCCAGCTGATCGCAGCTCCAAGGATTATCATAGCGAAGCTCACGAATGCTTAAAGCAAAGCGCTCATCAAAGCGCAAAGGTTGCGGCTGTGTCGCGGGATCATCATCCTCCGCCTTGGGATCTGCACCTGGACGTGAGCTGCGCAGAGTGTTGTTGTGGAAACGCAACTCCAGGCGCTCGCTTAGCTGATACGAACGATGCACGGTGAGACTGCGGAAGGCTATCTCACTGGTGGCACCGAAATCATTGCCCCGTAGGGTCACAGCATCTCGGATCTGAGCCTCTAGCCATTCACCATCCACGGCCACAAAGTGATTCTCACTCAGGCTTAGTTTGGAGACAACTGTGGATACAAGGAGAATGTATTCATTAGAATTATGACCATGTACTTTGACTTTACTCACGTTTAAAGGAGAAGGCATGAGAGTGCACCTCCTGGTGGAAGTGATTGCCCCTCAGACTGAGCTCATTGAGAACCTCCAGTTCGTAGAAGGCTCGTGTGGGTAAATCACCCAAAAACTGACAATTGGCAATGCTCATTTGCTCCACGGCAAACTTTTTAAAGGCCTAAGGAAGGGGATACACCTTAGATAAATAGTTTTAAGAGAGATTACACTAACTCACCTGACTTTCAATGTGCTGTATAGTCACTCCATCCAGCTTGAGCAATATGGCACTGTTCTTGGTTGTGGTAAACCCAAAGGGTTTCATCTCATCTATCCGTCCGCCCACAAATGAGATCTCCTCAATGTTTCCCGTAATGGCATGTGATTCAATCAATTTGATATTCGTTTGTTCGAACTCCACAATCAGGGCCTTATTGCTGGCATAGCGAGGAACACTGAGGGCAGACTGGCGGAGCACTAGCTTTCCCACCTGGTTGAAGCTCACCTTGCGCAGGCCTATGGTATCGCCCAGGCAATTGGCTTCCACAACAAGGTCGGGACAGTGACGAATCTCCACCAGAGAGACGTCCCCGTGCAGGAATGGCAAGACCATGGGCTGTAATTAAGAGCAAAAAATCTCTGTCAAGCTTGTTCACCATTTTTCTTTTTTTGTTTAATGTAGTCATAAAAAGTCAAAAGTTCTTTAAAAATAGGCTCACTTTCGTCTGAAGGTTGAGTCATTAAATCGTGTTTATACACAAATTGTAGATAGCTCTTTTTATGTTGAAAATATTCACGGCCTTCTGTCAACTGTTTATAATTAAATTAAAGTGCACATTTTCTTCATATGTTTTTCTTTAGCTTTAAATATAAACACTACTTATTCTTGGGCGTAGTGGTAGTATGACTCACCTGGTCAATGTTATTGCAGTCACAGGTAATGGTGGTACTGCCACCGGAGCTACAGCTGACCTTCGTTAACTCCGCCGCTTTGGTGGAGTCTATGAAGCTCAGGAGAATGATAATGAGGAGGAGGTGGAGGTGGAAGTGGATTTGCATCCATTTTGTCCACACTGTGGGATCCTTGAGATTTCTGATATTTCGCATGATTATTCGCTCATATTTTAATGCCTATTTTCCGGGCTCTATTCACTCTTTGTTCATTTTCCGGTGTCGTCCGGTGTCTCCGCCGTCGTCGTCGTTCCGATGGGCTGTGCGTTCGTCCCGTAAATGCTGATAATTCCAATGGGGAATCTAGTACCTTATCTTTGAAGGTGTTTCTTATCTGCTGAATATACAGACATACAAACGTATAAACATATTGAAATAACAGTGATGTGTTGTGTGTTTACGTTTGTGTGTCACAGAGTAGTCATACTAGACTATATTTGCTATAATAAATATGTGTGTTGTTTGTATAGTGTGTGTATGTGTGTGCTTATTGGGCCACCCTAAAAGTCTATAATTTATTTTAGATAAAATAGCAAGCTTTTTATATACGCTACTCATGGGGTGAAAGGGTAGCTGAATTCAGGGAGATGTATATATTTTAGCCATGTCCGTTTTTCCATTATAAATACTTAAATTCAAAGACTATAGGAGGTAAAGCTAAGCCTAAATACGTCTCTATTTTGTTTAAAAGAGCCTTTTTAGGCTACCTTACCTAACCCTTAAAAATACCCTATATAATGTTAGTATATCTGTGGCAAAAAAAATCTATTTTTTTAGAAATAATCTTGTATGTCACGATTTTGACCCTTTCTGGGCATTATAATCTTCGATATAAGCTAAAGAATTAATTTCCGACCCTATAAAGCATATATATTCTTAATCAGCATCAAAAGCCAAATCGATCTAGCCATGTTTGAAGCAAAACCATTTTTGATCAATTTTTTCAAAATTTTATAAAAAATTGTAAAATTTTGCATTTTTTTAAATATGTTAACTCAGTATGCAGATTTGTTGACCTAAAAAAAACTAGCACAGAACAGCTTTCCGAATCGAAATTAAGGCCTTTTTGGCTTAGTTATGATATTTTTAATAACTATGATTTGCCTAAAAACTAGTCATATATTAGATATCATATTTTAAATATCAATTCAATGTATAAGGTTTAGATCTTGTTGTTGAAATACGAAGGCCAAAATGTTAATAACCACAGCTCACTTTTGTAGAATAAATTTGCTAGAATTATCTAAAAATATATACATATATCATCCGCTACGATTAAATATTTGCGTTTTTTGTGACCGACAATAAACATGTATTCATTCTAGGTGATCTTAATCATTGCAACTACTTGCAAAAAAGAAAAACTTAAACTTGCAACCGTCATTTAGGCTGAAAAATGTTAAAGTTATAAAGAAAAGCTTAAAAAAAAGCTATTTTTTCTGCAGAAAAAATGATAAGATTGTCTTTAAAAGACCTTCCATGAAGTGGCCAGGTGCCAGTGACTTTACTGGCGGTTAATTAAGACGATCCTTATAGCGTTTTCTTCCTATGAATTCATGTTTAAATTCCAATTATTTTGTATTTTTCTTATTATATTCTCAAATTTCTCTTTGACTTCTATACGCCGATTCTAGAGATTATCGATTGCTTCGGGTTTATATTTAACTATCGGTTATCGGTTTTAAACGAGTTTCCACAAAGTACGTGTAAGTTTTTACTTGCTTTTAATAGTTTTTTACTATTAATATTACTATTAAATTAATATTAATAATAATTATTAATATTAAATTTTGTGGGCATAAAACTTCCTATATTCATTATATTTAATTTATTTTAGAAAAGTGAAACAGCTTTGAAATGATTGACTGATCTTGCGATGATTTTCTATTCGATAGAAGAAAAAGAAACGAGTTTTCTAAAACTAACTTAATGAAATTAAAGCAGCAACAATGAAAGTTAATAGCATTAAATTATTCCAAGCACCATTAGCATATAAACCGATCTTACAGATAGCTTTATAGTTCCAATTGTGAGAAAAGTGTTGCATAACAGTGAATAAATGCAATTTCCAATTGCAAACATATCAAAATTTGATCGATTACTGCCCGAAAAACTTCATCGGTGTCGATCATAATCAGCTAAAAGTTAACATTATTGCCCAACAACCATGAAGCAGAGACGATGGACGAGGCTCTAATTGAATCACAACACCCTCTCCCAAATGATGATCACTTCACTTTGCCCGGTTTATTTTCTATTTTTCCTACAATCACGAAAAGCTGTTAATTGAATTCGGAGGTCGTACTGGGTCTGGGTCTCCTCAGTCTCTGGAAGAGGGGAACTGGCTTGGAACTCGAACCGGGGACCGGCAACTGGAGACTGAGTCTCTGGTAGCCGCCTGAACATGAGCAATTATGCTTTGTTATTTGTTTATGGCCATTTCCATTTCCATTTGTTTATAGAACTCAATTTACGAGAGAGAGAGAGGGGGGAAAATTTAGTTAGCGCTCAACTCAAGTGGCGACTGTTCAAATATTGGCGCACGAGTCGAGAAATTCAAAAATTCCAGAGTTGCGTCGACAAGTTAGCCCGCCATCATGATCATGGTTGAGTTTTTATCATTTACGTTTATGGGCATTAGCTTATTTGATGCTTTCACAAAGTCATAAAATATTATTTCACATTTATATAAATAATTTCTTTATAACTGCAATTCAAACTATCAGTTTTATTAAGTACCTTTTCCTGTACTTCATTTATGAACTTAACTGATACGGTTTGATTTGACTTTGATCCGGTCAAATACCTGCAAAGACAACCTTGCATCTGGGGACTATTTAGATAATGCACTTTTGATTCCAAAGTTCCTTCTTTTTGCGATAAGTTAGTTGTCAAAAGGTTTAAAATCGGTCGGGGCCTTTAAAAAAATATATTCCGGATGTGACACAGACAATGGTCAACCCTTTACGGGTGGCTCTTTTTTATTATTATTAAATCTGTCCCGGGATTGCTCTCCACATCATGATGATGTTCATTGAGTGGACTTGCGTTTAGGAAATTGAATTATAGCACAATTGCATTTTCCTGTTTCCCGAATCGGAGCCGGAAAACTCTGTTTAAAACTTCAATTAGGCGGCAATTAAGATATAGATAAAAGTATTAAATAATCACAGAATTTTGCACAAGTTTTAAGAAAATTTACTTAGGTCTTTTAAGTGTTTTTAAATATTTTTGTAGGGTGCCTAGAAAATGCAAGGTCCTTATATTTAGGCAGAAGACATAACACTCAAAGGCTCCTTGTGGCTTTTTGTTAACTATTTCTTACAACTATTTTGTTATAACTATATTTTTGTAATGTTAATATTAATATGCATATTTCATGGTCTTGTAACAAATTGAATTGAAGTGAAACGCTGTCAAAGCAAGCGAATCGAAAGGCTTCATTGCACAAACTAATGGAATTTCCATTGCATTGCAGTTGATTTTCCAAATACCCCATATCTTATCGGTGGTTATATCGCTATCGATAAGGTTTCGAATGATTCAAAAAAGCTCCGATTTCCCGCAGGATGACACATTATGTTGTATATAGAGTTGGCCAACTGTTTATTATTACTCCAAGGCGTTTCTAAGGTCGAATTACATTTACTTGGAAATTGGAGTGACTAACTCACTGCGGGACAGTTGAGAGTTTTAACGATCAGGCTATAAATATAAAAATAAATATAAATAAGCCTGGATATATGTATTTTTTGCATTAAGAAATGTAAATAATACAACAAAATATTCGTGTCATTAATTAATAATTTAAAAGGGCTTTGAAAAGGTTCTTCTTGTAAAAAGTATCTTCAAGATTCTTTTCTTCTTAAGTAATCTTGGGAATATATTATAAGCTAATTGCAGTTTTTAGAGAAAGCAGATACAGTATCTTGTGTCTTGCTATCTTTTCTAATGCCTTCTTTTAGCAATTAGATGGAAAATACAAGGTGCAAAGCTAGAAACTACAAGCTTTTAGCCAAACCTTATCTTATTGCAAAATTGTCAACGCCAACTTTCTTTCCCAAGCTCTTTGGAAAATATATTTCTTGATGGTTTTTTGGTTGTTAAAAGCGTATCGCCCGCAAAAGCTCATTTAGCCAAAGGTCTAAACCAACTTGAAAAAAATATCAGCGAAAGAGTAGTAAGTACTAGAGAATACCGAGGGCACTTGATGGGGTTAATGTTTTTAGCCTGTGGATTTGTTTTTTGTTTGGTTTTTAGCTTCTGCTCTTTGCTTTCTACTACTTGAAATTCGTGCACTTGTATATTTTTTGTATTTCGTTGTTGCCATTCTATACACTTGGCGAAATTTCCAATTAAACTATTATAACATTGACTTTGTCCCGGTGATTACAGTAAAACTTAATCGAATTTAAGAAACTTGGAATATATGAAACTACATTAGAAGCTTCGTATTCGATATTTTAAATTATTGTAGTTTGGCATTTACAGGGTACTATTAATTCAGTCAAAAGCTTAAAAGGCAGTGAAGAAGTCATTTCCGACCCTATAAATCATATATATTCTTGATCAGCATTAAAAAACGAGTCGATCTAGGTTTGTCTGGGTGAAATTTATTTATTTTTTTTAAATTTCGAAATTTTATAAGGGGTTACATCGTTAAAATTTGCAACAAAAATTTAAAAAAAAAAAAATTAAAAAATTGTAAACTTTAAACTGATTAAACAGATTTGTTAATCTTATAAAAACTAGCATGGGAAAGCTTTCCAAATAGAAATTAATGTATTTTTGACTTAGTTATGAAGATTTGAATGATCAAAATGCAAGGGTATACAAACTTGAGCTTCCCAGAGTTAGCTTCCTTTTTCTTTCTTGTTCATATTATTAATTTTAATATAAATTTTAAATACAAGTATGAATAAGAGAAATTTAGGTAGTTTCTTCCTTTAAAAAATACAAATTTGGAAAGAAAATTATATCACGCTTAAAATTGATATGTTTCAACCTGAAATTGATAGCTAAATGGTGTGATATTTTTCGCACTATCTTGTCAAATGTTTTAATATTAGAAAAATAATGTAAATACACAATTTGCATTATTGACGTTGCACTGTACTGTCTTTATGTTCCAGTCACTTGGCACATTTATCGATGTACTTCTCGTAACATTGACTTTGGATCTGGATTTGAATGGTTTTTTGTTGTATTTTTTATTTTTATTGTCTTGGGGTTTTGGATTTCTATTTTCAAAATTAAATTTTTTGTTTGTTTTGTTTTGATGCGTGGGATCATGATCATGATTATGATCCAGTGTGATCATTAGAAAGACGAGGGAGAAGTAAATCTTCTTCTCTGTTTGTTTGAATTCATATTTTCTCTCGTTCGTTTTTTTTTTAGCTTCTCCTCTGTGCTTGCAACGCAAACAAAAATTTTTCCTACTCTCGCAGATTTTTTTTATTACTTTGAACTTTATGGTCAGAGGCAGGCCACAAAAATGCAATACACACACACGCACACCCAGCTTTTTTTTGACACGAGGCAAGCGACAGGCGACACCAAAAACAAGAGACTTTGTATTTTAAACAGACTTTAAGTACTAAATACTAGTTAATATTCACATTTAATACTTATTATTAGCAGTGAAATCAGCGCACCAAATTAAACAAAAACTGAAAAAAAACACGCGATCTCCGGTCAGAGTTTTGTTCTTCGTCGTAGTTGTTGTTTTTGTTGCTCCACCGACCGGCGTAAGCGCGTGCGAATGACAAACTGAGCGCCAAACCGCCAAACGCTAAACGTTAAACGCAAAACGCAAACCGCCAATCTCCCGCTACCCGTCGACTCTCCCAGCTCCCATTTCCCAGCTCCCCAATCTTTGCTGCCAGCAGCAAACGCTCGGCAGAGCGCCAGCCAAAGCTGAGCATTTAGCTTTTTATACCCATTGCTTGCAGGGTATCATGATTCTAGTCAAAAGCCTGTCACGCAGTGAAGGAGTCATTTCCGACCATATAAATCATATATATTCTTGATCAGCATGAAGAGCTGAATTGATCTAGCCATGTCTGGTGAAAAAGTTTTTTTTTAAATTTTTTTAAATTTTTATAAGGGGTTATATTTAAAAATTTTTATAAAAAAATTAATTTTTGTACACTTTAAATTGAGTATGCAGTTTTTGTAACCTTACAAAAACTAACACTGAACTGCTTTCTGAAGCGAAATTAAAGCATTTTTGGCTTAGTAATGATCGTTTTAAAATTCTACCTTCCGTTCCATTAGCAAAAATTTAGGGGTACACAATTTTCGGCTTTCCTTTCATACTAACAAGTAAAATAATAATAGTACCTATTTATTTACCTATTTAATAAATTTCAAAACAATATGTTTAAAAACTTTCTAAATAAAAACGGACCACAGGTCGTATACGCAATTTCTAATCTTCGAAGAGGCAGATATTTTCTGCTCTTCTCTGGCAGAACTGCCATCACTGCCAAGCTCTCTCTTTCGACGCGTTGTTCTCTCTTTGCCGCTCTTCTCTCACTCTTAGTAAATGAGCGCCAGTTTGGCTGCAAATGATCATAAGCTAAAAAAAAAAAATACAAAAACAAAAAAAAATCAAAGGCAAAGAATTTTTGTGTTAATTTGCTGTACACCATAAACATTAATAGATATTTTTCTATATTTTGAATACAAATAAACAAATATAATAAATATTTTATGTATATTACCATTTTAATTTAAAAGTTAATACTTTTCAAAAGAATTTATATAAATACAAACCCTTTGCTGTGATCACAATTATAATAATACCACAATTTTCTAAAATAATAATATTAACTTGTTAGCAACTCTCTCTTTTATATTTCTAAATACCCATTTCGCTCTGTGTATTTATCTTGTGGTATTGTTTACCATTTCCAAGTTGAAGTTGAAGCTGACTATGGTTATATGGATATGGATAGGCATGGAGAGAGGAATATGTGGCTGAATCTGATTCTTTGATTGCTTGCGACTCGTTTAATTGACACTTGCCGCTGCGAGAAAGCCCCCGCAAAAAAATGTGGGGATAAAGGGAGAATATGTGAAAAAAAATAGAGAGAACAGAGATGAGAAGACCGCCACAAATCAAATTTACTTCGGGGCAAAAGTAAACATGGAGCACTTAGCGAGAAGCTTGTTAAGAGCCGAGTTGATTGCCGGCTTTGGCTGTGTGTAAATAAATTACAAATCCGGGCGGGAGGCACTTTGAAATTTATAAAATACCATTTGAACTTTTGAACTTCATTAATTTTTCTAATTAATTTAATTTAGCACATTCATTTTGCAATTTTCTAACTCATTAAATGAATGTTTGAATTATTTACTGCATAGTTTAGGGTAATTTTGGTAAAAAATAAACCTTAAAGTAGGAGAAATAATATTTTATTGAAAATTCTAGTTTTATAAAGGCTTCCATTTATTGTTTGTTATATTGTTTCAAACGAAAACAATCCTATCTCTAAAATAATTACCTTAATTATGAAATTAAGTTAATAATGAAACCTATTTAACAGTTGCGATAAGCGTGCCATTTACCTTTTCAAAACTGATAAGGAGTCGAACAGGTTACATTTTCTGATTCACTAAAGAATTTTACTCGTGCACTGAAAACAAATCACCAAATCAAATAAAAATAGACTTAGGAAAGACAAAGTATATATACCCTTGCCGTTTGCAATTGAAATTTAAGATCGAATGTGAAAACGATCGTAATTAAGCTTAAAAGATTTGCATTCTTAGAATCGAATATTGATATTTTTATATGACAATTTCTCCGATAAATCAAAGTTTAAAAAACTCATAACTCAGCCGAAAAAGCATTAATTTTAATTCGGAAAGCGTTCCTATGTTCGTAGTTATTAGGTTAATACATCTGCATACTCACTTTAAAATTTACAAAAATTGAATTTTTCCATTTTTTTTTTAAATTTAACGATGTAACCCCTTATAAAATTTTGAAAAAATTGCAAAATTTTTTTCCTTCGGGAGTTAGCCAGAAAGATTCTCCTGTTGATGCTGATCAAGAAAATATATGATTTATAGGGTCGGAAATGACTCCTTCACAGCGAAATAAGCTTTTGACTAAAATTATAATACCCTGCAATGGTATAAAATAAAATCGTAAGAATTTTGAAATCTCTTCAGAAAAGGTGGCAAAAATATTCAATTGCAAGGAAACTAAACAAATTTAATCTGTATTTGGTTCTTCTAACATTTTAAGTCGTTCCTTTAAATACATTTTAAAAAGTTTTATCTTGAAGATCCTATGAAGTTTGTCTAATTAAAAAAATGATTTTTTAACTGTTTTACGAATTATTCTCAGCGCATTGCTGCTTTTACGATTAGAGACTTGAGAGCTGCAACCGATCAGGCTGACTTATTGGCCATATATGGCCCATTAATAACTCGAAAAGGCTTTTAGAACGCATTTGCATAGAGCGCAGTGCAGCAACAGCATTTAATTCTCATATATCGGTTCTGTGATCACGCTTGCAAATCAAGTTATACAACATTTCAAAAATGCATTTTCAGCATACTCACTCACACCCGCCGCCTATTGGCTTTTATTTTTCGCTTTACTCTGGCTTTTGTCTCTAGATTTTAATTTTTTACTTACTGTTTTTTCCCCCCTTATTGTTTTTGCTTATGGCAGCCGTAACAAAACAGCTGTGTAAGCCAAAGTGATTAATATTTATGTCTCACACGCCAGTTTATTGTTGCCGGCCCGGCGATAACTGAGAAATTGGACATATGATATGGCGAGGCATCGGAAAAATAATATCTGAATAGGATGGTTAATGAGTCAGGCGGGATATGAGGATAGGGAATTAAGAGTATACTCTAAACGTACTGATGAATTTCTAAATTTGAATTTTGAAGAGTTTTCATAGTAACTTTTAGTTTCTAGACATGTTTTTTAATAATATTATTTATATAAGTGAATGATATTTATCTCAATCTCAAGAGTTGAAAAAGGAGCAGATTTTTTAATGTTTTTATGATGAAAAAGGTAGTCTTTATGTCGATAAACCTTGAAAATCGATATTTTCAATTGTTTTTCACATAAAAATATTAATTTTAAATCTACAAGCAATACTATTTGATTATTTTATATAAAAAAATGATTTTTAATCAATAAACTTATTTCTGCAATATTTCTCTATGCTAAAGATAGATTTTTAGTTGATAAACACAGATTTGTTCAGCATTACAACTTCCAAAGAACCTGAGACAATCGATTTCAAAACAATAAACCCGATAAATTGGATATTTCCAAAATTTGTTATCCAAAAATATCCACTTTAAATTAATTATGAAGATTTTAATGGTTTACATATAAAAATAAATCAATTTTTAATCCATAAACCTTGATAATCAAGTAAATATCAATTTTAAATCGATAACTATTCGTTTTTCCAGCTATACAACCCCTCAAGAACCACACACTATGAATTTGTCTCTTAGTCTCCTCTGGGACTCGATTTATTTAAATTATTTGTTTTGACTTAATCCTAGCTTAACTCGTAGTTCGATTGGCTCCGCTCCATCTATCTTGTAGTTTTTCCCTTCGGAGAAACTGTTTCAATATCACAAAGTGTTTTTTCGTTTACTCTTCCATTTTCCACATTTCTTTTCTTCTTTTGTGCACTGCTGGCTGGCAGGTTTTCAGTTTAATGCTTATCTTAATCATTTCTTTCATTCACTTCACTTTTCCCCTCGTATTGTGGCAGCTGTGACAAGTGGCGGATATATGGGATATATATATATTGATGTATATATATCACTTGTATGTATGCGCTGCATACTTTCAGGCGTCCGCATAATCGATCACATCGGTGATTTGGACTGTTACATCACTGCCACCAGAGTGATCCGATCCCGAATCCATATGCTCCATGGCCGCCAGACTGGCAGCGCCATCAAGGCACTCAAAGCTCTGCCGGCTCCGGTGACGCCGAATACCCGGTTGACTGTAGGGCGGCGGATGGGGATGAGCAAGTGCCTCTGACTGGGATTGGGATTGGGATTGTGCCTGAGGCTGTGACTGTGACTGTGTCTGGGGATAATTCTGCTGCAGCTGTCTTTGGTTTCGTGCCGAGGTCAGCTGATTGGGATGAAACTGCGGCATTGCCTCCAGATCCTGCCTCAGGTCACGTACATGTCGTGGCGCTGTAGCTCCCACTCCTGCTCCTGCTCCTGCTCCTGCTCCAGCTCCTGAGGGCGGTCTACTGGTGGGAATGGCACTGGGCGTGGAGCGCCAAACTGGACTGGCATAGCAGACGGTTGTCGTTGTCGACGGTGGCTGTGGCCTTGGGTGTCGCATGGGCGTGGCATACTGATAGGCCGGTGGCATGTCATTCGCATCTGGAAAAACAGAATCAAAAGGTTTAATTGGGGTTATCTCTTTTATGTACAGTTGAACTAACTAAGGCACATATAGATAAAGATACAGATATAATGGGGTTCGTCTGGTATTAAGCGTTTCTAAATAAAAATAACTTGGATATGTGTAAATATGTATCATATTATAATATGTATATATGCTTACTCCTTACAATTATTACAATGTAATTCTTAAACCAAACATTTCATTGCCTTGTTAAATGATTTTTAAAGCCATAACGATTTCATCAAGTTATTTTCTTTGAAAGTGAATACCAGAATAGAAAGAAATATAAAAGATACAATGCAGATACATTTACAAATACCATTCTACCAGGTTACAGATACAATCACAAAGAGAGTAAGAGTGAGAGTGAGATTAAGATAAAGATATAGAAAGGGGAATCACCATCACCGTTTATATATTAGATTGGGAATAACTACGTGTTTTGTTGGTACCTTTGTGGGCTAATGCGTTTTGCATTTTGTGGATTGTGCTGATTTTGCCAGCAATCGGGTGCGTGCTTGTATTTGTGGTTTTAATTATTGTTTATTTTTTATTTTTTTTGGTGTTCTAGTACTTGCATTTGTGGAACTTTGTGTATCTTTTAAGGCACTTATGTAGAACACTTGTTGATCTCTCGTTGTGTCGATTGTAGCGAGAGGACTCCTATTTAGATAGCGAGTGTCCTTGTTTTTGGATAGCGAGTGGACTTCTTTCGAATAACGAGAATCAATGGAATTGGTTCAGCTTCGACATTTCTCTTTTATTCGAGCTTTCTATTCAGATTCCATTGTTTTTCTAGGTTCACATTTTTTTTAGTTTGGGATCCCTTTTGCAGACTTTAGTTTTCGTTTTTGTTTTTTCTTTCGGTTCTCAGTGTAAAAACTATCATAAATACAATAATTGTGATATGTACATACTAACTTTAAATGCTTCTGTACAATAAGATATTTGTATGTGTGTGGGGGTGCTTATTTAGGTATGTGCTTGCTATATATACAAATTATATAATATTAGTAACAAATTATAATTTTTGAAGGTTGTAGAGGGGGGCCATTTCCCATAAGGTGTGTTAACCCAACGAAAACCACACACAGGGGGGGGGGGAGGGTAAGAATAGATTAAGTTGGCCTACGGAGAACAGTAGTGACTGTCCCGATCCTGAGATCTTTGACGATTATCGTTCCGGTTGCAATCGTAAACGGATCGGGGAACGGGAAGACCGGGTAGATTGAGACCACGAGCACCGAAACCGTACTTACTGGTGGCATTGAAGGGCTCAGAGTACGGATCCTCGGCCTGTGGCGGCAGCTCCGAGTACTCGCTGGGTATAAGCGGACGCTGCTGCTGATCCGGCTCCTGGTAGATGGGCTCATCGTTGTCATAGTCACCGCACTCATAAGCACTGGGCGCACTGGGCGCCGCAATATGATTATGGTGATGAGGAGGATGATCCATCGATCCACCGGCACCGATCGTTGACATGCCGTAATCACCACCGCTGGCTGACATTGGTGAGCCGCTCTCATGGCATTCGGTTAGGTGATTCGACAGCAGATCCTTGATGGACGACGATTTGTGTGGAATGTGCTGCACAATCTCGCAAATGCGGGTCAGGCACTCATCCTCGGTAAATGGACCATTCTTGATTAGCTTATTGATGGCCTTGCGCGTCTGATCGTTCTCGCTGTGCTTCTCCGCCGCCAGGAGCAGCTGTCGCTTGGCTTCCTCCGAAAAGGCGCACTTCCTCTGCCTCGCCTGTCCACCGCCACTGGGACGCAGCCGGGGGACACATACAAATCCAACGTAGATGACAAAGGATACGATGCAGGTAGCCACGACCACAATGCAGGATACCCATGTGATGCTCAAGGGGCTGGCAGTGCCGCTCAACTGGTCACTCCCCGATTGTGTCATCCACAGGCCCTCGGAACAGTGTCTCGTACCATTGCCGCCACATGCCTCGTGCTCAAATCGTCGACGATCCACAGTGGTGGCATTGAAGCAGCTATGATCCTCCGACTTAAGTGGACAAAGAATCTCCGAATCCAGATCGTGATCGGTGAGTGTCTTCAACCAGGCACTGCCATCGCAGGAGCAAATGCGTCCCACGCTAATCCTGTGGACCCCGCATCTACTAAAGTTCAGGCTGCCCTGCTGCGGATCATCCAACTGATTGTTGGCAAAGGAGCAGTTCAAGGCTCCTATCGGGGCGCTGTTCACCTCGAAGCGAGAGAAGTGCCCAAAGCGATTGTTCTCGATCTCCACCTGCGATGCCTGGACAACGTTCAGCCAGTTGGGTTCCATGTGACGCACCGTATTGTTGTGTATGAATGTGTCCACCGCGGTGATACGAATCGCTCCGGATTGTATTTTATCAATTCTGTGGGAGGATAACAAAAAGATTATACAAATACTTATACAAGACTTCATCTAGAACTCACGTATTGCCCCGGAGTGTGAGTGTGGTAATGCCACTCTGATTGATAGCCTCGCCCTCAATGGTTCCAATCACTGTGCTCACAAAGGACACATTCTCGCTGTGTAGCTTATCGGTCAATGCCTGGGCCTTGATGGTCGTTATGTTGCACTGCTCAAAGGATAGCTCCTTGATTTTGGTCACGTCGAAGGCATTGCGGCCAATGGTGCCGATGTTGCAGCGCACAAAGCTCACCTTGCTCATGGACAGATCGAAACGTCCAATCTCATCGATGGTAGAGTCCTCAACGCGTAGCTGTGAGATCAAGGAAATTGGTGAATTAATTTCATCAATTAGTGTTAGGACTCTACTCACATTTATGCCATTCTGGGCTCCACCATGACTGAAGGCTTTCTCATTCAATTGAAGATCCTTGATCCGCCGGAAGGTACAGTCCAGATTGGCCATAGTAAAGGCATTGGGGAAAACTACCAGAAGTTCGGTATCCTCCACCAGTAGCTTGAACTCGACAGCTGAGGGAATGAGTTAGAGAATAAGTTGTTATTCGGTTTAGGAGTTCACTTATCCTTCTTACCCGACAATGTCCTGTCCTGCAGATACACCTGCGACACTTTGCGAAACTCAATGTTGGGATAGCCTCCTTTGTTGCGGCTAAAGGCATTACGGGTTACCTCCACCCTATCGTTGTCCTTCACCCCATTGACACCAAAGTAATTGACCTGATTGTCCTGGAAGAAGTTCTCAAATAAACGGAACTCGATGCTGGGCCTTAGATACACCTCAATGGATTTGATCTTGACGGGCACTCGGTATTTTGAGTCCCAATCTGCTGACAGCTGTAAAAGTTATAAAAATGGAAATTAATTAAGATTCTTTTCAAGGTATAGCGTTTTCAGCCCTCTCTCTTTATGCTATTTGGCTTTTCTTGTGGCACATAAATGACTGAGTCAGACCATGGGCTATTAAACATCATTCGTGCACAAAAACTGGGAGTTGCCGCCAGACGAAACGCGCTTTTACTCTTTTTATTTTACTTTATTCTTCTTTTTGTTTGTTTGCTTTTCTTTTTTGCTGATGGTGCTGCTGATGTTGCTCCTGCTGTTGCTGCTGGTGTTGCTGTTGCTGGGGGGTTGTGCCGCTTGACTTACATTTCTTGCGGTCTGTATACACGGGATGCCTCGCCAGTCGGACCGCCTCCCTTTTGCTTGTTTTATTTTTAAACGCAGTGTCTGCGACAACAACAATGGGCAAAGCAGCAGCACTTACAGCAGCAACAACAGCAGCAGCAACAACAGCAGCAGCAACACTAACAAGAGCAACATCAGACGACAACGGCAACTTGACCGCAACGCGTTCATTGCTCCAGCCATCCAGGAGAACCCCCCAACTGGAACTCGAACTCAAACTCGAACCATCACCCCGAGGGTGCAATTTTCTCATTAAATTAAGTGAAAATAGTTGCAACTTCAAGTGGCCGCAATGATGGCGATGACGAGATGTCCACGACGCTGATGATCATGTTTGTTGATCACACGTCGGGGTTGGTAGCTCTTGCTCTCGTTCTCGTTCTCGTTCTCAAGATCTTTATTATTATTGCATTAATGAATCTGGATAAAGTGAACGGAAATCAGAGCTTCTCAAGTTAATCTCTGTCATCTCAGAGATTATTCTATTTGATAAGAGTTTTAGGGAGTTTTTCGAAAGTAAAGTCTATAGCATGTGAAGGGGAATTATATATGATTTAACTATTATTAATAATAAATGTAGGGATAAAAGGAAGGCTAATCCTAGGTTGCATCTATAAATATTCTTCAGTTCACTATAGTTATTAAATTGTATGATCCTTCTTTATTAAAACAAAGCATCCTCAACATTTTGATTTCTTCAATACAAAGATAGCTTCTTAAATCAGCAATTCAAAGAATAAGAATTTAAGTTTTCTACATTTTAAAACCTTAAAGTCTTTTACTAATTTGCATTTTTGGCAGTTTGTAGACTGATTCACACTTGAATCACTCATTTCTCACTGCGTATCACAGAAGCAGACTGACTCTTCCGATAAGAACTTCGTTTTTTTAGTTGTTTACAAAAATACTGGTTAATTCAGGTCTGTCATTGCACTAGATGGTGAAATAATATTTGCCAAGTATAATTTAGCTTGACCAAATTACAAAAGTACAAACAATATAGATCCAATCCCTGGGAACATAAACATTTCAGTCAATTAATGATAGGCCTTAAAGTAAACAATATTTTGAGCTTAAGTATCTGTATTCTTAATAAGCATAAAATTATTGTTTCGGTAACATTAGTATCAACTTTAATTGGGCTTTGTTTACCGAGTAGAAGGCGGCGATTGTCTATACATCTTTTGGTTTCCTGCAAAATTGCTTATCAAAGGCAGAACTGTCGGCTGCCGGTTGTCGGATTTCGAGTTTCGTTTGTTTTGGCTGTCTTTAGCTTTATGGATGAATAATCAACCCCATATCGCCCTTCAAGGGAGGTGTCTACGTGCCTCAGGTCCCTCACAAATACACACAGACCATCCCGTCCCATCGAATGGCACCACTTTTGTGTGGCTTTTCGCTTAAAAGACCATTTTCCAATCAATCCAAACGTTATGTTCGGAAATTGAATATCACTATTTAGTTTCTGGCTACTTCAAAGATGAAACATCTGAAGAAGTGTACTGTTTTATGATACCATTGCAGGGTATTGTAATTTTAGTCAGAAGCTTGAAAAGTTGTGAAGGAGTCATTTCCGACCCTATAAATCATATATATTCTTGATCAGCATCAACAGCAGAGTCGATCTAGCTACGTTATGAAGGAAAACAATTTTGATAAATTTTTTCAAAAATTTATAAGGGGTAACATCATTAAAATTTCCAAAAAGAAATTTCAAAAATTTAAATTTTTTCAATTTAAAATTGAGTATGCAGATTTATTAACCTCATAAAAACTAACATAGGAACGCTTTCCGAATTAAAATTAATGCTTTTTTGGCAGAGTTATGAGTTTTTTAAACTTTGATTTGTGGAGAAAATTGTCATATAAAAATATCCATAAATATCGATTCTAAGAAAGCGAAATATTTTCAGTTAAGTTACGAACAATTTTCGATTCAAATATTTAATTAATTTCCAAACTGCAAGGGTATTTAAACGTTGGCTTCTTGTTTATTTTAATTTTAATTTTAATTAATATTATTTGTATGGTTTTTTTTAGGAAAACATCCAAATTGATCTTGAATTTTATTTTGTATTTTGTTTTTGTCTTTTCTTTTTATATATATATATTTTTTGTGTATCGTCGTGAATCAAATTTGTAATTTTCATGCCATAATAATATAAAGTTAAGTGTGGCAGGGGGAATGGGTAAGGTGGGAAAATGAGACCCATTATAATGCAGGCCGCGATCCAAAAGCCGGGCCACCTGCTTCTTTTTTTTTGTCTGGCCTCGTTTGGGGGAGGTTCAATGTCTTTGGATCGGAACCTGAATCGAAATCTTTAGCTGCAGCTGCTTAGCTTGGGCCCCCCTGGGCTCCCTCTATCTCTTTCTCTATCTCTCTCATTCTCTCCCTCTCTTTCTCTGATCCCCTGATCGCACTTGTTGAGGTCTCTTTTCTTCTTGCTGAGATTTCTGACCTTCTTAGTCTTCGCTGTTTATTACATTTGCTCTCATTTGTTTATTTATTTTCCCTACCCCTATACACAAACAGAAAATGAAGAATGTATAGTGTATATATTATGAATCCATAACTATATTATAAATATATTATTTACCATAAAAAAGACAAAGAACTTGAAAGAAATGATGAGAAATTATAGCAACATTCGATCGAATAGTTTAAAACCCTGATTATTTTTGGTTTACACAAAATATATAAATATTGTTAAGTATGTTTTGATAATTGTTTTTTTTTTTTGTTTTGTTTTTCTCCATTCCCCACTTTTCTCCTTTTCTCGCTCTGTTTGCGCTCTTCTCTCTGGGCGCAATTTCTTTCAATTGCTCCAGTTTCTCGCTCTTTTTTCTCATCTTAAAGAGGAAGTCTCAATTACGTGTGAGTTTTAATTTGCTTGTTTGTCTGACAGACAGTTTTTCCCTTCCTCTTCCCCCTCCATGCCCACACCCATACCCCCTTTCTTACCATCTTGTTCCATTGGTTTCAAGTTTATGAGAACCATCAGTCCCGAGGGCGGGAGCAGGAAAAACAAACAACATTGCTGCCGAAATGGCTGAAAAGTTTATGAAGTTCGAACTCGCCAAGATATATATCGCCATGAATTATATGAATCTATATGCTTGAGACACTGAGGAAAATTTAAGCAACATTATTCAACAATTGGATGCTGTTTAGCAGTTTGAATGTAATCAAAATACATATTTATTATTGATTTGGTATGTTTATTAATTTTTAAAGATTGCTGTCTGGTTTTTTTTTTCATATAAATATTTGGATATATGATATTTCACTGTGAACACTGTACATAATAGATACCTCTAGTTCCCTTAAGCTATTTTCTCTGTGTAAAAACTTGAGCTATATAATGTCGAGACTTTAGGTCTTTGCCTCTCTATATATAGAACCCACTCAGTGCCTGATCCAAAACCGATCTGGTCGCTTTCCGTCTTCTCCAAAAAAGAGATACCACCGTTCACTGTTCACGATTTTCACATTTTTTTCCGGCGACAACTTTACGGGATATTTTGGGAAACAACGGATCGGAATCATATGGTATACTATATGGTATATATGGTTTGGGTTGAGATTGGGGTTGGGGGGCAGACGACGATGAGCGGAAATAGCTGCCGTCGCCTGGCTGGAAGTGCCAAAACCAACAACAGCACATAAATAACCAAACAAAGCCAATTAAAAATAAATTATGATCCACCTCTCGTTCTCTTCGTGGCTATCTCTAGCTGTTTCTCTGTCTCTATCTCTAGCTGTATCTGTATCTTTTGGTAGTCCCTGGAAAAAACTCAAGCGAAACCGATACAGAGATTGTTAAATCAAACAGCGGCACATGGCCACAATGTTGGTCACATGGGCCGGAAAATTGGAAAAGGACTTTCCCAATTGCGGGTTCTCACACACTTATGCAGTGGCGAATGCAATCGTATCTGCATCCGAAAGATACAGATACAACTTCGGACACGTTCGGCTGGGAATGTCTACGTGACTGACTGAAATGAAATTCCTCATGTGGTTTTTCTTTTGTTTTTCTTTTATTTCCCGCTGCTCGTTTTTAGAGATAAGCTGACCAAGGGCTATTCTAGATACTTTCTTCGGGGCGTGGCTCTTCAGCGATCTTGATTACAAAAGTTACTAACACTTGTTGTCATAAAATCAGGCATAAGTAGTACTCAAGTGCTGCAGAACACCTGAAATTCGTTATCTTTGAGCTACTTCAACTAATAAAATGGAAAAAAATTATCATTCTGAAATTCAAATGATAATATATAATAAATACTCCCAACTAGCTAAGCTTAAACTTAACTTAAACTATCTACAGTTTTTCTCTGTTTTTATATATATCCAATGATATTTCTTGAAGATTTTAAACTTCGATTTAAACCCTTTAGTCACAGCAAAAAATAACTTGTGTTTGTATCAGCGTTTTAATATTAGAATATTGTTTACTGCTCCTTCTTTGTAAGTAGGGTATCTGTCTCCGATGTGGAATCAATATATATATCTATATATATAGAGAGAGGAAACCATCGACTTGTATATATTTATGATGCACGCATTTATGGCTCCTCCTCGCCTTTGAGTAATCAATTTTTGAATCATATGTATACACACATTGCATTTGTGTTGCAAACGTTTCGATGATATTATTGTTCACCGATTAGTGAAATTATTGGCAAAATCGAATGCATCCAATCCGTTTTATTTTTTCATAGCGGACACACCACCTCCTGGTGCGCTATCCTCGGTTCTCGATACATACATAATATGTATTTCTTTCGGTTTGAGTTTTATTTTCTACTCTGCCCCAGACCGAGCTACTACTCATTGCATTCACACATTCATTCGTCTTGTTTTGGGTGCCTCTTCGCCTCCTTACCTCACTTGGCGTGGTTTATTGTTTCTGTTTGTGGAACGAGCGTTCAATTTGTGTGGCACTTGATGGATTTTTAGCAGCTCGGAGCAGCCATAACATTCTCGGTCCCAAGTAGTTTAAGTAGCCATTCCAAATGGGAATTTAAGTAGGCGCATTCCACTAAAATATATACACTTTATGGATCCCCCACCTCCTCCTCACTTTTCTCCGTGCCTGCTCTTTTCCACATTGGGATACATTTTTGGGATAGTCCCTAATATCGGAGTTAACTTTAAGTTTCCAATATATTGTCATAACAAGTTACTTTATATATAAAGTAAGTAAGCTATTGCAAAGGAATCTTAGCCAGGAGATAGGTATATTTGGACTAAAGGAGATCTTGTTCTGTTTCTGGAAATAACTTCCGGTTAGGCGATTTGTTTTGGACATAATCATGTTCTAGTTACGGACATAAGTAACCTTGGGTTAACCCAGGGCTAGAGTTTGAGAACTCAAAATTATTAAGCTTGGAGGAAATATCCAGTAGTTAGACTTAATAAGATTCGATTTAAGGATGTTTTTAGCTTTATTAACAAAAGTTCTGATTGCTAATGATCCAATACTTCCCTATATTGTTTCTACAACTTTACTATTTTCTTTTTCCACCCCCACAAATTTTCCGCTGAGTGCAATCAGATTGAATTGCTTTTGGTTTTTGAGTTCTCGTTCTCCTCTGGCCTGATTTCCGGTATTTAACAGCTGCTGACACTATATAAGAAGTCTTTTTGGCTTATTACTGTCAATCTGGAAAAATTTGAAGGCATCGGTGGGGGGTTAGGGAAAAGTAGGTGGTGGAATGCATTTCCATTTGGTTTGCTTTCTGCTTTATGTTTTCTTTTATTCCTGTTTTCGGTTTCCACTCCGCACTTTGGCACATAGAAAACACTGAACTGCAGGGCCCACGCAGCAAATAAATAAAATTCTGTATCTGCAAGATGACGACACATGACGCACACACACAGAACATATAGAAGATCGGGTGGAAAATTATATAGAGAGTGAACGATAAGTAGGGGAAGGGGGAGAGCGTCTAAGTTCACTCAATTACTGGAGGAAGTGCAGAATTGAAACGATTTCTAAAAAGCAATACAAGATAAATGGGTACATAAATTGTATGTACGGTGTAGTATAAATACAACATATACATATAGTATGTATGTTTTTATTCCGAGATATTATTTGGAAAATACTACGCCTTAAGAAGAGCATTCGGATTATTGATTACTAATTTCTGAATAGCCTTGTGAATCAATTCCAGGAACTGCACTCTGATTTGTGGTAAACATATGACATTATGGAGAGCAAAATATATATATCTTGGCTAAATAAAATATTTTTTAAACCTGCACTTTATGATTAAAATGACCTTGATATTATTCCATTAATCGAAACCATTTAGAATTCCATATGACCAAGTTGTATAGTAATACTTAGTATTCTAAGGAGACAGCGCAACAATATTTATTCAACCTGTATTCATTATCATGCTTTTCCCTTCAGCAAACACTTGCGCTTTCTACGTCTTAATATTATATTTATATATATTCTTGTTTAAATGCGTAAGAGCACTCCCCTTAAAAAATGTGTCGTAATTATTTAAGACTGCTTGGGGGGTAATGTTTGTAGAAGAATATTAATTAAAAAAACTATATAATATTTAAAAATCTTCAAGTATTAACCCAAAAATTTATTCATGGTCAGATTTATTATTATTATACACTTTTGTGTCAGTTTTTCCCTGCCATAAATTCAGGATTAAATCGGCAAGCACTTGCACTTGTTGTTTCGCTCTTAATTCTCAAGAAAACAGAGAATAAGAGTAAGACGAAGAGCCACAACACACACGTACATATATACCGGGTGTGTGTGTGTGTGTGTGTGTATATATACACGCACCTGACTCATTAGCATAACCTGTTGAACGTGTTGGCGGGGCAGCCAAAACTGAGGGGGAGGGGAATCGCAAGAGGAAGAGGGAGTGGCAACGGCGCCGCTGCCGCCTTCATTCGCTTTTCATTTATTCTTTTTATTCACATTTTGCACGCAGCTACTTTTTTGTTTATATTCTGATTGAGCGTGCGTATTAATCAAAAGTGTTTCACAACAGCAGTTTTTCCCCTTGGAAAACTATTTTCCATTTTACATAAAACAATTCTTAGCAAGAGGGAAACTTAGTAGTGGGAAGTCGAATTTTCTATACCCTTGCAGTTAAAATAAATCCTAACTCGACCAAAAATTCATTAATTTCAATTCGGAAAGCGTTCCTATGTTAGTTTTGATTAGGTTTATAAATCTACATACTCCATTTAAAATTTTGAAATTTTAAAATTTTTATCAATTTTTGACAAATTTAATGATGTAACCCCTTATAAAATTTTGAAAATTTTGAAAAAATTAAATTTTTGTCAGACAAAGCTAGATCGAATCGGCTGTTGATGCAGATCAGGAATATATATGATTTATAGGGTCGGAAATGACTCCTTTACATTTTAATAAGTTCTGACTGAAATTATAATACCGTGTAAGGGTATAAAAATTCGATGCGGTTCATTGATTGCTAAGGGAAATAGAAAACAATCAAGTTCATTTCAAATTTTACTACCTTCTTGGGTTTTAAAATAAAACCAGAAACATCAAAAGAAAATCTATTTAAATACTACTCTAAGCTGTAAATATCATTTCGAGACTTTTTTCATTATCAGAAAATTCCGGCACTTGAGTGCATTATCAATCACAAGAAAGGAAACTGAGTGTCACATTTCTCTGATGGCGGTTCATTCCTCCGCCACTGAATACATAGACAACTAAGTCAACAATGGCCACTAACTAAACCCGACGAGACTTGTGTGAGTGTACTTTACGCACTCACTGTTCCTGCTCCACCATCTCCCTCTTCGACCTCTCCCCCAGCTTCTGTGTTTTCTGGGCTTTGCTTTGTTCTATCCGCTTGCCTTGGTGCGTTTTATTTTAGTTTACTTTTGCAGTTAGCTGCCAAAAGCTTCCACATCTGCTGGAAATGTGTACACTGTACAGTGATCCCTGGAAATCACTTTACAGATAACTTGGAACTGGAATTGTCCAGAAATTGTTACGAGTGGCATTTACAAATTAATTGTGTGATCGGGCAATCATTAAACTAATTGCAGCCTGAATACTGATAAATTACCTACCGTTGATTTCTAATCAATAACTTAGAAGAGCACGTAAGCCATAATAATTTATACGTACGTATGTGGCGCTTCCTAATCAGTCCCTGAATGAAAATAAAATATTGATACGGGAAATCAAGTGTCTCACTATTAGTTAATTGATTATTTTGGCATTACTACTATTTCTTCACAGTCAAATTTTATTAAATCATTATTATTAATTGAATAATGTTGTTAAATGCACCCATTTCCCTTTTATTACAACATCACTGTTTACTTGTAAAAACAAGATACGTTTATTTGATTTCCCATAAGTGACAATAACTGCTGCTGAACGCGACCATTTTCGTGATTTGCCATTAATCACTGCAATTATCGCCTGAAATGGTGCAAACGCTAAAATGCAAACACTTGCCCAACATTTTCTTGCCAAATGCAATTTCAATATGTCCAAAACCAAGTAAGATATTTTTATATTGAAAAGAACTTTTCGTATAAATGCTAATTTCATTAGGAAAAGATAAAAAAAACACCTTCAAATGCTAAAGGTTTTTGCTAATTAGAAAAGCGGAGACATCTGGTTTTTGGAAGGAGTATCCACTGTACCAAACCCTTAACAATGCGACATGTTTCAATGGAATCATATAGATATGTATATGTATTATATATATTTTTTCGTTTTTTAAGTTAGGTCTGAATGCAAGTGTTTCCTGTGCCAAAAGATAAGACCAAAGACATTCAGAGTTTATAGCTGCAGCTTTGATTCGAGTGTCTGCAAAGATATGAAGGGACTTTGGTCGAAGCTCGCTGCATCGAAAATTCTGGAAACTAAATTAGACAGGTCAAGCTTTTTCTTTTAGCCAAGTTACCAAGTAAAATAGTTGGCCAAAAGCCCTTATCAAGCACTGTTCTATTTCGAATATATTAATCAATTTGTAAATTCTCATAAAAGAAGAGGTTAGTAAGCTCTGATGGCATAACACGAGCTTAGTGTTTAGACTTTTTTTATAGAGAAACAAGAATTTTGATTTTATAATCTCACACATCTTTCTATTGTTTTATTTTTTTTAACAAAATGCAGGAATCTGGTAAAATGAAATCATTTGAATTTAATTAATTTACAGGTAAAGAAATTTGTTTTCAGTTTGCAAATAGTTTTTTCCCAGCACTTTTAATGCAATTTCCAGTCTAAGCCACAAACTTGTAGAACTCTTTGTGTAAACGGCTTTTTCGGCCGTGACAGAATCGAGTCGATGACCAATTAACTAATGTCTAAAAACCGCTTTTTCTATGCCTTGGTGTTTGTTTTTCTGTTTGTGGGGTGGTGATTCAGGCCGAAGAAACTTACCGTTTTGTTTAGCTGGAAGTCACAGATGGCCTTGAGGTGGGTGCAGGCGCAGTGACTGCAGAGGTTCTCCTGGTTGGAGGGCTGCTGCTGCTGCTGGACAGCGGGGACGGCGGCGGCTCCGGCACTGGAATGGGGATGATGCCCGGACAGGAAGTCCTGGCCGCCGGAGGAGATCTGTGCATAGCCGGGAAGGCGATTGTAGCGGTTCACAAATGCGGCTATTGGATGGGACCGTAGGAGCCACAGGATCACAGTTAGGCACAGGATGTGCATCTTCGACGTCGACGTCATAACTATTTTTTGTCTTTTCTCTCTCCCACCGTTTGTCTCTTCTCACTTCCTCTTCTTTTCAATTTCGTTGGTTGTTTTTTATATTTTTTTTCTCAATTACATTGACAATTAAAATGCAATGCTCTCAGGCACTTCTGCTCACTGTATTTATCGCGCTCTCTTTTTCCCCAATAGCGATATTTTAAGAGACGGCACTGAAATACATATTAATGCTGTTCATCATCATTCACTGAATTAGTTTGAATATAAAAAAAAAACAAAGCACAAAACACTAAGAAAAAGAACAACAACAAAAAAAGACGGCGTCGCGAGTCTCGATTGTATATAAATAATAATATAGTAAGCCCCGCACACGGTCAACGTTGTGATCTCGACGGCGGCTCTTCAACGAATAGTCAGTGATCGTTGGAAAGCCAAAGAGCGGTGCCAGTTCTCTCGTTCCATTACTCTCTCTCGCTCTCCCGTTCCAACTCTCTCTTTCTCTCTCTCATTGGATTAGTCAGCGAACTCGCTCTACACTGCACCGATCGCATATGTTGGTCCATTAATCTGTCTCTTAGTTTGCATTTTATATATACCCTTTCAGTTAAAAATTGAATTAACTGGATAACTGGATATAAAAATTCTTTCGACAAAGCAAAGTTTTAAAAACTCATAACTGGGCCAAAAAAGCATTAATTTCAATTCGGAAAGCTGTTCAATGTTAGTTTTGGTAAGGTTAACAAATCTGCATACTGCAATTAAAAATGAAAAATTTTTATAAATTTTTAAAAATTTAATGATGTTACCCCTTATAAAATTTTGAAATAATTTAAAAAAATTATTTTTCTACCCGACATGGCTAGATAGACTCGGCTATTGATGCTGATCAAGAATATATATGATTTATAGGGTCGGAAAGGAGTCCTTCACATGGTTACAAGCTTCTGACTAAAATTATAATACCCTGTAAGGGTATAAAAATATATGAAGAATATATTTATATATTTATACCTTTAGTTTACCGATTTCTTTTAGCTTAAGCTCACATTAAGCTTCAACTTTAAGTTTATTTTCTACAAAAACATTGTACTTTCCTTAAGAAAAATTGAATTACAGAATCAATGGTCTTTTACCCATACCCAAATTTAGTTCAGTGCACCCCTACAGGCTCTCATTTTCATTCTCTCGAAGGCATCACAGCTGATCTCAGGGGCTTTCCGATAAATTAAATCAGCTGAACCGCTTTTTATTTCATTCCAAACTGGGCCCATCCATCCACACATATGTACATTTGTATGTAAAAGTGCAGAGGAGCTCGAAGACTATAAACCAGCCACGGCGGAACAACGAGAACAGATCAAATCCACTTTGAGTCGCCCTTTATTCTGATCTTTTGTCATCGAAAACGGAGACGGATCTGGACAAATTGTACTAGTTCCTCTACAAAACTCTTAATTTGTACACATGAAAACTGTTTCGTTGCACTTTTTATATGACAAATATCCTTACAGGATCACAGACAAAGCCAAGGCAAAATTGCGAATACGACTGATTAGCCTGAGGTGCAGTTCTTTTGCTTTTAAGGGTTTGCCTTATCTAATCTAATCAACGTGTTTTTCTAATCAACTATTTAATTGTTTTTGTTCTAAAAAATGCATACATAGTTTGAGTACATACATATGTAGGAGTTTGATTTTCAATTGTGGGGTTTGAATAAGCTGAAATCATTGCTAAATACCGTGACGATGAGATGATTCAACAGCTTATTTTGATTGATATCGACGATAAGCAGCTGCATTTTACGAAGTTTGTTAAATTTACCACACTTATTTTAAACATACAGTTGCGGTAATAGTAAAAGCACCAAACAAGTGAAATGTTTATTTCTAATCAGGTTAGTTTAAATTCAAAATGACTAAGAATGGTTAAGAGAGCATGATATAGTATATATCTTAAAACGCTAAAATCATAATTGCTCAGAGTTAAGTTCCATTTATTTGGCCGCAACTGTCAATCTGTCTGTATAGTATAAGATGTTAGTATGTGTCCCATTGTACATACATATGTGCCTTCTGTCATTCTGACAGAGCGAGATGGCTTGCTTTTAATTGGCTTGCGAGGGGTTAGGTGGGGAGGTTGGTAAATTTAATTGATGCCATTACCCCCTAGAGTCAAGTCCCCTTTCGATTTTCCACCCCCTCCCGCACATTGCAACAAATCAATTTGCGTTCAATTTGGAGGCAAAGCGGAAGTTGCACCGCTCCAGCTGGGAGTGGAGAGAGTGAGAAAGACAGACGCACTCCTAGAGAGAGAGAGAGAGCTAGAGAGGAAGAAATGCGGGCTCACTAAATTATTACGTCGTTGGTGGATCGGTGATTTCTGTCTATAAGCCTCGGATCTTCTCCCTCCAGACCCTATCCGTTCAACAAAAAGAAAAATCGATACAAAAATGGGTGTCAATGGCTCACTCTTACTGACTTAGAATTGTATTGTATATGGGGGTGCGTCACGGAATCTCTAGGGATTTCAAAATAAATTCACTTACGAATTTATTTGAGGGCCATAAAATAATTATATAATAAGCCTCTAAGGGGAGTGTGTATAAGTATCTCCAAAAGCTTTCATTGTAGAGAATTTGAAGTTTCAGAATTGTTTTCACATATAGGCAAGATCAAAAGTGGCAAAATATGATATTATATTTGGAGAATTTGAGTAAAATGAAGTAGAAAATATAAAATATCATAATTTTGATAAAATTGTTTCCAGTTTTCGAGCTTGCACAGATCACATAAATCTTTTCTAGCTCAAAACCTGGTATTCCAAAATCCATCCAACGTGGTGAAATAAGAACGGATTGATATTGATATATTTTTTTAATTGTTATCGTAATACATTTTTGGAGTGCTTTGGATTTTGTTTCTAGAGTTGAGTGAGCGATAAACGCATTGACATACACACAAACACACAGGAAAACACAGACTTGGAGTTGACTTTGTTTGCCCTTGTATCGTCCTCTCTTTTTTTCTTCGTCCTATTTCCCTCTCTATCTTTCCCCCCTTTTCTCTTTTTTTTTGTTGTATCCCCTTGGCCAAGGCAACTCTTCCGCATTTTGTGCCCCGATAAAAATGAATTGAATGAATGAATGAACGATTACATTGCCGCAATAGGGAATACACACTTGGTGCCCTCTCTTTCCCTCAAACCTGTCCATCTCGCTCGCACTACTCCAGTGCAACTGAAACGAGCGACTCTGCAACTTGTTCCACTGCGCTCCACTTCCATTTCTTTGTGGAGAGTACGTACACTTAACCAAATATCATCATATACAAAAATATTAATAATAATAAAATTAATATATAAAATATTTCCAATATATATTATTATTTAACTTTATTGTTTTTACATTCAAGTCAAAAAATAGCAGAATTAGAAAGGATATAAAAAGATACATATTTGCAAACTTCCACCTTCCTGCAAAAAATAAATTGGAAATTATTTGCTTATCCTAACAGATTCAGAATCTTAATACTTTTTATACCCTTGCAGAGTATTATAATTTTAGTCAGAAGCTTGTTACAATGTGAAGGAGTCATTTCCGACCCTATAAACCATATATATTATTGATCAGCATCAACTGCCGAGTCGATCTAGCCATGTCCGGTGGAAATATAAATATTCGAAATTTTTCCAAAATTTTTTAAGGGGTTACATCGTTAAAATTGTCGAAAACTACTAAATTTTGTAATTTTTTACAATTTTAAATTCAGAATGCCGATTTATTGACCCTTTAAAAACTAGCATAGAAAAGTTTTCCGAATTAAAATTAATGAATTTTTTGAGTAGTTATGATATTTAAAAAAATTGGATTTACCTAAAAAAAAGCTTAATATTTTTGATTTTCTTAGAGGTACACATAGGCCAAGGGTATACAAACTTCGGCTCCCCAAAGATAGCTCAATTTCTTGTTTTCCATAATTCGTATTTTTTGATAATGAATTGAAATTTTAAGTGTATGGGGGAGTTGGAAGGGGATATAGGGTATTCCAGGGGGTAACGGGGTTAAATTGCAGTGGAAACGTGTTTCCCACAGGTAACTCACGCATACAAGCGCACACATGTGGCCACAGTTGGTTGCTGCCCTTTGTTTTTATTCTCTTCTCTTTGTCTCTCTGTTTCTCCCTCCCCCCTTTTTATGGCTCTCTCTTTTGGTCCCGATCTTCGGCTTTGTTTTGTTTTGCTTGCGCCCTGAAGTGCAGGGTCGCGCCACACGGGGAGTACTGGGGCTCCCGGCTGACATTATCATTTTCATTGGAAAACTCCAAAACGAATTCCTCCCTCTTTTTCATTTCCATTTCCATTTTCAATTTCGTTTGTATTTACTTTTTCGGTATTGTTTTATTTGTTTTTTATGTAAATAAAAATACAAATGTGTGTCCGCAGCTTTGTGTGTGTTTCGATTCCATTTGGTACCCCCGCTACCACTATTTCCTCCTCATTTTCTAATTTCCCGCTAATGAAAACCCTCACTTCCCCAAAAATAAGTAAGAATATTGTCACGAGCCGCGTTGATCACCTGTTTTTCCCTAATATTTCTTCCATGAAACTAGGTATTCCTATTATTGAAAACTACCAAAACTAGCCTTACTTTTACTTTTGTGTGTATTTTGATATTCACACAACATTCATATAATAATGACGGTAAAGTCTTATCAAATTAGATTAACTTACAACTGTTATCAAACGAATGGAACTCCATATGTAAGTATACATACATATGTATGTAAGTGTGTACATATTATGAATGAGTGACTAAATGCAAGTAGAAAAATATTAAAGTCTGTTAAGTAACTGCCTTTTTTCGAACCTCGAATACGGATATACATACATATGTATGTAGATACAATATATTCCCGATCTACACTCGTTATCAGCACTAGCAAACTCTTAGCACTTTATCGCCTCTGTGTTAGTTCGCCCGATGTTATTGTTCAGGGATCTGGGTGCCATTCCAATCTTTTCTTTTCCCACACGTCGCTGCATGCGCGTGCGTGTCCGTTTGTCCGCGAGACCATTAACTCACACACACTCACGTGCACCGCCCGCTGCGCCGGTACGTGCCCTTCGCCCCTCTTTCCACTTATCACTTGCCTTTCCTTTCGTCATTCTCCTTTTTTATTCTCCTCGTCCTCATCCTCCTCGCTCTTTTTTTTTTTGTTGGTCCCTACGTGCCCCTCGCCTTCCTGTGACCCCGGGCGGTCCATCTTTGATGCAGCGATTCTAATTGGATCAAGGGAGTAAGGTCAGAGAGTCTAGGGTCAAATTGGAATATTCTGTAATGAGAATGGAATGATGGAATGGAATGACTTAAGGTTCTACCTGTTGATAGAAAGACCTTAAGTTCCCTCGCTTATTATATACATATAATAATACATACATACATACATACATACATATGTGCATACACATTTAGTTGAAAGTTAATTGCACTTGCTTTAATCTCTCCCAATTTGCTTTCTTCCAGATCTCAGTCAAATGAACGACAATTCCTTAAGGACTTCATCAGCGGAGCACCAGGATCGTCGGGCGCTCGCTTGGCGGCCTGGTTGCAGCCGGAGTCGCGTCTGGATCCCAATAAGTAAATCCCTAAAAATTAATAAGACATAAGCGCATATATAAAATAACATTTCTAATTTCAGGTGTGAACTGAACCCGATTACGGAACCCCTGCGCTATGGCTGGCCCTCACAGGTGACGGTGACCATTCGGGATCAGTATGGGGATGCGGTGCTGGTGCCTGAGCTGAAAGTGGAAATCAAGGCAATACCCACTGGCTCAAATGGAGCAGCAGCAACTGGTTCTGGAGTTCCCACCGGCATCAGCTCAGCCGGAGGAACCGGTGTTTCGTCGTCCGGCGCAAACTTGTGGATGCGACGTGCCTCTGCCGATACCTGGGGATTTGGTGGCCTCGGACCACCGCCGCGTCTTAATTACGAGCCCACCAGCAAGGAGAAGATGGTCTTCAAGGCGATTACCTTTATGAAACCCTTTACCAACTACTCGTTCGAGGAGCTACGCTACGCGAGTCCCGTGCAGACACGGATTACGGAACTGCTCAATGCCAAGGACATGGAGGATGGCACCTTTAGTGTCCAGTGGACGCCCAGTTCGGTGGGTGCCTACTGTCTGGCGGTGACCATCGATGGCATACAGCTGGAGGAGGTCTACCGTGTGGATGTCAAAGAGGGCATCCTGCCGCCGCCCACTCAAAGGAGTAGCGCCCAGCGAAGGCCGCAGGCACCCAGTAAGCTGCGACGCTTTCAGGTAAGTTTGTTAAGATAGTAATTATATGTACTCATTAATTTTACATTGATAACGCAGTTAGCTGACTGACATCCGGTTTTAGTGTTTGCATTAAGCAATTAGGTCCAATTTTCCGTATCTCCGCCTCAATGTAACAGAAAGCAAATCTACTAGATGTTTTTATAGCAACATTCTTATAGAAAAGTTTTAATAGCAACATTTACAGAGAAATTTGATGGTATTATAATTTAGTCTGAAGCTTGTAAAACTATGAAGGCGTCATTTCCGACCCTATAAATCATATATATTCTTGATCAGCATCAAAAGCCGAGTCGATCTAGCCATCTCAGACAGAAAATACAAATTTTCAAAATTTTTCAATATTTTACAAGGTTACATTGTTAAAAATGTAGAACAAATTTGTCAACAATTTTAATTTTCTAAGTTTTTAAACTAAATATGCAGATTTATGAACCTTTTAAAATCTAGCTTAAAACTGCTTTCCGAAGTGAAATTAATGCTGTTTTGGCTTAGTTATGAGTTTTTTAAAATTTAATTTATCAAAAAATTTGCATATAAAAATCAATATGTCTTTGATTCAATCTAATATTTCAATTACAAACTCCAAAGCTATATTAACTTCAGTTTTCCTTAGTTAGTTTTCATTCTTGTCAACATTTCTCTTTAGCAACATTTTTTACAGCAACATTTGTACAGCAACTTTTGCTTGTGCCTTCCTTCGGGGAAGATTAAAGCTAGTGATTATGGTCGGTTATACTTAGCTATGGAAAATCAAAATCAACCTCTAATCTTCATCTCCATTCCCCTTTTCCCCCTTCACAGGCACGCCACAGTTCTGGGCTGCGGATCCGGTCGCATCCGACGCTGCAGTCGGAGCAGGTGGGCGTGGTGCGCGTGGGCGGCGTCATCTCGTTCATTGACGAGATCGAGAACGATGACGGCATCTGGCTGCGCCTCTCCACGGAGTCCATTCGTCAGCACTGCACCATGGGCTGGTATCCGACGGAGGCCTGGTGCCTGCAGTTCAACCAGCATCTGGCCCGGACTCTGCTCCAGCCGGTGACCGACAAGGAGGCAAGCAGAGCCCGCAAGGGAGCAGAGGAAGCACAGGCCCATCGGCATGGCAGCCATGGACACGGTCATGATCGGACCGATCAGGAGGAGGACGAAGATGAGGAAGAGGAGGAGGCGCCGCAGCCGCTAGTTAGCCCATCAGGCAGTGGCGAGGCCAGTCCCGAGCCGGAGGCCGATCCGAGTCCGGTTTTGAGTCCAGCCAAGTCTGGCAAACCCGGACGCTTTCTGGCCGGCACAAATCCCTTCCTGTACCCTTCCAAGCACGCAGATCTAGTGGCGCGAGAGGAGGAGCGGGAGAAGCAGCAGGAGCAGTTGCTACTGGAGGACGACGACGACCCCGACGATGATCCAGAGCCAGAACAGGAGGCATTGGCCGCCGTAGAGCTATTGCCTGCCAATATAGGCTCAGCCATTGCTGGTGTGGTTGGCGGTGGCGCCATAAAGCTTCAGGCCCTGCAGAAGTGGTTCAAAGGCGATGCGGTCGAGGGATCCCAACCCCTGACTCCCTCGCACTCACCACCGCTGGCGGGTGTTTCCGTCCGGGAGCTAGTGCGGGCCATGGGTGGCCAGGATACGCCGCGAGGCAACGGCAACCGTAGCCAGCAGCAGCAACAGCAGCAGGATCAGGAGCCGGAGTTCAGCCTGGCCAGCATGCGGAGGCCGAACTATTCGGCCAGTCAGACGGCAGCCCTGCTCTCCACGCCCAAGCACACGCCCAAGAAGACCGCCTTGCTCCAGGCCGAGCCGTGCCAGTTGAGTGGCCTGGAAGATGACCTGAGTCTGCTGCAGATTACCACCACAACCACGCAGCAGGGCGAGCAGCTGAGCGAACTCCAGCTGGCCACCACATCGTCCTCGGCATCGGCGTCGGCGAAAAGAAGCGGCCTGTCCATGGGTCCCATCAAACGGGCCATGCCGCCCTCGTTCGCCGAGAGCATCCGGGCGGTCTTTGCCGCCCTGCTTTGGCACGAAGGCGTTGTCCACGATGCCATGGCTTGCGCCAGCTTCCTGAAATTCCATCCTGGCCTGCCCAAGGAGGGTGCCACAGTGGTGACGCGTCGCGGCGAGGCAGGTGATCCGCGTGTTCAGCTGTCACGGGAGCAGAAGGCACAGCAGCGGCACTCCGTCGAGGTGGCCAATGCGGGCAACTACCTCAACATCCGACCCTCCACGCTGGAAACGCTGACCAAGAGCGGCAACTGCTCGTTGCACAACCGGAGCAAGCACCGCAAGAATCTCGTTGGCGGCAGCGGCGGTAGCGATGCGGATGCATCCGCCCAGAAGCTGCAGGCCTTGCCCGAGATGGTGAGTGTCCTGCCACCGGCACTGCGTTGCCTGGTCTATCTGTGGGAGCAGATTTGCTCCGGCTGCGTTCAGATTGTGCAATCGAATGCCTTGGAGCAGCGTGAGCCACGCCTGCATTCCCCAGGCGGACGCGATCTCAACGGTGAGGGTGACGGCGAGCTCAAGGAGGGCAGTGGCGCCGGCGGCGGTAGTGGAAGCGGCAGCAAGGGAACGGATCAGGGCACCGGTGGCGAGAAGGATCTTGGAAGGAAGTGCAAGCGCAAGAAGAAGGATGACGGCAGCTGGTGCGAAATCTGTGAGCTATTCCTGCCCATGCCCGTGACCTATCACATGCGGATAGCGCATCCCGGTTGCGGCAAGTCGGCCAAGGGCAAGGGCTACAACTCGGTGGGCATATTCTGCGAAGGCTGGGCCGGAAATTGCGGTGAGGGTGGCAAAGGGGCCTCGTCCTGGTTCCTCATGTGCGATCCATGCCGAGATCGGTACCTGGCCTCTTGTCGCAGCGCCAACAATATCAATAGCGCCGCCCGCCAGCTAGAGTCTAGTGCAGCAGAAGGTGAGTTATTAGTAACCAATGGTATTCCTGACCTTATTAACATACTTTCTTCTTCATTTCCAGGCAACGAGCTGAATCTGTTTGGGGTAAAGTCCACCACCTTGATAGCCAACGCTGAGGTGTACACAACAATGCGAGAGAATGCCACATTCCTGCTGGAGCTTTGCTCCAGTTCCAGCTCCGCCTCTGCTGCCTCTGGTGCGGGTATTGCCGGCAACAACTCCAATTCCAAACGGTCACCGCAGCAGATGTCCATGGTGGCCATGCCCGTGGTGATCGAGCATCAGCAGCAGCAGCATAACTCCGATCTCAAGCCCAGCACCAGTCGCTGCAGCCGAATGGCACGTCTAAGCGGGCCCAAATACGGTCCCAGTGCCATCATCGGTGGAGCGTTCCGTAAAAGCTTCGTTGGTGGACCGCCGCCGGCCACGCCGGAGAATGTATGGCTGGCGCCGGAGAGCTTTGCCTGTCTGGAGTGCCTGGGCACCGCTGGCCACGAGGATCTGCCCTATGAGATGTTCGGTCTGGGACCAGGCAACGACAACAACGGCTACGATCGGGTAAGCATAGGTGCAGATTCGCTTTCTGGATTTCTCTTGAATGTTTCTTTTCAACAGCCCCTCTCGGAGATCTCTTACGAGTCCTGCGAGCCCAACAATTACGAGCTTCTTTCGGGATCAATGGCGCCGGGCTCCACAGGAGCCAGCGGCGGTGGAGGAGGACCCGGAACTGTGGGTGGTGGTGGCACGCTTTCGAAATTCCATCGCAGCTACTCGATGGGTCAGGGCTGGGCAGCCCTGGCCCAGCACCAGCACCACCATCCGTCGCCACATCATCCGCAACAGCTGCAGCTGCAGCAGCAGCAGCTCCACCAGCACCATCCCCAGCAGCAGCAACAGCACCAGCAGCTGCATCTGCAGCTCCAGCAGATGCAAGTAGGTGCCGCCGCGGTGGCAGCAACGGCCGAAGGACAGCCCAAGGTGGTGTATCGTCGGCGAAACAACTCGACCAGCGAGGGTGATGGTTCCCTGCTCATCTGCTATCCTTCGGAGCATCTGAGACGCCTGGTGCCGCACAAGCTGCTGGCCCACGTGTCCGTACTGCAGGCGTCCGAGGGATCTTCCAACGACCAGCCGGCCGATCAGACAGCAGGAGGATCCTCAGCCGCAGTTGCATCGACCTCAGGTTCAGGATCGGGATCAGCTAGCCTGCTTCTGGCCCGTCCGGCCATGGCCTTCATCACGCAAAAGCACGAACTGGACAGGCTGAGAGCGGCCATGCGGAGAAGCCTTAGGATCGCTGCATGTCGGATCTATGCGCTTCAGGCCCTCAACTGGCTGCTGAGGAGCGTCACCCAGGGCGTGTGCCTGCACGATCTCATGTGGTGGTTCGTCAGTTCGCTGCCAGTGGCCGGTAACCACCAGGGCCACCATCAGCAGAATCATCATCATCATCACCTGAGCGGCGGAGAGGAGGCAGCGGAGCCGGCGCTAGAGCACCCAGTGGCCTATACCCAGATCAGTGGTCGATTCGCCCACCTCATCACCCAGTCTCTGCACGTCCTGCTCCAATCGGTGGCGGATCTCACGCTCCACCTGCCGCTGGGTTCACCGCTGCAGCGGGTGGCCATCCAGTGCTTTGGCATCCGTTTCCGCCAGGCGGATCATCAGTTCCTGCACAGCTCCCATGTGTTTGGCAACATCTCGAAGATCCTGTCCAAGTCGGATGAGCAAAACGATGCCATGGCCGTGTCGACAATGCTCAAGCCGGAGAATCATACGCATCCCCATGACGCGGAGCACAACCAGGTGGTGCATCCAGTGCCGGCAGCAGGAGCTGGCGCCCGACTGTTATGCTACACGGATCTGGCGGGTATGTTCGAGGTGACGGTGTCCTCACGACCAGCAATGGCCGAGTCCCTCACCGACAACTCCACGGAGACGTTTTGGGAGAGCGACGAGGAGGACCGCAACAAATGCAAGATCATCGAGATGTCGCTAACGAAGCTCAACTACGCCTGTCGCTACCTTCTCGTGCACATCGACAATAGCCGGGACATCCAGAACAAGGTTCTCAACGTAGTCTTCTACGCGGGCCAGTCGCTGGGCGACACGAACGTGATCAAATCCACGGACGTTGATCCAAAGGCCTGTGCCTGGATCTCGGCCAAAATCGGTGACGATAGCTGCACGCACTTTCGCCTGGAGCTGCACGGTCCGGAGAATACGCTGCGTGTGCGCCAGATCAAGCTGCTGGGCCTGCCCACAGGCGGTGCCTTGGGTGCAGAGGATCCCATGGATCCACTGCGGCCCCATCTCCTGCAACAGCAACAGCAGCCCCACTTGCGCCTGAGCCACGCCTCGCGCATCCAGCAGCAGATCTGTGAGGCGGAGACCTTGCGAGTGTTCCGTCTGATAACCGGACAGGTCTTTGGCAAGCTGATCAGCAACGTGGGCTCGGATCTGGTGCCACCGGATTCGGCAGGCATTGGCGGGCCGCCCAGTGCCGGCGGTGGTAGCAGCAGCAGCGGCGGCGGCGGCGTAGGAGGAGCAGGAACCGGAGCCGGCACTTCACTGCTGGCAGACTCCCTGGACCTCAGGGAGCACATGGTGGGCATCCTGTTCTCGCGCAGCAAGCTCTCACATCTGCAGAAGCAGGTCATCGTCCACATAGTCCATGCCATTCGCAAGGAGGCCCAGCGGGCCAAGGAGGACTGGGAGCTGGCCAACCTGGCGCATGGCCTTAAGCAGCAGCAGCTGCAGCAGCCACCGCTCCAGCTGCCCGCTCCCGCAACCAACAGCAGCGAGAGCTCACCGGAACGAAGCCGGGCACCGGATACCTACTGCTTCGAGATGCTCAGCATGGTTTTGGCCCTGTCCGGCAGTGTGGTGGGTCGCTCCTACCTCTCGCAGCAGCACGGCCTGCTCAGGGATCTGCTTGGACTGCTGCACACGGGCAGTGATCGGGTGCAGCGCCAGGTGACGGCTTTGCTGCGACGCATTCTGCCGGAAATATCCCCCGAGAGCTTTGCAGAGCTTCTAGGCGTCCAACGGTTGCCACCGGCGGACTACAGCATCGCACATCAGTCGGCCAGTGACTTTGATATGAGCCGGCTGGGTCTCCTGGATATATTCCTGGCCGTGATCGCCAAATCCCTGCAGTTGCAGGTCAAAGTAAAGACGACAGCAGCTTCGACAGCAGGAGGAGGAGGAGGAACAGCAGCCGCTTCAGGTTCCGGAGGAGGAGGAAGCGGCGGAGCCATATTAAAGCCCGGTCAGCAAGAGAAGACGCCGGCCTTTGTGCGCCTCTGCAGCTCCCTAGATCTCTCCGTGCAACAGCTGCGCTCTCGACCGCCCACTGGCGAACCGGGTGGAGCTGATCCCTTCCAGTTTGAGGCCCTGCCACCGCCGCCACCACCGAGGAAGGAGTCCAAGCGGAATCTCAACCAGCGCTGGTTCCTCAACGGCCTCATTTCCACCAAGCAGGCGGAGAGCATCATCGGTCTCATACGGGATCTGGCCAGCGTAAGTGGAGGAGATGTTATCAAGACACTGAAAACGGTAAATAATCTTTCTGAATTCCTTGCAGGGCAAGCTGAGCGAGAAGTGGTCGCAAATCACCAAGGCAGCCATTGCCGAGTCCGTGCTGAATCTCACCCGGCTGGAGGAGATCTACCGGACGCCGGAGCACTGCACCAAGACCGCCACTCTGTGGCTGGCCCTGGCCAGTCTCTGTGTCCTGGAGCGTGATCATGTGGAGAAGCTGTCCTCGGGACAATGGTCCAAGCTTTGCGACACACGGCCGCTGTGTAGTAACCATGACGACGGCGAAACAGCGGCCATCATCCAGTGCGAGACCTGCGGCTCCCTCTGCGGGGACTGTGATCGCTTCCTCCACCTGAACCGCAAGACCCGATCCCACAAACGAACGGTGAGTTTTGGTCAGGATAAGTGATGAATTTCCTTGAATTTAACGTGTTTCCATGTTACAGGTGTGCAAAGAGGAGGAGGAGGCCATCAGGGTGGAGCTGCACGAGTCGTGCGGCCGCACCAAACTCTTTTGGCTGCTGGCCCTTGCCGATTCCAAAACCCTCAAGGCCATGGTGGAGTTTCGCGATGGAAGCCACACGATCATCTCTGGACCCCAGGAGGCGGTGGGCAGATGCCGTTTCTGCGGCCTCACTGGTAACTCGGGCCTGCTGGAGATTGGAAATGTCTGTGCCGATGCCCAGTGCCAGGAATATGCGGCCAACTCGTGCCTAAAAACGAAGCCCTGTGGCCATGCCTGTGGCGGCGTCACCGGCGAGAGGAAGTGCCTGCCCTGCCTGCAGCATGTGTGCCATAGCCGGGAGAACGAGCTGGCAGAGGAGCTGAGGGATCCCAAACTTACCCAGGATGCCGACGATATGTGCATGATCTGCTTCGTGGAGGCCCTTTCCTGTGCGCCCTCCATTCATGTAAGGATCAAAGAGTTGTTGACCTAGAGAAATCCTTATTTGTATTCTTAATTCACAGCTGGAGTGCGGCCATGTTTTCCACTATCACTGCTGCAAGGCGGTGCTGGAGAAACGCTGGAGCGGCCCACGCATCACCTTTGGGTTCTCGTTGTGCCCCATCTGCAAGGCGGACATCCAGCATCCGCTGCTCGCCGATATCCTAGAGCCCATTAACGGGCTCAAGCAGGACGTCAAGCGCAAGGCCCTCATGCGGTAAGCAAAGAATATAACTATATTGATCAAGCACCTCACTAATCTCCTTCGTTTGCTGCAGCATCAAGTACGAGGGCGTGGTCAAGGACACGGACAGCAAGGACGTGAACATGACCCAGCTGGCCATGGATCGGTATGCCTACTATGTGTGCTTCAAGTGCCAGAAGGCCTATTATGGTGGCGAGGCACGCTGCGATGCGGAAATTGGCGAGAAATTTGATCCCGAGGAGCTCGTTTGCGGTGGCTGCTCGGACGTGGCTCGTGCCCAGATGTGTCCCAAGCATGGAACCGATTTCTTAGAGTACAAATGCCGCTACTGCTGCTCGGTGGCCGTGTTCTTCTGCTTCGGAACGACGCACTTTTGTGACACCTGCCACGATGACTTCCAGCGGCTGACCAACATACCGAAGGTGAAGCTGCCACAATGCCCGGCCGGGCCCAAGGCCAAGCAGCTGCTAGGCGACGAGTGTCCGTTGCATGTGATGCATCCGCCCACCGGAGAGGAGTTCGCCCTTGGCTGCGGCGTTTGTCGCAATGCCCAAACCTTCTAGCCACACACTTGGCTGCCAGCGGCTAAGGAAGTGGCAAGGAAATCCCAAGATAGGGAAGGTGACTACGATAATGACGATGGCGAGGACGACGATGATGATGATGATGACGACGACGACGACGATGCGGAGCTGGCCCCAGACATGTGGGCAAGCATCTGGTCACAGTCGGATGACTCGCGGACGTATTTGTAGAGGGATTAAAAACCCCAATGAACTAGACGCAATCCTCAATCCTTGAACCCATCCCCAGGAAACATCCTCTAGACAGTAATTCCCTCATCGGAATGGCAATCGAATAACAATGGATATGGCGGATATAGATATTTTCTAGGTTAGCCGAAGAGGACGGATATTGGATTACAGATTACAGATTAGCTAATAGCGTGTAGCGTATAAAATAAAATATTATTCTTTTTTTTACAACACTCGCAACACTCGAATCTCCCCACAAAATCAAATTCACTATAAATATGTTTAATTATTTATTTTAATGTACAATTTCGGAGCGAGAGTGCAGTGGGTGCGAGCGCGAGAAGTGTGTACATAATCCTCCTGCTCCCTCGAGACCCTCTTCCACCTCCAAAGCACATTATATGCGACATTTATATATATACGCATTGCAAATAACTAAATTATATAAATATATATATTTATTATGAGAAACGGACGGGCGTACCGATGCAATAAAAATCAATTCTGAATGTAACAGCCTTATCTGTGGTTTTCTTTTCAATTAAAATTAATCTATATCCAGAAATGAAGTTCGTTTGGATTTTTTTTTAAATTTATGGGCTAAATAAAAACATGATTTCGAATTAATTATTGCATTTTTCTATACTTACTTTTGTATCACCAAGAAGAGCTGACACATGCACATTCGAAGTATTTTAGTTGTATACATGCTAGCCTGTCTAAAAACCATCCGTGTAACAACAAATCCACAAACAGTTTGACGAAATTCGCTTAAAATTCGCTTTAGATTTGACTCTGGGTACCAGGCGAACAGAATTGCAAGCAAGCAGCTGATCGGCAGCTTAAAAATCCTAAAGTAACGGTTATTAAAAGAGAGGAACGTGAAGAACTTCTCTGATTGGTCAAATCAGATGTAAACAAAGGGCGGCCATCATTGATTTAAGCTAGAAGTAACGGGATCCTGACAGAGAGGAACGTAAACAACGTCTCTGATTGGTCAATCCAAACGTAAACAAAGGGCGGCCATTAATGATCTAGTCCTAAAGTAACGGATCTTCACAGAGATGCATTTAAAGAACTTTTCTGATTGGTCTAATCAGACGTAAACAAAGGGCGGCCATTAATGAACCGGTAAGGAGAAAATATCCGTTGTGAGCAGCGCTTGATCTTGAGCTGCTGGGTTGCTGCCAGCGGTTTCTGTTGGCCTGGTGTACCAAAGGCGTGAGATTTGTTAAATTAGTCGGTTTAAAGCCCACATTTCAAAGTTTTGCGAGGGGTAAAGAACGTAATGAAAATTGTAAAACAAAGTCATACAATTTTAAATGTCTTAAATAGGTAAGGCCGAAAACCGTAGTATCCTTGTAAAATGCAACACAGAAAAGCTTTCCAAATCGAGATGCATCATTCCCTTAGTTATTATCGACCCATACATAAAATATTTAATTTTATCTTACGAATTATTTATTTTAATTTTAGTCAGAAGCTTGAAACGTAAGGAGTCCTTTCCGTTTCATATACATACATATACAGCATAAATCGATAAATCTGTCTGGGGAAAATACATATTTTACGGATTTTTTATAAATTCACAAAAAGTTAACATAAAAATATATATTTAATTTAGTAAGCATAGAAATATTTTAGATTTTATTATAGGTACACGAAGTCCGAAAAGTCAATGATTGCCATTTAACATTTAAAAAAAATTTAATTCGCCATTATATTAAAACTAACTTTAAGAAATAACAAATCCAACAACAAAAAACAAATCCAACAACAAAAATTAAATCTAATTTAGCGATTTCACAACGTAAATTTCTTAAAAACTTGGTCTGTTCTACCAGGCGAACAGAATTGCAAGCAAGCAGCTGATCGGCAGCTTAAAAATCTTAAAGTAACGGTTATTAAAAGAGAGGAACGTGAAGAACTTTTCTGATTGGTCAAATCAGATGTAAACAAAGGGCGGCCATCATTGATTTAAGCTAGAAGTAACGGGATCCTGACAGAGAGGAACGTAAACAAGGTCTCTGATTGGTCAATCCAAACGTAAACAAAGGGCGGCCATTAATGATCTAGTCCTAAAGTAACGGATCTTTACAGAGTTGCATTTAAAGAACTTCTCTGATTGGTCTAATCAGACGTAAACAAAGGGCGGCCATAATTGATTTAAGTTCTAAAGTAACGGATCCTTACAGAGAGGAATGTAAACAAAGTCTATGACTGGTCAATCCAAAGGTAAACAAAGGGCGGCCATTAATGTACTGGAAAGATCCGCTATAAGCACAGATTAATGCAAGATCTTGTTGGGCTGTGGCCGTTGCTGTTGGCCTGGTATCAGAAGACTGAAATTATGTGGAAAATAAGCAAATATCGGACACATTGGCAGCCGCTCGTGAATGCTGACTGAGCGAAGTAATAAATTTACAATTAACGATTTGCTTTTAATAATTAAACAAAACAGACTAAAATAAAGGTGAATATTTCTTTGACTGCACATATTTATGAAAATCGGTTAATAATTGAGGGTTTAGGAAAAACTACATTTATTTATGAAAATCGGTTAGTAATTGAGGGTTTAGTTTTTCATAAAAGAAGCCTTGTCCTTATGTTCAATTTTTTGGATTACAAATATGTATAAATCTGAAAACAAATAAACTTACCAACTCCAGTCCAGGAAAAATGACAAGATCTTCGCATATTTTTTTTAAAAAACATTTATGTATGTATTTCTCTTTTCTTTGTTTCTTTCATTTATTATGTCTTAGCATCTGCTCTGCGCGTTTTTTGCGGGTTTGAAAATTGCTTTTTCTTTGTTTGCTTCTTCTCGCTCTTAGTTTTAGTTTCCGGATCCGTTCTACCCTCAAACATGGGTGTGTGTGTGTGTATGTGTGTGGCCTGTCTCTGTGTGGGTGTGTGTTTTGTGTGTGAGTGAGTGTGGGTCAAATGCGGCAATAATCAAGTAACTATACACATTAACTGTAGGCATTAATCCAGCGATTCTCAAATAAATATTACAACTATTTTTATGTTATCGATTTTGTGGCTTGGCTTCTCGTTTCTTTATCCTTTTGCTCCGTCTTCCAAGTTCGAAAAAAGCGTACAAATAAAATTACAAATATGTAACAAAAATAGTTACAATTTCAACATCATATTTTGAAATCGGTATTGGAATATTATTAAAATGAACTTTTGGAATACGGAGCCTTGTTTTCTCGTTTATATATTTAATCAGCGGCCCAAGGACGAGCCCTAGCAAGCTTCAAATGGTATAAACTACCTATATATACATATATCCATATATATATATATGTGCATGTGTATATATATATTTATATGTAGGTATGTAGGAGGGTGTTTTTTTGTATATAACTGTAAATATGATCAGCAAAGCCGAAGCCTGATGTCTCTAAGTTTGGGCGCAGTGTGACCAAAATTCAATTGATTTCAAACTATTTTTACATACTCGTATTATTCATGGTTTTGCTTATTTGTTTATTTTTTTTAATATTTTTTTTGTTGGGTATTTATTTACTTGCAGTTGCAATATGTAGGTAGTACTTTGTGGTATTTCTTATTATTTTTTTAATTGTTAAATTTGTATTTAATTGGTATTAGCTTTTCTTTCGTTTTGTTTCGATTCGTCTTGTTTTGTTTTGTTTGTTTTTCTTTGTAAATATATAAATAGGCAGCTTTTCGATTTTATATTTTTTTTTTAACAAAGGGCGCGTGTAAGAAATAAGTTTCAGTATTTTGTTTTCGTTGCTTGGTATATTTCATTCAAACAACTATGCTTCTCAAATTGGTGGAAAATGTTTAACATTGCTTTATCGCGTTTGTTCTTGTTTCTTCTTGTTTGTAAAATTTTGGTTCTTTTTTGTCTAGAGTCTAGAGCATAATGCTAAGTATTTGTTGTTTTTTTTTGTTTGGTATTATCAGTATCGTTAGTATGTTCTGGTTTAGCCGTGGTATGTTTAGTTTTAGTTTTTTTAAGTTTTTTTGTTTTGTTTTTAATTTTCTAGCATTGCTGTGGGTCTTACGTTATATAAAGGGAAACAAAATGAGGCGCGTGAATTGTTGGTTAAGGCTTTTCTCTATAATTGTATAATGCTTATAATTAAATTATGTTTCTCCTCTCCGCGTTTTTGTTGGGGCTTTGTAAAACGGTAATCCTTAATTTTGAGTGTTGTGATTTAATTTTTGCTCTGCATTAATAATGTATATTCTTGAGTGTTTTTTAGGTTTTAGGTTTCTTAGTTTTCGTTTTTTTATATTTTGTTTAGAAAAAAAATCTGGCGTATAAAAGCTTAATTTTGTTAGGTTCCTTTCATTATCATTATCGTTCTAGGTGTAACCAGAGGTACACATACACATATGTATAAGCATATATACATGTGCATATCTATAATAATAATAATAATAATAATATGGTATCAATCAGTTTCCCTTTTTGGCGCTGACCTTGAGAAGCCCTCCCCCCAAAATATCAGACTGGATTCGAGGGCTTTTCCTAGGATAATTCGCCACCTGTCCTCCTGTGGTCGCAATGGTAGGTATAGGTATAGGTGTAGGTGTAGGTGTGTTTGGGTGTATATACAATACATTCGATTAATCGGCCGTAAATTGTTCAATATAAATTTTGACTAAGCTTGATCTAAGATTTGTAATTGCACCATTCGTACTTACATTGGGTTTACTTTTCTGGCTTTTCTTTTACCTAATAGTGTTTTCTTTTCACGACTTTCTTCACTTGCCTTTAATGCTAATATGCCCACTAGGTTTAGTGTCTAGATCTGAGTTGCTAGTTTTGCTGAATGCGCGCTGCTTGAGTTCGTTTAGTCACTTTAGGTTATACTTATAAGGCTCAGTGTAGTGTTTAGATCTAGAAGGGGGTACACCCGTAAACAATACCAACAGTGGGGGTGGGGCGGAAGCGAGACAGGCAGAGTGTTGCAGAGATAGAGATAGATATAGAGAGAGAAAGTGGGAACAAGATGAGAGAGAGATAGTGGGAGAAAGTACTCTAAGCTACAAGGTAACTCTGCGCCCTGCTATCGTATCAGTGCATCATCGTATGAGGATCGATCCTATATAGTTATGCTTTTCCCGTATCATTTCCCGCCTCTGGCCTAGTGCGTTACTCAGTTGCCTAATCCATATAATTAGCTATACATATATATATATATAAAGGTTTGTATATATATATATATATTTAATGTTTGTATATTCTAGTTAACAAAAAAAAACCTATTTACAGTGAGCCAAACTACATTCAACTAGAAATTAGCGTCCTAAACAACAAACTTCCCTTGCTAATCATTAACTTTTGATTCATTGTTTTGAGTATTGAAAATACGTATATGTATATTTACATACATGAGTGTCTGTCCTTGTGTGTTTGTGTGTGGATTACTCAATTTTTAATACCACTTAAATTGCTTTTTGGGTTTTTTCTTTGGGAATTTGAAAAAAAATCTACAACTAGAACTAAGTAACTTTCCCGGGCTTGGCTCCGTTCCCCTAAAAAAATGTAAGAAAACAAAAAGAAAACACAACCCACCCCTCACAATTTGTCCCCCCGGGAAGACGACAGTTCGTATGTACTCCTACTATTCATATTGCTGGGGAACGGAGCCTACACCTGGGATACCAATATCATCATAATTATCAAATATCAAATACCAACTAGGGAATCGAAAAAGTAGGGTAACGAGAATCAAAGGGGCCTTCAACGCGGGCTTAAACGACTTAAACGTAATGAAACCTCTTGTCTCTAAACCAGGATACTTCCCATATTATATATAGTATGTGTATATATATATATATACTCCTCGGTGCAACTATGCCAAGTTCAAGCATAAACAAATATCTAAGGTTTCATAAATTACCTTTTCTCTAAATTTATCAATTTCAATTGGTTTTGCCTTTAGCTAATTTTTATCACAAAATATGTGTTGTGTAGTGTAATGTAGTGTGGGTCAGAGTGTGTGTGGCTAACATATTTTGCTAAAATGTAATTTAATTATTTACAAGGCCCAAACAAAATCCGTTTTAATCTTAGCTTGCAACTAGAGATTCGCTATTATTATTATTTCTTTTAGTTTTAGTTTTAGTTTTGGTTTTAGTTTCTTAGGTCTGTCGATTGTCGTTTCGTTTTTTTAGCGGCCACATATCTCTGCTGTCTCTATATAGAGCTGTATCTGTATATCGAGAGGTTACTGAGGGTAACCCCCGAAAAGACGTCGAAAAGTATGCCATAATTGTGAGGGGTCCTTGCGCAAAAAATATACTATTGCATACATTTCAGAGTTGCGAGGGATTTCATGACTCCAGAGATCTCTATGGTGTGCTTTTCTTTTTGGTTGAGTTTAGTTAGAGTTTGAGATCGAGTCTATATAAGCTTACAAATTAGGGGGTCAAGCGAGTGCCAGAGTGTCGGAGTGCTCAAGCCGCGTTTCGTTAAGAGTTAACACACTGAGAGTGCTGTTAGCCAAGTTTTCTCATGTGTTTGCCTTCAGTTTTAGTGTTTAGGACGGGTTATATCCATAATCATTTCTGTTCTGTGTACTATATGTATGTGTTTTATATATATATATATACATTATGACTATTAACTATTTTAGCTACTTGGCGAGTTATCTCTCAGCGAGCTCCCACAAAAAAAAAGCTACAGATTCCTAGTTTCAGCTATGACTGTGACGGTGTTTGGGAGTGTGTGTGTTTGTCTGTGTCTGTGTGTGTGTGTGTGTGTATAAGCAGGACCTCTATAGATCCTCTCTCTAAAGTTAGGTCTAGGTCATCATAGGCTATGTACAATTCACGGGCATTGTTTCATCGGTTTGTAAGCTTTTTCTATCTTCTCAGTTTTGGTTTTTTTCGGGTTTTTGGTTTTTGCCTCTTTTAGCAGTTATCACAAAATTATTCATATATACATACAGCTAGATCTGTGTGTGAGTGTGTGTGTGTGTGTGTATTAGTGTCCCTCTGTGTGTGTTAATGTTTTTTATATATCTGTATATAAAGGTAAATAATTGCAGTAAATGTAGCAAATTCGTAAGCAATATGCTCTTGCCTTAATTGTAATCGTTATCGTTTATCGCTAATCATAATCATGTAACGGTTAAAGAGTATCGAATATCGAGCACTTCCTTTCAGAGTGTGTGAGTGTGTGTGAGTATGTGTATGTGAGAGAGATAGATTAAGAGGGATAGCAATAGGTAGAGATTTGTATAGCGAAAATAGATTTATTCTTGGTTGTTCTTTCTTCTTTTTTTACCCAGGATTCACCTAAAGCATGTACGTATGTACATAAGTACATACATATATATTTCCGTTTTGAAATTTAAAGATTTCATATGGGATAACTGAAGGAAATATAAAAAAAAATTGAAAAATATTGAGGTATATTTAATATCCCCAAAAACTGTATATCAAGTTACGTTACGTTATTCAAGCTATCGCCTAAAAATATATCGATACAAAATGTCCTTTAGACTAGGACCAGTTTTAGATCGATAAGTAAATTTGCTATTAAATTTGCCCTAGATTCTTCTCTCAGTACTCAGTACAAATCAATTCGAAGACTGAATTAAACTACTTTAAGGAATACCTATTAAGAAAACTATTTTGAATATCAGAAATTAATAATCCCAAAAAATATCCTAGGATTTCTCTACAAAAACTAACATCATGAGATCATGGTTGCCTATTTGGAAGGAACATCAATATCCAATAAGTAACTACGCTTAACGCCATTAAATAATTACCCAAATTACCATATTCCTTAATGGATTATTTGGGGGAAAGCCTTCGAAACGGACGACACACACAACATATATATGTAGATACATACATGCGTGCAGACTGCAGGGAATCCATTGGATCCTGTCCAGGTAGCTGTGAGACATGAGTAGCTTCAGTGTGTTCAGTGTTGAGTTGAGGTTACAGCTGTGTCTTAAACATATCGTCTAACTAAGCGTAGGCGTAGGCTTGCGAGTGGGCGTGACTGGGCCACTACTCCTGCTCCTTTACTGCTCCTGCTCCTGGCTGCTGGAGGAGGAGGACTCCTCCATCCGCTCGGGTATAGTGGGCTAGAGGAATTCCCGTTTGGATCCGCTGCTCCGGGGCCCGCTGCCTGTCGGGGTGGTGGTGGGCGTGCCACTACCGCTGCCCGTTGGCGGCGGCGTAGGTGTGGTGGCCGCCGTGGGGGAAGTGACACCGGCTCCCACGCCCGCCGAAGTCGTGGGCAGCTGGGCAGCCGTAAAGTCCTCCTCGAGGAGGCGCAGATGTAGCAGCTGTCCGGTTGGTTGTGCAGCTGCCGTTGCTGCTGCTCCTGGTGGCGACATGTCCGTCGCCGGCTGATGATCCGCTGACGCTGGCGCCGACATCGTGCCAGATCCGGTAACGGATCCCATGGGAGCGGCGGTCGCGGTGCCGGCCGACGAGGCGAGTGTCTGCTTAGGAGGCGCCGGTGCTTTCCTGCTCTTCGAGCGTCGCTTCTTGAGCATCAGCGGCCCCAGGCCGTTGCCTCCCGCGCTCGACACAGCTGGGGCGCCCGGATTTAGCAGGCCGCCACCAGCGCCAGCTCCAGTTGCAGCTCCAGTTGCAGCTCCAGCCCCAGATTCCTGTCCCTGTCCCGATCCCGATCCTCCTGGAGATGAGATGGTTATCACAGTATCCACGGGACTGGTAACCACGGACGGCGTCTGAGTCAGCGTCTGGGCTGTGGTTGTGGTGGGCGTAACCACGGCTCCACTGCCGCCGCCGCCCGCGCCGCAGCCTGCGCAGATCTCGTCGCCGGGCGTGGTCTGGCCACTGCTGTTATCCGGAGCAGAGCTGCCACCAACTCCACCCGGTGTAGTTCCCGGCGGTGCTAGTCGCTTGACCAGCTCGCCAAGCAGATCTTCGATGCGACCGATGCGCTGCTGCATGCGTTGCAGCTCCAGCCGCACGTCCACCTTCATGTCCAGCACGGTGGCGATGAGATCGCGCTGCGCCAGCGTGGGCGGCGTCTCGCGCAGTCCCGTGTCATAGGTATCCGAGGTGGTGGCCCTCGAGCTGGCCATCTCGATCTGCCGTTCTCGCTCCAATGCCAGGTTGCGTTCCGTTTTGCCAGCTCCTCCACCAGTCTCGATGGTGGCCACTACACCTGACGGGCCTCCAGTGGCACCTGCTGCTCCGGCGGCAGCGGCAGCTCCTCCCTCGATGACCACACGACTGTCACGACTGGGTGGTGAGGAATCCACCTCGCCACCCTCGTCGATGGTGTCCTGGCGGGCTAGGGTCGCCTGGCTTGCCTGCAGCTTGGGCGCCTTGGGAAAAACCTGGAGGTGACGTTTAATGGAACGATGGACGATGTCGATGCGGATGCAAATGCAGGATTGGGCGGTAGGATGTGGCAGGAGGCACATAGCATTGGTTTTTTTTGGTTTGGTGTGTTTTAGAGGGAGAAAAGTGAGAAAAAGGTGTTTGAGTTTTTGTTTTGTTGGAATTTTTGGGTTAATAGTTGGTTGGTTTTTTTTTGTTTTGGTTTTATATCGATTTGTTGAAGCATTCATTGCAGGTTGCAGCATTGGTGTTGCATGTTGCAGGTTGGCAGAGTGCAGTGCATTTTGAGTTTGTTTTTTTTTAATTCCAATTCGATTGTTGCAGATTGTATTGTTGTTGTAGATTAATTTTGAGTTAAAGTGCATTTTTGTTTTGTTTCCAATTCGTCGATTATTTAATTCATTCATTTTTCAAGTTGTTTCAGTTGTTGGTTGTTGATTTTTTGTTGTTGTTGTAGATGGACGCAGGCAAGAGTTTTTTTTTTTGTTGTTGTTGAAGTTTCAGAGAGAAAGTGGCGGGGAAAAGGTCGATAAACGATAAAAATATAGAAAACATATCAATCAATTTGGTTGGTGGTGACGGGAAGTTATTGTGGCAGTCTAAACAATCTAGGGGGCGGTTGGTTGGAGAAGGGGCGTGGCAGTCGGCGCAGTGCAAGGTACGGCTGTAAGCTCTAGGTTAGTCTTTAGCCAAAGGGCAGGCGACATCTATCAATAACGATATTGATCAATTATCAAATGAATTAGCACTACATTTCTATAATTATGTTACTATGCCAAGCTATATATATATAGAGAGATTTTATCGCCCGCCCATTAGCTAATATCGATAGAAGAACCGATAACACTGGTTTTGTGGTGTGAAAACTAAGATAGCGGTAAACCAAACTAATTGTTCGTAAAACTTACTTTGCTTAATTGTAAATGCTTTTCAATTCGATTGCACAATTGTCAACATGGTAGATAGATTTAAATGAAATGAAAATTGAATAAAATGAACGCAAAACGATTGGGTAACGGAGTCACATTTCGGAATTGATATCGTTATCGATATCACAAGTGATAAGAGAAAACGAAAGGCAAAAAAAGGGATATTTAAAGAAAAAGATAACGAAAACGAAAGAAGAGAGACAGAGTTATCATTAAAATGTAAACCCAAATAGAGACAAAAAACATACATGCATTTCCAAAATTTTCTTCAACAATCAATTGCATGGATGTTTAAGTTTAGTTTTTCTTTTTCTAATTTAATATGTGAGAAAATTCGTTTATAAGCTTGCCAGTTGGAGTTTTCTAGATTTTTTCTGAGATATTTAATGTAATTTTGTGATTTTAATTAATATTCTATAATTATTCCGATTGGCAGGCGTATAAACGTATTAGTTGTGTCTTTTTCAAATCAAAAACTAATCGAGTTTGAGAATTCTTCTCCTCAACCCTTTTCTTTCGTGTTCTTGTGTTATGTGTGTCTTAAATGGATTTGCAGACCATTGATCCTGGATGACAGCTTCTGGCTCTCTCTGTATCAACATCAGATGCCAGTTTGCTAGATCCTTGATCACCGATCTCCAGGATCCATTTCGTTCCCTTAGAACCCCTGGGTTAAAGGTCAAGGGTCAAGGGTCAAGGCTTAATGTCTAGCGATAATTACTTTGTTGCCTTGTCCACCATTGCTACTCGAAGTACTACTCTGCCGCGCTTGGGCGGTGCTCTCTCGGAGGCTTTCGCGGGCGCTCAAACTTCTCGAGACGGCTACCTTGGCGCTGGTGTCGCTAGCTGAATCGACGCTTGAACTGCCCAGGAGGCGTCCCCACTTGCTGGCCCGCGTACTCCGCGCAGATGGTGGACCCGAGGATGGCGAGGGGGATGGCGATGGCGAGGGCACCGCCCCAGAGGCGGACGCGGATGCGGATGCGGATGCGTTGGCGGTGCCGAGGATGCGCGCGTCCTCGGTAAGTGTCAGTTTTGCTGGTAGCTTCTTGTATATGTTGTTTCGATTTTTTGTTTGTTGTTTGTTAATTGTTGATTTTCGATTTTCGATTAACGATTTGCGATTATTTTTTGGTTGATTTTTATCGAGCATTATTGCGGGGGATTTTTGTTAATAATTTTAGCAAGCATTTGCGGAATAGGTTGTTCGAGCGCAAGACAGTTGGGTAAGACAAAAGAGAAAGACAGAAATAGAGAGAGAGAAGAAAGAGAAGAGTCGGAGGAGGTGAAAGGATATTGGGGGAATTTCAAGGGAAATTTCAGGAAGGATTTTAGGAAGAATTTTAGGTTAAGCAGGGAACAATATTCCATCAATTGGAGATTCGGATTGGATTTTGGGTTTTGAATGTATGAAAGTGTGGGGGAAATAATACATAATTTTCCGTTAGTAATTTTGTTTAATTTGATTTTGATTTCAAGTTCAATTCAAAGCCAGATTTGCAATAAATTTTGTACAAAAAGGGAAAACAAAGGAACAAAAAAACAGAGAAAGCAAGGAGAAAGACAAAGCAGTTATGAACAAGTTCACACACAAAAGTACAGTTGTGTTTGGGCAAGGCCAAGCAAGTGTCGTGGTGGGTTTTTCGTGGTGAGTGATCAGAATGGGAAGTGGGTGTGGTGTGGTGAGTTCAATGCAAAGTTATGCGAAAGCATGTTTTAGAAAGACAAAGACAAAGAAAGACATACAACGAGCATAAGTCACTTGGTAATACGGCTCATCGCTGCGATGGTAAGAACATTAATTAAAGCATTTCAACGGCAACAACATTACGATTAGTATACATATATCTCGAAATATGTTTATGTATGTACAAATACATATATTTGTATAACTACGGCTAAACACGGTTACAGTTAACATGGGTAACAGTGGCCATCTTTATTTTGTGGTTCGTCTTGAACTCGGTACTCTGTTTTTCTTATTTTTTTTCTGCTGCGGTGAGTTTGGTGGATTTGTGAGGCTGAGGCTTCGGAAGAACAGTTAGTTAGTACGGTTAACGGTGAACAAATGGCAACGGAACAGGCTCGAACCGTGGTGAGTATTAGATGAGAGTAATACGTAAAGGAACGGAAACCGAAAATTGAAACGCACACAGCAACAAAAGATGATGAAAGACGAAGTCATCAGCGATTGTAGGATAATATTTATAAGATTTCTATTATGTCGATTCAAAGTTAAAAAATTCATAGCACTGCTTCAAGGTTTTCTGTTTATTTTTCTTCTTTGTTTTGAGTTTTATAAAAGCACCGAAAATAATTTCAACATTTGAAATAGAACTATGAATTAATTTTGAATTTACCTTTTAGCTATCATCCAATAACTTAAAATAAAATAGTTCTTATTATATTCAAGGACCTGTTTTATATAGGTAATCCCTTAAAGAATATTCCCTTTCCAATCATCATACAATTGCAGTGACGAAAAAATATGAAACTCAAGGTACTTAAAACTACATTAAACACAACAGCAAAACACATGAAAATGGAACACATAACACACGGAAAGCGAAATGCACAGCAACAGAGACAGAGATAGATAGAGACACAGAGAGAAAGAGACAGACAGAGAGTGATCATATTTCCATTTGAGGACTCACCTTGGTACGCTCCACCTCGCCGTCACCCTTCTCGACATCACTTTGGCCCGATCCGCCGACAATCTCCTTACTGCCCGCCTGCACCTGTGGCGTTCGTCGGAATTTCGAGAATATCTTCCGGACGAGATGATCCTGATTCTGGGGCAATTGCGGCTCATTCTTACGCCGTTCGGCCAATTCTTTTTCGCGCTTCACATCGGCCACCTTGCGAAAAATCAGTCGATGTCTGAGATTGTAGGTGAGCACCAGATTGCGTGCAAAGCTATTCGCAAATGCCGAATAGAAATCGAGGACTTCGAGCAATTTATCACGTTTGATGGCATGCAAATCACAATAGGTTAGGGCGCGCACGTTGGCCGCGCTCTGGCCGACGGCCGAGTCCTTCCAGAATTGATCACCGAAGACGTCGCCCTTGCCTGTGAAGAATTGCAATAAAAATGAAATACCAGATAGGACGTCTTGGATGTAATCCTACTTCCTGTTTTACTTGGTCTTACTGTACGAGCAAACCGATGCTAGACTGAAGGGTAACTCATATGTATGAATATGTATAACTCACCCAATATTGCCACAACCTCGTCGTCCTGTATAACCTCCAGGCTGCCGGTGACAATGAAGCAAAGACTGTCGATGCTCTCGCCGGTGTGATAAAGCAGATCCCCCGGCGCCGAATGGGACATCATAAAGTGCATCGCCAGTGCCCGGAGACAACCATCCGAGGCCAGACGAAATGCCGGATGCTCGTTAAATACTTTGCGATTTAGATGAACACATATGTCAGCCTTCATATCTTTCGGACAATAGTTTAGTACCTGCGAATTGTGAACGAGTTGCGAGTTGCGAGTGGCAGTTCTAATCGAAACGAATCGTAGGGAAAGGATATATCCTCTACAGTCCCATTTCTTTTTACTGAACTATTTTGCGGACCACCACCACGGAGGTTTACCACCCAGATTCTTCACAATTTCTGAGAAGATACTGGGCGGTGGGAGAAGCTCTTCAAGTTCTTCCAACCAGATTCTTAAGCAGATTATGATTCTTCCGGGGTCTCCAGTCAGGGGAATTCTTTCAATTTGTATTCTCATTCTTAGATTCTTTGGAAGAATTCTTCTGGCTTGTCAATTTAGAGATAGAATCACATTCTGATGCAGACTCGCTGGCTGGAAGTCTTCAGGCTTTCCACCTAAACGCTTAGAAGATTTCGTTTCAGATTCTTCGAGGGAAGAATTCTTCAGCTCTAACGGGACACGCACACGCACGCACACATACACTAATACACATACAACATTGATCAAGTGTCTCTGTGTGTTGTCTGTTTCTCCTTGAGTGTGATTGTCTGACTGTGATTATCTGTGGTGTGTGGGTGTGATTATTTTCTTGTTAAAGTGCAGATTGTCACCACTTCTGGGGAATCCCTGACACTCCTCCTTTGAGTCTCAGTTGTGTTTTTTTTTTCGGGGTTTGTTTGGGGTTGGATGTGGGAACTCTAATTGCGGCACAAACTACAGTCAACGAAATAGGTATAAAGGTCAGTTTCATTACGGCTTGGAACCGTTTTGCAAACTCAGTTTCTCTGTGTTCTGTGAACCAAACAATGTCGTAATTTTAATATTCAAAGTTTATGGAGCAAGCGACCCCTGGGGTTCTTTTTTTTGTGGGGTTTAGGAACTGATCTCTTTTAGGGTTTTCTTGGGGACTTTCGCAGGGGTCGCTGCGCCGTTTGGTTCAGGTTCATCTAAAGGCATGAATTTGACGGACGCTTTTCGTTTTGGCACGGATCTCGCTCGCGGGCAGACACATGGAGAGAATGGAGAGATAGATCATCGGTTAGCTGAGTTCTGTCAAAGATGGTTTCGTTAGAGGTTAGAGCTTAAGGTGATGAATCCGCAATTTTAATCAGTTATCAGTTAACGATAATCGGTTTTCTGGGCCACCCACAGCTTACCTTGGACCCTGGACCTGGTCCTTGATCTGTGGGTGAATGGTTTTGGTGTCCCTGCCAAGGTACTTTTCGTTGGGGTTTATTGATCTTAGGCCTAGGTATGCGAGTTGTAGCTTCAAAATAATAGGAAACAAAGCGCGATAGCAGCGACCAATATTTGTTTTTTGTCGGAGAATTAAGGAGAAAGATAGTACGAGGTGTTCTTGTTCTGGTGTGGAGTAAGAGATGTGTGTATGTGTCCTTTGTATGTCGTAAAGCTGTATATCTAGCAAGCGTGAGTCAAGTGACGAGTGATGAATGATCAATGATCAATGTTCAATGACAAATGACGAACAACATGAAGCAGTAAGCAAGTGATGGGTAGAGTGACGCATGTCTAGTAACGAGTATTGTGTAACAAAGAGCAAGTAAGGAAGAGCAATGGACGAGTAACGAGTAGCGAGTGTTTCCAACTTGTATGTTATGTATGTGTGCGTATGCCGAGTGCATTAGAGATAGTGATAGACTGAAGTGATTCAAGCTTTACAAGATAGCCAGCTCAATAGTTATGTACAAAGCGAAACCCATTCCCAATTAATTTTAAAGTCTATTTACAAAAGCATTGAATGAATGAGGCAGAAGCATCATCTTTACTATAATGCATTTTCACCTAACAAGTAATGCTCGATCGAACGATGAACGAATCTTGTAACGCGGTCTGAAATAATGCTTGAATGTATACGATTCGGGAAGTTAGAAGCTGGCTGGCAACAAAAAAGGGCATATAATGTAAACCCCTTTAGCCTCTCCCTGAGACTATCATTTCCTGTCGAACCCGAATGGATGAATGTAGCGATATGTTTCCGACGATCGAACTTACCTTCTCGGTGTCCAGACCCTTGGTCATGGCCCAGGTGGAGACGACATAGTCCATTACTCGCTCACTGAGAGCCTTCGGCACCTCATGGAGTTTCATGAATTCCCTTACGTTGTTCAGCATGTCGTGGTACTTGGCCGTGGCCGAGGTCATCTGCTGGATAATGGTGGTCACGTGCCCAAAGATTGTGGCATACAGCAGGGCTATATTGTTGGGTTGGTTGTATATACATAGAGAGGGAGAGAAAGAGAGAGATCGGTGATGAGACAGACGCATTAAGCGGCAAGTGCACACACAGAGTTGGAGTTCGTAGCAGTTGGGGATCCATTCAAAGCAAACTTTACACGATCAGCTAGATAACACTTGAGATATGTGAGTGCACAGAGAGGGAGAATGTATGCAATCCCAAAGATATAGATATTCCCTCTCTGTAGAGTGTGATTTGTGAGAGAAAGTTAGTTGTAAGGTGTGCGTGTTATCAATAATCGCTGATGCTACGCGCTGTGGAAGAAGAAACGCACAGGTGCGCGGCTAGAACAGTAATAAATGCCACAGATTGGACGAGCACACAGTTGGACAGAGACATAGAAGAGGCAAAGGATGTGGAATAAGGAGCAGGAGCGAGTGACATGAGCGAGTCACTGTGCAGGATCAGTGGGTTCTATGAGATTCTATGGCAATCTCTTTTTTTTGGGCAAAGTGGATCACTCACTGATCATGCACAGTGGACGTGAGATGCTCTCGTCTGATGCAAAAACTATTTATATATGTACAGAGAGAATTATTTATAATGAATTATGTTCAACGACTTCCATAGTAACGAATTACGGCTATCGAGTTACGGATAACGAGTTACGGACAACGAGTAGGGGGAGGTATAGAGAGAGCAATGCAACTCACACATGGCGACGAATTGTGCAACTAGATGACGACGGAGCAGAAGAAGGGTGGAGAGATTTAAAAAATAACTTGAGACTCTGGCTGCGATCAATCAATAATTGACCGATTGACTGACTGACTGAAGGAGTGTGAGTGAGCTGCTCTACTAAGGGGGACATGGACAAAATGGACATGGTCTACGAGTCGAATAAGGCTCTACACCAATTAACTGGAGCGATTTATTAGTTCTAGCAGCGCAAGCGGATGGCCTAGCTTTCAAATGATATCGGAATCGAAATCGAAATCGAGAGTCGAGAATCGGAAACCGGAATTTGATAAGCGTGACGCGTGTGCGGGAATATCAAGAGACTTTTGACGCGGCAACGGAACGTGTTAAGGACACAGCACCTGCAATGATCATCATGCAGATGGTGAACACCTTCTCGTTGTCTGTCTCCGCGGCGACATTGCCAAAGCCCACCTGTATAGAAAATTGTGGAAAATTGAGCAGAGAAAAATACAAAACGAAACAAAACAAAACACACAAAAAGAACGAGAGGATAGAGATATATACGAGATATTATTATCATTAAGTACAAATTCTCCTAGTTGGGATACTCACCGAGGTCATGCACGTCATGGTAAAGTATAGGGCCGTCACGTACATGCTCTTCCGTGACGGCCCGTTCACTAATTCCGGCCCGGTGTCATTACTCCATATATACGAATACGGCGATTGCGTCACATTGGCCAGCTTCCACAGCCAACTGTACTGGATCTGCCAGAGGATACGTAAAGATAAGATTTAGTTGGAAACTAACATCCCTCCAGTATCATAACTCACCCCATTGTCGGCATCGCTGCGCCCAATCGAATACCAAATGCAGGCCAGCCAGTGGGCCACCAGCATGTAGAAGCAGAGCAGGAGTATGAGCATGGCCGCACCGTATTCCAGGTAGCGATCCAGCTTACGTACCACCCGTCCCAGCCGGAGCAGGCGGACAACCTTGAGGGCACTAAACAGGGACCCGATCCCATCCTCGTCCCGATCGAACGCGTTGAACACGTCGTACGGCAGGCAGCTGAGCAGATCGATGATGAACCACGATTTCAGGTAGTTCATACGGATCACCTTGGGATCGCTGACCACCTCGCCGCCAGGACCCACGAAAGTTGTGTGGAAGTTTAAAACTGAGGGTAGAGTAAGGAATTATTATTATTTATATATTTATAAAAATATATTAAGTTTGACTTACCAATATCTATAAAGAATATAACATCGACTATTGAATCGACCACGAGCAGGGAAACATCCTCTGAGGTTTTATTTTTAAACGCTACATTGTATGGCACCTGAATAAAGAGATTGGTAACGATATTAGTAAACAAGCTTATAACATAGTGAAGGAGTCTTCATAACTATGATCAGTAAGTATCAATGATCAGTAAATAACTATGATCAGTAATTAACTATGATCAGTAAGTATCTATGAGCAGTAAGTAACTCTGAACACTAAGTATCTATAATCAGTAACTAATTATGATCAGTAAGTATCTATGACCAGTAAATAACTCTGAACAGTAAGTATTTATGACCAATAAGTAACTATAATCAGTAAGTATCTGTGACTAGTAAGTAAGTATGACCAGTAATTAACTTTGAACACTAATAAACAATGACTTGCAACTTTTGTAACACAACACATGTCTGAGACTTGGCCGGTAGAAGTCACTTCGTTCCGGGAATGTTAGAACCAGTTGGGAATTATATGCACAGATGTGGGAGATTTGTTTTGGAACAAATTTAAGCTATTTGAATGAAACTATGGAGTTATTCTTCTATATAATTTTACTAGTATATAAGTCGGAGCATGGCGAATCGGTGGACTATATATATACATGCATACATATAGCTGATATAGGAACAATCAGACGATTTATAAAACTATGATCAGGAATTAACTATGACCAGTAATTAACTATGAGCTGTAAGTAACTCTGACCAGTAAGTAACTATAACCAGTCAGTAATTATGATCAGTAAGTATCTATGACAAGTAAGTAACTATAATCAGTAAGTATCTATGACCAGTAAGTATGTGTTATAATCAGTTACTAACTTTGAACACTAATAAACAATGACTTGCAACTTTTGTAACACAACACATGTCTAAGACTTGGCCAGCAAAAGTCACTTCGTTCCGAGGATGATAGAACCAGTTAGGAATCATATGATCAAGAGATTTGTTTTGGAACAAATTTAAGGGCAAGCTATTTGAATGAAACTATGGACTTTTTCTTTTATATAATTTTACTAATATATAAGTCGGAGCATGGCAAATCGGTGGACTATATATATACATATATATAGCTGCTATAGGAACGATCGGAAAATCTAGATATATCCGACAAAAATTAATTATTTTTCAAAAATTGGTAAATTATTAAGGGAAAAAAAATCGTTAAAATTTCATTAAAAAATTGGCAAAAAAAGTTAATTTTTTAAAATTTTAAATCGAGTAAGCAGATTATAAAACTATTCAAAATTAACATCGGAAAGCTTTCCGAAATAAAATTAATGCTTTTTTAGCTTAATTATGAGATTTTTAAACTTTGATTTGTTGAAATAATTGTCATATAAAAATATATTGATTCAAATGCAAATATTTTAAGCCAAGTAATGATCTATTTCCAATACGATCCTATAATTTAATTGAGGTATACAACTTCGGCTTCCCGAAGTTGGTTTCCTTTCTTATTTCTTAATATAATTATTCTTAGTTTTGGTATATGTAGTAAATCTAGTACTAGTCACAATGCTCCTTTACTGTCAGTCAGATCTTAGATTTCTTAGTTGATCCAGAATTTCCTAGGCTTCTCCTCCGCCTCCCCTGCTCTCTTGAAAATGCTAAAAAATCTTCACCCAAGTCCCAAGTCTCCAGGTGGTGTGCGTTTTGCCAGGCGTTCAGCAACAGTTGGCCGGCCTTTCCACCGACTTCGTCCTTATTCTGCGGAAGGGGAGGCGGTGTGTTGTCTTAACTGTTGCCCCAAGTGGCAGTTACAAGCCTCTTAACATGGCTCGTCTTGGCCCGGTCGGAGGTTGGATTACAAGCCACGAACGCTGCGCTGTCAGTCTCTGTTCTCGTCCTCGTCCTCGACAGGACCTCCTCCTGCTCCTCCCCCTCCCCGACTGAGCATATTAATTTGAGCACATAAAACATAAGCCGTCCGCTCTCTCTCTGTGTCTGTCTCTGGCAAAAAGGATGATGGGGAACGGGGATGGATGAGTGTCTGAGCAGCCACTTGGTCATGTAAATGTGTGCACTTGTCTGTCCCCCAGTTCCAGTTCCACCACTCCTCCCAGCTACCGGCTCTGGGCTCAGCCGCTCCTCCTTAGTCAGTCAGTCGCTTTGTCTGCTGCGAATCAACATTAATGTCTGACAGAGGGTCGTTATCTGGATTCCTCACTTGAGCCCGAGACGGAGTCCTTTCCGATCCGATTCAAAGGTGTATTTTGCCTAATTAGAGGCTTTGGCATACACCTTTAACCTGGCCCAGGTGAAAGTGATATGTGTGGCTGAGAGAGAAGGCCATACCTTCTGAAATAAATGACCTTTAAAGACGAAACTTTAATGGTTTAAGTCTTAAATGAAAGTATAGAGAAAATACTTGAGTAGCAAGTCGAGATATATATCAATACTGCATCTGTACTTAATGCGAAGGTTAATTATATATCCGTTAAATTTATAAACCAATATTAATGCTTTAAAGATATTAAAAATCTGTTCCGCTCTTTTTTACTAGATCTACAAAAGTTTAAGCTGTATAAATTTGAATACCAGTTAATTATGATTCCCATAAATCAGAAAACATCTGTTGATGATTTAATATATATCTGTACTAACTTCCAGTAGACATTTATTACCCTTTGACCTGATTTCAAACATCCCTTATCTCCTACGTACGTACACGTATTTTTTATCCGTAAAGTGAGAGACAGACAAAGTTTTGATTTGTTGCTGGCCATACATTTATCTCAAAAAGTTGCTGCTGCGACAGCCACAAAAACCCCAAAAAACCAAACCAAAATAACAAAACCAACAAAACAACAATGCCGCAAAATGTCATTAAACAATAAGCAAACGAAAACTGTCGTAACAAGAAAGTGCAACAACTTTGCCAGCAAATACTACGTACATACTTTGTCGTAAGTTCAGATTGGGTTTGGATTGGGTTTGGTTTGGGCTCGGGTTCGGATCTGGAGCTCACAACAGTTCCAATCCTTGACACACGTGTGTGGAGGATGGAAGAAGGATGTGCATAGATGTTGAGCTCAATTTAAGCGAAAATGTTAACATCTTGTTGACGGAAATAGACACAATTCAAGCAGACAAGCTGCCATTGGCTTATGAAAAGGCGTCGCATGCGGCTTTGTGGCAATCTGTGATGTGGCTGTAGGCAGGTGGCACATGCCCCTAGATATGTTAAACCCAACCCACAGACACACACGACTCTCAGTCAGGTCATGTCAGAAAAGTATGTTCAAATCGTTGTCAGACACAAAAAGAGAGGCTCTAATGAAATAATAATAAAAAGGCTACACTATAAATCAAGAGTAACAGGAATATGAATATACTATATATCATATAATATCTACTCACCATGATGGCTGTATAAAATGTTAAACACAATATCACCCAGTCCCAAATTGCTTTAAATGCACAATAATGCAGGAGTATGTGTGGCGGCGTTTTGGGCGCTTCCTGCCGATACTGTGGCATGATATCCGCACTCAGCGACATCATCTAAAATATATCATTACATATGTATAAATAAGAGATTTGGTATTTATAGAAATCCCACTCACATGCGCCAGATTGGACTGCTTTGTGGGATCCTTCAGCGTGGGCAGATGGGCGCTGAACTGGCGACTCCTTGTCACCGATCTTGCCAATTTGGCGAACTTTGAGAGACCTAAAACTGGCAAAAATAGATTAACCGCTACGAGGATGCAACACGCACACAGGACAGACACACACAGAGGTGCATAACGACAGGATAACAGATATATAGTTATAGATATAGTTATAGTTATAGATATAGTTATAGTTATAGACATGGAGTGTTATTTATTTATACAGCATGTGTGTTGTATTGTGTTGTGTTTTGTTGGCACATCGAATTGCATTGGTTTTGGTTTCGATTTCAATTGATTTCATTTTGTTATTTTTTTTCGGTCAGTTTTTGTTGGTTTTCAATTTGTTGAAGCGTGTATTTACAGGTGTGCGTGTATAGATTGTGTGTGAGTGGTGTGTGTGTTTGTGTGTGTAGACATGGAAAAGAGAAAGAGAAAGAGTAGTAAGGTTGCAAGAGACAGGTGCAGAAATTCATATGGAGCACAGTTCTAACAAGACTAAAACGAATTGGTATTTATTTTTCTATCAAAAATATTATATATGCAGATTTCAAATTATTTAAAATTAGTGCTTAAAAGAAAGAAATGCATTAAATAGTTTTCTATTGCCGTGCTCCATACACATAAAACTGAGTTCTAAAAAATCATATCATAGATTGAGCTCGCTTACCTCCTTTGGTGTCCTCGCTGTCGATGGGTTGCTTCAGGGCCGTTATGTCCCGGAAGGTCAGCAGGAAGAGGACGACCAGGTCCCTTTCGTTGCGGATCGGTGCCACCTGCAGCAGCAGCCATAGCGGGGTTTCTGCATCGGGGAAACGGGAAGCGGAATTAATAAAAACTACTAGTGTAAATATATATATATATATATATATATATATAAAGGTAAGTACGCCAGATAACGGATGGTTCCATAGTCGAGTGCGCTGCACAAACGATAGAGTATCCCCATTCCCATTTAGTTTACGACCACACTGAGGGGACGACGGAGTCAAAGGTTAAGTTTTAATCATTACTGAAATCACTCAACGATATTCCTTTTCAAAACTATATTTGTTGCAGGGTACTCTTATGGTTTCTCTGAGAAGGAGTCATTTTTGACCCTATAAATCATATAAATCAGCAAAAACGAATTTATCTAGACATGTCTGACGGAAATAAAAGATTCAGTCATTTTTCATAATTTGGCAATCACTATCACAATCACTATCACCATAGATGTTAACAGCGGGGAGGCCGCGGACAGACTGAAGTAAGTGCCACGTCAGTGGCTGTATTTATAGTCTACGAGCAATGAGAAGAGCAGAGAGAGTGAGAATAACAGAGAAAGTGAGAGCGAGAGAATAAGAGATATCTCAGGAGGCTCTAACTTTCTCTGTCGCTCTCTCCACTCAGAGACTACAATTACTGGCACTGTAGTCGCACTGACTCTTTCAGTCCGTGGCCTTCCCTTTGTTTACATCTATGGTGATAGTGATACTGATTGCCTTCGATCCCAAAAATATAACCTGGCCAATGCAATACATCTGGATAACCAGAAAGAAATGCCTAATTGATGTCACCAAGAATACATCATTATGCCCTTTCATGGCAATATAATTTCAGTCTGAAGCTTGTAACACAGTGAAGGAATCATTTCCGACCCTATAAATCATATATATTCTTGATCAGCATCAAAAACTGAATCGATCTAGCTATATCTGGCAAATATTTATTTTTTTCAAAAATTAAAAAAAAAAATGTAAGGTGTAATTGTTAAAATTTCACAAAAAAAAATGGCAAAAAATTTAATTTTTTTTTAATTTTATATCGAGTAAGCAGATTTATTAAAGTAATAAAAACTAATATAGAACAGCTTTCCGAAATAAAATTAATGCTTTTTTGGCTAAGTTATGCAATTTTTAAACATTGGTTTGTCAAATAAAATGTCATATAAATATATCGATATATATTGATTCAAAGAATGCGAATATTGTAAGCCTATTTGGATTTTCGATAAGATCCTATATTTCAATTCGAAACTGAAAAGATATACAAACTTCAGCTCCCCGAAGTTAGTTTTCTTTCTTGTTTCAATTTAAGTGGTTTATAAAAATGATGTTCTTTAAAATAATTTATGATCCCTGATTTAAATTCCCTGATTACAAACTTTGCTTTCCGTGTAGAGACATAAGCATCGCATAAGGGGGGCAGCAAACATTTCATTGAATTGCAATTATTGATATGGAACGCTGGATAATGGCTGCTGGATGCTCGAATTCTGGATTCTGCTGGGTCCAGACAATGCCAGATGTAAATTACGCATATATGGGAGTGACTTTGTGTGTGTGCACATACAGTGCGCTCCATAAGTATGCAACAGCGAAAGCTGCTTACTCGAATGTCTTTCTATTGTCTCACCGAATGAATAATTCAATGAATAACCGATGGCAACGGCAATCAGAGTGTTTTGCCTTGGAAATCGCGGCATTAAAGTCGAACAAATACTAAATAGATAATGTCAGATTTGGCTAGATAAACTGCAACATTTATATGGCTAATAGAGAAAATAAATGAATGGGCATTGGGAAAACTAATCTCTGGAGGAATATTTCTATCCTATACAGTACTTCTTTTCTTTTTAAAATAATAATTAAATCATCTTTAGCATTCTTTAATTTCTCATCTCAAGAGATTAATAATTGCTTTCAATTACAACTCGCATTCTATGTAAACAATCACCTGGCGTTAATTGCCCAACACTCTGGATAATGGGAGCCTTTAACTGTGACTTGACTGTATTAATTGCATTTCAATTTTCACGGGTCAAGGACTCTCTTTCCCTTCCTGGGTGTGAGAGTGTGTGTGTGTGTGTGTGTGGGGTTTGATAGCATAATTATGCACCAATTACAGGCACAATTTGCTGCTTCCGTTTCCGGTTGAATGTTTGTGCGCGGTTATTTGTTGCTCCTGCTCCTCCCTGCCTCCTTTATGTATTTGATCTCATATTGATTCAAATTGAATAGATTTATTATTAAAAGTTTTCAAGGGGAGAGATAGCTATGTACCTGTCAGCACAAAATTTCCCAAAGATTCGGCTTTTGTTTTCAATTCAGAGAGCAGAGTGGAGGTCGCAATTTTCATCCTTGGCTGGAATCCAATCAAAGTGAATTCCAACCGCTGGCCAAGTGCAATTTTCAATCGAGTTGCGCCAGACCAGCAGCTGTTTGCTCGCTCTCCTTCCTTCCTCCCTCCCTCTCCCTCATATTGCAATTGATTTATGCTTATTTAATGCACCACCCACCGATGCCACGATGCACTTTTCCCATTTCCCCATTTCCCGGAATACTCATCCTGACCACACATGCAACAGGAAGTACGAATATTGCTGCGGGCACACTGCCAGAACTAAATTGAGATGCCCAATACATTCTTTTTTTCTCGGGGTGTGAGTATAATTCTAAATTTGTGGCTACAGCCAAAAGAATCTATTTTCGATGTCCTTTAATTCTTAGCCAAATGTTTAGCCAAGAATAATGGTTTAGTTTTAGTTGTTTAAATATTTTCAGTACACTTAAGTGGGCCTTACTGAACCCAAGTTCTTTTTCAAGTAGTGCTTAAAGCAAGATTTGCTTTAAAAGGATTACAAGTGACTGACTCTTTCCCTTAATAAGGCTGGATATAAGGTAAATTCTAGGCAAATATTTCTTGCTATTTAAAGTTAACAAAATATACCTTAACCCAACTTTCATTCCATAATTTACCTTGGGTTTGTGCCTTGCCAAACTGCGAGAGGGCGCAGCCACATTGCAAATCTGTAAAATTGATACTCGGAGGCGTTAATTTATGAGCTGGCCAATTGCAATACTTTCTGGAAATACTCTCTGCGGGGGACTCCCCCGCGTATTTGGCTTTGATTGGGGTTCTAGCATTACAGGTGCGCTTGTCTGTAGACTGTTGGTGTGAGTATTCCGATCCTGGTTTTGGTTCTGATTTTGATTCTGATTGATGGGCAGACACTCAAAATGCCGGCAGGCAGCCTGCCATCGCTCCCCAATTTGTTGGCATTATGTGGAAAGGGGAATTATGGAGTGAGGGGATTGTGTGTGCACACAAAACAGAGGGATAGGGAGAAGGATTAGGGTTTGGGATAGGGATAGGGATAGGGGATTCAGGGACTTGGACTTGGGCCATGAATTATGAAGGCTTCGAGGGTGTGTGAGTTAGACAGAGTCTACGAAATGAACAATTTGCGATGGGCACAGCTCGAGCATAAAGCCAAATAAGTTACAATTGCAGTCAAGATGTTAGAAATCTACCAAAAGCATATCAAAAATATGTACATCTTAAAGACTAAACCCCTTTTTAGTGTAAAGCTAATAGAAAATGTAAGAGATTACCCAAGATTCTAGCTTTAATACTTTCAATTTCTGTAAAAGCTACTCCTAAACTAACCACAATTGTGGGCCACCTGGTGAGGGGCCAAAATCAAGCAAGTAATCAAGCGACAAGGGGAGAGGAAAAATGACGGACGTTGATTTGGGTTCAGCAGGACCAAACTACTCGCCATTAGGAGGACCCTTGGCACAGGCAATTTAGCACGGAGAGAGCGAGAGCATGGGTCAAAGGGGAAAGGATTTACTGGTGTGTACTTACTGTTCTTCTTGTAGAGCAAAATCTCAAACTGATCCTGCTGCTGGTTCTCCAGCGTGTACTCCAGCCTTCCCACAGTCTCCTTGTCTGTCAGCTCGCCATACATGAAGCCGCATCTGCAGTTAGTCCAAGGAGGCGCAGGATGCGATGCCAGGTTGCCAGGATATATAGAAATGCAAAGAGAGAGAGAGAGGCGGAGAACAAACGAGGTATTATTCTTGGTTAGCTTTAGGTCGGTTTGCATGCCACAGACACAGACACAGACACAGGCACAGGCACGGAAAATGCAAACGGAAAAATTGTAGGAAAAAACACATGCCGAACAAAACAAGATTGATGCACCTGGTCGGGGCATCTGCGGAAAATGCCGACTTGCTTCACTTGTTCCACAGAAAAATATAGTATAGTAAACAAATATCAATTTAATGCTCTGCCGCTCAATGGAATCCCCATGCACTTCCTTTTGAGGCCGAAGTAAGTAAGCTGCTGTTTTGTTCAGCAGGAAATAATAATATTTCTGGGTCATGCGGCAGCTCTCTGAATACCTTAATGGAGGCAATCACTTAAATAATAAAACTAGGCAGTTAAACAGCCTATATATAAATGCGTAAATAATATATAGCTATAACTAACTAAAACTAAATTGAGGCTGTTTTAAAATAATAAAAGAAGTTATATAATAACTTTGTTTTTAATTATTTGACTTCAAGATAAACCCAAATCATTTTAGGTATGACATACAATATTAATATATCGATATTGTATAGATTTTTCGTATTATAAAAGAGAATAACGTTGCAGTAAATTAACATTCTCTTTCATTAAATGAGTATGATAATAACAAATGCAATATTTTATCTTTTAATTCAATAAAGTTTAATTTATATTTCAAATATAAATGATCATAAAGAGACGAGTTAATTTAGACATTAATCATATACATATATTCTCGATCAGCAGAGTTCATTTCGACATGTCTGACAGAAATAACAAAGTGATTAATTTTTTTAAAATAACTATCACTTTCACTATCTCTATCACCATAGATGTTAACAGCGGGGAGGCCGCGGACAGACTGAAGTAAGTGCCACGTCAGTGGCTGTATTTATAGTCTACGAGCAAAGAGAAGAGCAGAGAGAGTGAGAATAACAGAGAAAGTGAGAGTAACAGAGATAGTGAGAGTAACAGAGAAAGTGAGAGCGAGAGAATAAGAGATATCTCAACTTTCTCTGTTGCTCTCTCTACTCAGAGACTCTTTCAGTCCGCGGCTTCACTCTTGTTTATATTTATAGTGATAGTGATCGCTTTTTGATCCCAAAAATATAACCTGGCCAATGCAATACATCTGGATAACCAGAAAGAAATGCCTAATTGATGTCACCAAGAATACATCATTATGCCCTTTCATGGCAATATAATTTCAGTCTGAAGCTTGTAACACAGTGAAGGAATCATTTCCTACCCTATAAATCATATATATTCTTGATCAGCATCAAAAACTGAATCGATCTAGCTATGTCCGGCAAGTATTTATTTTTTTCAAAAATTTAAAAAAAATTAAGGGGTGACATCGTTAAAATGTCACAAAAAAATTGTCAAAAAAATTAATTTTGTAAAATTTTGAATTGAGTATGCGGATTTATTAAACTAATAAAAACTAACATAGGACAGTTTTCCGAATTAAAATTAAAGCGTTTTTTGCTGAGTTATGAGTTTTTTAAACATTGCATTGTTGAAGAAATTGCCTTAATAAGATATCATTAAATATCGATTCAATGAATGCCAATACTTTAAGCTAAGCTTATTTATGATATATTTCCGATATGCTCCTATAATTCAATTGCAACTTGCAAGAGTGTATACACTTCGGCTTTTCAAACTTAGTTTTCTTATCTTTTATTTTTGTATATATTAAATATTTGTGTGTGTGTTTGGAAAAACTCGCATTGCACAGCGTGAAATAGTCACCGCAAGGCTGTGTATTATTTTTCAATTCCATTAATTCATATCCCGCCAGCTTTTCACTTGTGGGTTTGCCTTTACATAAAACTGCTGCATTTTCGAAAGCCAAAACTTATGAATATTTAATAATTGAATTTTGGCTTAAAAAAGAAATAACAAGAATTACGGCAGCAGGCACAAAAACTTTTCGGTCGGGCCAAGGGGCAAATTACTTGGAAAAGTTGGGAAAGAAAAAGAGGCGGACGATATATCCGAATCAGGGGCAAGTTGCAGTGGCAAGCGAGAAGCAGCAACAACAAAAAAGTGTTGCATACTTGCAGGCGATGACGTCAGCAGTGTGAAACGAGAACAAAAACGAAGGATAAACGAGGGGCAGGACCCGGAGCAGGAGCAGGACGAACGAGGGGCAGTTGGTTAATTTCTGTTGTTTTGCTTTATTCGTAACCTCACACAAAAGTTCAACAAACTATGTATGCTTCAGCGAATCGGCGACGTCACGGGCTGTGTGTGTGTGTGTGTGTGTGCGAGTGTGTTTGTGTTCGCCGGGGAACAAAAAACGAAACGAAATTGGGTTACAATGCAAACAACACAACAAAAAAAGCAGGTCCTGGATATATGCCATACATACATGTGTAGATATGGATATAACCACAAGGATGCACAAAGTGTTTATGCGTTCACAGTGAGAGCACACACACTCTCAGGAAGCACTCGAAATTCTATTAAGTTTCACTGGGTCCAAGGGGAACATCACTCGAAGGATGTGGCAGACAGGCTCCTCAGTTCAGGCTCAGCTAGTTGCGAGGATAATATGAAGTTTGTGGCTTCAATTCCTATTATCTCTTGTGCGTATGTGTATAAATATTTGCCAAATGAAACTATATCTTTCAAGGCCTACTTCACCAAGAGAAAAATATCTTGTGTCGTTTAAGGGTCAAGATTAATGTTTAATCTTTGCACGAAAATAATAATAATGAAAACAAGGATAATGTTTGCTCTTAGAACAAAAAAGGTTCAACTAGGCGTATGAGTAATATTTGAAATCAACATAATGTGAAATATTACGTATACGCAATATACTTTTTTGTAAAGAAAATTTTTAAAGAATATGAACCTTAAAATAGTAGTTTCTACGGAAATTAAATTGATAACGTTGGTTTTTTTGGAAAAAAAAAAGTTTAACTAGGCGTATACGCAATATATGAAAGCAATACTATAATATCACGTATACGTAATTCCAATTTTTGTTAAATTTGTAAAGTTAAAATAAAACTTACATAATAGAAAATTCGTTCTCACCTATAATAATGTTACTTTTTATGAACACAGAAGTTTAACTAGTCGTATGCGCAATTTTTTAAATCGAAATTGTAATATTACGTATACGCACTTTTAAAATTTGTATATAGTTTTATAAAAGTCAAAAGAACATAACCTGACCAAATCGTTTTTATGAACGAAAATGTTTAACTAGGCGTTTGCACAATATTTAAAACGAGATTTTAATATTACGTATACGCAAGTTTAATTATTTGTATAATTTTTTAGTTAAAAGAAGAACCAATGTTCAACTAGTCGTATGCGCAATATTTTAAATCGAAACTGTAATATTAAGTATACGCTTTACTGATATTTACAGATTTCCCTGAAAGTAAATGTACAATTTTTTTTTTAAGAAAGCTCGTCTTTAAATAACAATTTCTCTAGCTAATAATAACTTTAAGACTATGAAAAAGTGATTTTCGATTGGAAATAAAGTGATTCCTGGACTGCTCTTTATCCTCCCACTTTTCTATTTCCCTTCCCATTTCCCTCTAACCAATTCAGATTTTTCTTCTCTTTTTTGCTATTTCTTTTTTTTGGCTACTTTTTGCTGGTCACTGTTTTCCTGTTGCCTTTGGCCGTCATTCCTCTATTTCTCCTATATATTCCCTATTCGCTTCTCACGCGACCACAGCAAAAACGGAGGGCATACAAAAAAAAAAACGGAGGAAAAAGAAGAGAAAGGAGAAAGAAAAAAAGAAGCAAACAAAAAAAAGACTACGACAGCGACAGAGACAGGGACAAAGACAACAACAAAGTGGGTCACACCAACACGGATGATTGAGCGTATGAAAGAGGCAAATGTATAGCGCCCTCTCTCTCCCTCTCTGTCTCATGGCAAGGGAGATGGCAATAGAGGCCAGGGGCGGATCGCGAAAGAGTAGTGCAGTACAGGGGGGTACAGTTTAGGCTAAGCTATAGAGCATATATTTAAGGGAAAGCTCTTTTTAATTGCTATGTTTTAAAAATGTTGTAAATGTTCTTTCAAGCCTTTCAAATATGTCTGGATATGCCTCGTTAATTTTAATATAAATTTAAATATTCCAAAATTGTTTAGGAGCCCCCCTTTAACGACTCCCCTGGTGTTGGCCCAGCAGAGCAAGGCACATCGCTGGCTAAACGGCAGATTGGCATTAAAAACTTGTATTTCTTCGGCTAGGGAATTGCCCACTGATGCTGCAGGTGAACCGAGATGAGGCGGCTTTTTTGGGGTGGCTGTTCCATGGCAAAATGGAGTGCCATTCTCCCCATTTTTTTGCGGCTTCCAGCGCTGTTTTTTCGGCCTGCAAATTACAAACAATTCTCGGGAGAATCATTGGATACGCTGGCCTCTGGGTCGCCGCTTGTTGATTTATGAGGCAACCAGTGGTGGGGCCGGAAGGGACGCAGGGAGACAGGGAGGCGGAATTCTAGCCAAATTAAGGCAAACAAATGCAGTTAACACTTGTGCAGATGCTCCTGCTCCCCTCTCCCATCATCAGCCTCTTTTGCCATCAATTCACCAAAGGTTTGCATAGAATATCTGTTTGGTTAGGAACGGAAGGCAATTTGAAACAGAGAAACAAAGAAACAGAGTAACGGTGAATGGCATTCCAAAAAGGGGGAAAATTTTGAGTAAATAAAGCATATTTATAGCGGGTAAAAATGTAACCCTTTAAGTTATTATTCGAGGAGTATTATAATGGAATATATATTATATATATATAATTATGTTTCAAAAAAAAAATATACAGAATTGTTTCTAGTTCTAGTTTTACTTTGTATCTTCCATTTCTGACAGCCTAATATACGAACCATTGAGAATGAAACACTTTTCATTTAATAAACCTGTAAAGGTTTTTATCAGTAAGTTTCTATGACCAGTAAGTAACTCTGAACAGTAAGTAAATATGATCAGTAAGTATCTATGACCAGTAAATATCTATGACCAGTAAGTAACTCATTGTGAGTATCATTGAGTAACTATGAGCAATAAGTAACTATGACCAGTAACTAATTATGATCAGTAAGTATCTATGATCAGTAAGTATCTATGACCAGTAAGTATCTATGACCAGTAAGTATCTATGACCAGTAAGTAAGTACGATTAGTTACTAACTTTGAACACTAATAAACAATGACTTGCAACTTTTGTTATACAACACATTCCTAAGACTTGGTCGGCAGCAGTCACTTCGTTCTGGGGATGTTAGAACCAGTTAGGAATCATATGATCATGAGATTTGTTTTGGAACAAATTTAAGAGCAAGCTATTTGAATGAAACTATGGAGTTATTCTTCTATATAATTTTACTAAAATATAAGTCGAAGCATGGCAAATCGGTGGACTATATATATATATATATATATACATATATATATATGCCATAGGAGCGATCGGAAAATGTTAAGAAAAGAAATTATAAATTGTAACAATTTATAACGGTTGTTAATTCAGCTTGGGCCCGCGGCTAGTTTGGGAGGAAAAGGTGTCCCACCAGTCAGATTATATACGTTCAATGGAACCTCTTCAAAGGTAAATGGCAATTATCCTTTTTTCTTCAATATCTTTGGATATATTCTCAGAAATACATGTATATATTAATATACATATATCCTTTCATTGTGGCGTTTCCATCCCCCACTCATTATGCGGGAACGGAAGGGCGGAAGGTCCGTCCATTTGCATTAAATTCGCTGAGCAGCAAAGTGCATTAAGTTCGACAATGGTTTTTTAATGGCGCAGAAACAACAACAACAACAACAGCAAAGCAAAGCAAAACAAAGAGTGTGCAAATTAATTGGAAAAAAGAGAGATTCAGAGAGACAGAGAGAGAGAGGGGGGAAAAATGACAAGAGGAGAGGAAAGTAAACAATAAATGAACTCCACATTCCAATGGCTGTAATGGCGTAAGCAGCTGCGGATAAGCCGTTAAGCAGATAAACATGGCAAAATGGCGGTGGGTCAGGTGCGTGAACAGCTGTTAATGATGAACAGAGACAGAGTGGGAGAGTGAGACAGATAGAGGGGGAGAAAGAGAGAGTGTGAGATTGGTAGAGAAAGAGCGAGATAGTAGTGACCAGCAGAAATCTCTAGCAATCTCGGACAATCCTCTTAGCTGCCAAGGTACCGCTCCCCCAAAGGAAAGGTTCCTGACTCTCGTTCCCACTCTTTCTCCTTCTCTGCCTGGCCATTCCGCCCACCTGTGTTACCTGTGCGATTATGCAGCTTATCTTTTCAAGAAGATTTGCTCTAAAGCTAATATTTGCCTAAGAAATGAGCATGCAAGGTGGTGAAAAATATGTGTTTAAAACATTAAAAAATCTAAGAAGACTAGAAAAATTTGAAAAGAATTGAAATGAAATTAATAAACATCTCAATCATCAATAAGACGAAATAAAATTAATATAAATTGTACTATCCAAGCCACTTCCATAGTCTCAATAAAAACTGAAATGAAATTGATTTAAAAGAGAATTAAGGGATTTTAAAGCTATGATAAGAGAATCTAAAAATAAAAAGGTATCCAAGTGACTGTAAGAAACCCTAAAAAGAATTTAACTTACAAACTCTTTTTCTAATTTGTTGAAAACAAAAAGAACACGAAAAGCTTTAAAATTCCCCAGATAAGAAACTAAACTCAAAGATACACATTAATTAATCACAGGGAGAGTCTGTTTGTCAGATTTAAATTAAAACTAAATTAAATGAAAATATACATACAACATGCATTGCGAAGAATAAAAACAAAGAAGACATAATGTACAACCACAGAAGTGACTGTAAATGGTGACAGAAACAGTGACAGTGACAAATATACACTCCTGGCTTTTCCCAGTGAAAAGCGTTGACATCGAGACCACCGAATTGGTAATCAATTAAAAAACACACACACAATCAATAAAAAAAGAAACGACACCAAGAATATAACAACAGCAACAACAGCGAGGGCAGCTAGAATAGTTCGGAAGTGAGAAAAAATCGGCAATACGTACACATACCTGCACGACTTCTGCATGACCTCGGCCCGGTTATAGCCGCTGATCTTGCAGAAGGACTCATTGCAGTAGACGATCGGGAAATCGACGATTTGTGCGTTGGCCAAAAGGAACGAGCTGTCCGCTATAAGGAAAGAGAAGTTACAAATTAATTATTACATCTTAAATATATATAAAAATGTATGACTTATTAAGAATATATAGTTATTTATCACTATTTAAACCTCTATGGAGGTAATCTCTTATAAAAGAATCTTGAATTGTTTGGATTATAGGCTTTGCTATATACACACATCAATCTGAACAATCAAATCACCGCTCTTCACACATTTCATGTACATTTATCGCAATCAAAGTTCTGCAATATAGCAAATTAAATTTTTAAAGGTAAGTATGGATTTTTTTCCACCATTCCACCATTATTTTCCCCTTCACAATTGTCTGTGAAATGGCCAACGACAGTCAGTCATACACTCATTCCATTCAGTCAGTCAGTCAGTCAGTCAGTCATTCGGCTCAGCTCCGTTCAGTTCAGTCTATTGGGATTTTAGCCGTGGAAGTTTATCAAAATATTTGAGCGTAATTGGAACATTTCAAATGTTGTCATTCATAATCAAAATCGTTTTATTGGCTGCAGTCCGCCCACTCACTTTTGTGAGCTGCTCTAGTCACAGTTGGCAGTGATGGGAAAGGTACTTATTTACAATTTGTGTGGCTTTATTTATTCCTAAAAGGCACATGTCAAGGCTTACCAAGGGTCCCCTATTAAGGGTACAAGATAGTTGTTAAAGTAAGGTACTATCTTAAGAAAATAATTAAACCAGAGTAATATTTATACAAGGTAACTTAAAATTCGGTACATCGCAAACACCAGAAGAGAAAAGTTCCATTTTATTTAGGAAGCTCGTAGAATGAATGCTCGTACTGCAAATATTTTTAAAGGCACTAGTACAATACAAGCCCGAGAAGAAAGTACCCAAAAAGACATCTCCTCACAGCTAAGACCTCCCGAAAGGTACAAGGTACAATCTCAATCTCAAATAAAGACAGCCAAGTACCTAAACTTCACCCATCACCATCCGACTAATGGCGGTTGTTATTGCTAAATTTGTTGCCTGCTTTTTGGGGGTACGAACAAGCTCGAATGGGAAGTCCTCAGGTAAGCAGGTAACATGTGTAAACCACGCGCTGGCATCGCATGGCAGCGATACAGACATGGATATGGACACGGACAAAGGGACTCCCAGACATACAAACATATGGACGAAACGGACACGGACACGGACACGGACACGGCATCGCATCAGGTAACAGTAACTGGCATCGACCTGCAGGTGGCATTCCATTCTCAGCCCCCCTTTCCCTTCACATTTCCTCTTCATTCCCCATTACCAACCCCATGCTCAACCCATTCCCCATCCCCATCCCCATTCCCATCCCCATTCCCATCCACATGCCCAACCCATTCTTATTTCCACAACCCATCGCCGCCCTGCCCATTAAGTCTGACTGGATGTTTTACTATTTATTTACTGTTTGCCATTTGACTTGCTTTTTGTGTTGTGTTGTGTTGTTATTTGTATTATTTTTGAGGTGATTTTATTAGTGGCAATAAAGGCGCCAAAGAAACTAATTCAAGGTGTTTGGCTTTATTTCTAATTGGATAATTATTATCAACAAGTCGTGTTCTTCTTAAACCTTTTATTTTAGTGAAATTTCAAAGATTCCCAACTGATTTCCAAAGGTACACCTCTGCTTAAATCCGCGGCTGTTACTTTTTATTGACATTATATAGAGGGAGGGAGGGGACTGCCATTGGCTGGGATTACAGCTGGCTATGCAAATGTGGCATGCATGTCAGCTCTGGCCGGGAGTTGCATGTTGCAGGTGGCACACTGGAGGAGCCATGGCAGGAACAGGAGCAGGAGCAGGAGGTTGACTGAAGCCTGAGCCTGAGGCTAAACTGAAGAGCCAGAGGAGCAGCACACTAACCCACATTGACATGGACATGGCCAAGCCAATGAATATGTATAAAAATATTCGCATGCCATGGCTCGATGGCTGCTGGCTGCTGCTGGCAAATGGGGAATGCATATTTATGTATATATTATAATATATATATATATATTTATACATATATATAGAGCACGTACGTGGAGAGCTCTTTTTACGACACCAGCCAGCAAGGACACTGGCAATAGCAACAACAACAGCGTTTCCTACTTTGTAGTGTCAACAGTTGCCGTGACTAAAAGAAGGAACTGGGGGAGGAGTCCTTCCTAAGCAGGAGAATGTCCTCCCTGTGGGGGGCAGAAGAGCTATCTCGTTACGCTCTGCATATGGCCTGTTAGTAGTTGGATAGTATAGTATCTATATAGTATATATACACTGAGGAAGAACGAAGAGCGATGGACGATGGACGATGGATGAGCGCAACATCAGTGTTTATGGGTGGACATTGGACCTCTCTCCATAAACTAACTTTAAGCTAAACTCCCCCTCTTTAAACTAATTCCTCTCTCTAAACCAACTACCCTCTCCAAACTAATCTCTCTCTCTCTGAAAATTACCAAACTTAATTAACCAAAATGTTTACATACTTTTAATGCAAAACCACAAATTATAACTTTTTGGGAGCGAACAACAAATATTACGCATACGACGGGTTAGCCAGAACAATATTCATTATTTTCTTGCATTTAAGCTTTACCATAAAAATATTAAATACTGTTGAACATGCATTAAGTTACAAGCATAAAGATTCCTTTTTATATTAAATTATTTGTAAAAAATTATATAAATAAAAGTATTTACAATATGGGCAAACAAATAAGTTTCTGTAATATTAACCATATTCAGATTAAATCAAGACTATAAATATAGATGATATAATTCTTATAGGACGACAGTATATTCTCAAACATTTTCCAGCATCTGAAACATACTTTTCCTAATAGTTTCTCTTAGCTCATACATTTCTCAAGTCTTTTATTTTGTAGATTTATAAATTTAAGTAAATGATCTATATAATAATAATAGTTTTTAAACCATTTAAGGTGCCAGTAGGTAATCCCAATCCTTTTGCTGCTGGGCTGCTTTCTATTGCATTCCTTTTGTGAGAATGCCTGCAGTCTAATTGTGCCATTGTTTTGAAGCACTATGTTCTAGTCTCCTCTAGAGTGTGTTGTGCGGTGACTGGGTGTCATGTGTGTGTGTTTGTGGCTGCCACACTTAATGGCATTCAAAGCTGACTGGACAAAGTTTTGCAATTTGCCTTGGCCATTTCTGTCCGGCCGCGATTTCTTTTTAAGCCGCGGATTGCTACCAAGCGCTCCTCCCCCACCGCCGCCGCTTCTGGAGCATCCGGCGGGAGCAGGCCTTAACCCGATTGCGGTGCCAAGTGGAGCGGAGAGCAGGGAATGTGGGAAAAATGTCAACTGGCGGGTAAAAGCCTGGGATTGAGAGCAAGGTTTCCGCCAAACGAAACGAAACGAAACGAAACGGAACGGAACCAAATGAGATCACAATGAATGTGCAATGTGTGTCCTTTGCGAAGGAACAGAGGATACACGACACTCAAGGCGCTGGCTTTGGCCAGGATGACAGGAGAGAGAAAAAGAAAGAAGGCCTTTGAATATTTAAATCCACAATTGAAACCTCCTTAGCTTTGATTTACAGTTTATGGTTTTCTGAAGAAACCAAAGTGGTTTTGAATTATTTATCGGAAATTGTTTGGTAAATACAGCAGGCTTCTTGAATTAAAATTGGGAACTACATATATAATTATATTTTCCCCGATTTACCTTTTATTTTCTTGAATTAAATTTCAACATCTTAAATTGATAACGATAACTAATAAAGCACTCAAAATGTCAAATCCAATAATAATATTATTGCAAGAAGATGAATATTTCATTGCTGATTGACAGCCAAGATGGACGGCACAGTCCCCTGATTGCCCAATTATTTATGAGCTCGATCAGGGATGATGTATTATAAATGTCAACATCAACAGCCAGGAAAAGGGAAGGAAAAGAAAACGATGGAGATGGAGGCCATTGCCGAGTTTGCGATTTAATTAATGATTTTTTGATTTTTATTTGAAAGCCAAACAAAGGAGGCAAAACGGCTCAGCAGGGAAAGCAATGTGTAGCGAGGATTAAGGTCCTGCCGATATCCTGTAAACCGGTATTGGGATTAGCTTTTCGGGTCTGACAACTCAACCTGAAATGTCAACAAGCCGAAGCGGAAACAAAGGCATCGAAATTGGCCTTTGGAATTGGGGGATTCTTCAGTTCCAGTTCCAGTTCCAGTTTCATTTTCCGGCAGGCGGTCCGTGTTTCCCGATGATTGATGAGGTGGTATTTTCCCACCACTCCCCGCTCCTCCCCTTCTTTTCCACTCTCCCTTGGCCAATTAGCTGTGCAGCATTTACAGTTGTAAGTTGGCCAAAAAAAAAAAAAGAACAAGAGAGAGAGCGAGAAAGAAATTCAAGTGGAAATGGAAATGGAAAAAAAGAAAATTTGGGAGCCTTGTCGTTGATTGATTTGGATTTGTGCGGTCGACCGCAGTCCGAAAAAAAAAGAGTCCCCACCTAAGTGGATTTGCCGGAGGCCTTGACCGAGAGGGGGTACACTTTTGGGGCATTGCAGCAGAGCTCCTCCCCCTTTGTGGGATATAACAAAACTAGTCCATTAACTAAATACACCCCCGGAACAAATACACGCACACAGAGAGAGAGTGAGAGAGTGTCGCACACACTCAAACTTACAGACACAAACACACAGACACACTGGCACATATGCAAATGCGGTTGCAATTTCGCAAAACTTTCATTTCCGCTTGGACGATGCACAGTGGGGCAAAAATACGTGAGAAACTGTGATAAATTAAATTGTTTATAATATAAATTGTATAATAGACTAACTATATAAAAATATATTAAATTAATCAATTAAGAATTAAAGAAAAGATCAAGTATATGTTATTTTTAATGTTAGCGTTTCAATATTAAGTTATAAGAGAATTTAGTGATTTACTCTGAGATATGTCAATTTTAATATAATTACAATTTAAAATTGTTATAATTATCAATTTTGTAATAACTACTATGTTATATTTAAA